ATGATGACCCGCTGAGCCTCGGTCCCCCGACGACCGAATGGACAATGGTAGTATCCGCGACTGGTGTTAACGCCGCCATGGAGGTGCCGACCAAATACTGCAAAAGCTGCAACATTTGGCGCCCTCCACGTGCTCACCATTGCCGTGTATGCGACAATTGCATTGAGACCCAAGATCACCATTGCGTCTGGCTCAACAATTGCGTTGGTCGCCGTAACTATCGTTACTTCTTCGTCTTTGTTTGCGCCACTACTCTGTTGGCAATCTTTCTTCTTGCTGCCAGCCTAACGCACCTTTTGGTCTGGCGAACTCGAGCTGGTGTTTCCTTCGGTGCTGCCATAAACGAGTGGCGTGTACCCTTTGCCATGTGTATATATGGACTCCTCGGCTGGATGTACCCTTTCAGTCTTGGTGTATATCACCTTTTCCTAGTTGGAAGGGGTGAGACGACGCGTGAATACCTAAATTCCCACAAGTTTCTCAAAAAGGACCGACACAGGCCCTTTACTCAAGGTTCGGTTCTGAGAAACTGGCTAGCGGTACTGCAACGTCCACGCCCACCAACGTATCTCCATTTCAAGAGGAGCTATGAACAAGGTGACCAGCGATTTGGGCCTCGCAGAGATAAGCGAACAGCCCCGTTGGCGCCAGAGCAGCAAGGAGGAGGTGTGGAAATGCAAGATGTTCGTACTTCAGAGGTCTTTCAGGGCCCAGTGGGTCGAAATACTGTGGAAGTCGGTGCTGCTTAGATACACACGGAGATCAGCTTCTGATTTGTTTTACTATGATTAAAATAGCGGTATTGAGCTATTATGCTTACACATCCCCCGTCCATGAGAACACTAGTCACTATGTATACGAGATATGAGCGTGAAGTCATGTATAACTATTCAAATCGTTCCAACATGCTTGCTGTGTACACTAAAGCCCGAATAATTGAACCGTTTCCGGCTCCAGATCAGTCGGATTGTGAGAGGGGTGGGTGGTGCTCGTAACACTGGTATGGATAAGGAACAGCCTAATTGGCCGAATGACTAGCTACATATGTTTACCTCCTCAATCCTCCAACCGTCAATCCTCACCTCTGGAACGCCGCACCTCTCGATGCATGCACAGTACTTCTTGTGAACCTATCTGACCGCTGTGTATAGTTCTACTGTTGTTGTCCGCTTACTGCGCGTGAACTGTGGCAGTGTTGCTTGGTGAGCGCCATTGACCCGGCCAGACCGTCGACCTCCTCAGCGCGTCAGTGCCTCGCCCCTCAAAGACAACGACCGCGACACGCGTTACAATCCTCCTCACCAACCAACATGGCTGAGCGCGACCTCTCGCCCACGTCGACATCGTCGACACGGTCCAACATTACCGTGCGGACAGACAAGCAGGCCGATGATCGCGCTATGTCTAGCGCGTCGCCCTCCATCTCCACGCCCCCCACGAGCCTCGGCGACGAAGCCAGCGTCCTTTCCGAGATGCCTAAGATCGAACAAGTCGTTGAAAGTTTTGAGGAGGTCACCGTGGTAGAAGAGGCATGCGACGCCGCCCCGTCAGCCGAAACCCCGACTCCTGAGCAAGCCAGCAGCGAGAGCCGCCGACCCGCAAGGAGTTCGCGCAAATCCGTTACAACATACAATATCCAGATTCTTGCCGGAACTGCCATCCATACTCCGACAAAGTATCTCGAGAAGCATCATAAAAATGTTGTTCACGGCTCATTGCAGGCCATTATAAAGAATGAGGCGCCACCAACAAAGAGGAAATACCAAAAGCGGAAGTCTGTAGCGGCAGATGGCACCGACCAAGCCGAAGAGCAGTTGGCTTCCGAATCCACTCAGGCAGCCCGGCGTCGCACTTCCTCGCGAGTCACGGATCTTCGCAAGGAGGTGCTCCGCAACATGTCAGGAGTTGGAGAGGCAGTGTCAAACACCCTTTCAGGAGGGAAGGCGCTACTTCAGGGAGGTCTCCGGCGCAGCGCATCCGCCCCTCAGCTGAAATCATCCAAGTCAAAATCAGCCACAACTTCCCTCAAGCGCTCACGTGCTGCAGTCGAGGAGAGTGATAGCCTCCCAGACAGCGAGCCCCAAGAAATTGCGAAGCCAAAAACCAAGGTCTGGCTGAAGCAAGGTCTTTACGTGGGCCAGGATCGTGATTTTGACCCTCGTCTCTCAGAAAGCCAAAATCGCGCAAAGAAGCGGGTCAAGAAGTCAAAGGAGACCAAAGGAACCAACGCTCTACCCCTCCCGGTTTTCGCTACCGATCGCCTTTTGAACGAAGACCCAAAACATGTATTTCGTGATTTCAAACTTCCATTCGATACTTACCATCCTCTGCCTAGAAAAGTCAAGGTGGATGGATGGGTCAAGTTGAACAAAAGTGAGTTCGCCGGAATTAACCAGGTGACGAGGCTAACATTACCCAGACAGATTCATTGGCGACGCATCTGCCCTCTGGAAGCGGGACAAGCAAGACACTTCACAATGCTATTGTGATGTGGATGACGGCTGTGGAGAGTCGTGTCACAATCGCATCATGGCCTACGAATGCGATAGTACGAATTGCCCACTTGCCAAAGAGCAATGCAACAATCGGCCTTTTGCAGAGCTAAGAAAGCGTGCAAAGGGTAACCGCTACGACTACGGTGTAGAGGTTCTCAATACCGAAGATCGCGGCTTCGGTGTGCGCGCTATGCGAACTTTTGAGCCGCATCAAATTATTGTTGAATATGCCGGAGAAATCATCACACAGTCCGAGTGCGAGCGACGCATGAAACAGGTGTACAAGAAAGACAAGGTGAGATTTCATCATTTTAGCCTAATCGGTTACACTAACATGTGATAGTGCTACTATCTGATGAGCTTTGATAACAAGATGATCATTGATGCGACTCGTGGAACTATTGCCCGCTTTGTTAACCACTCGTGCGAGCCCAACTGCGAAATGATCAAGTGGACTGTAGGGGGTGAGCCCCGGATGGCTTTGTTCGCTGGGTCTCGAGGAATCATGACCGGTGAAGAATTGACGTATGATTATAATTTTGAGTAAGCTTTTTTCCAAGTTACTACACGGGGAGGGATGATTCTAATCTAGACAGCCCATTTTCCCAAAAAAACATCCAAGAGTGTCGATGTGGTACCGAGTCTTGCCGCGGTGTGCTTGGTCCTAAACCTAAGAAACCCGTCGAGGAAAAGTCTCTCACTTCAACACTGATCGCTGGCACGAAGCGCAAGCTTCAGGATCTACTCGGTTCAAAAAGGGGTGGCTCCGAAAGCTCTCAGAATTTACCGAAGAAGCGGAAGCTGCTTGCTGGGAAAATCGGTTCTATCAAAGCAAGAAACAAGTTGATTGCATCGCAGACGGCCCGCGAGCAAGCTGAGCAAGAAGCGAGTGAGCATTCTCGGCAGACTGCATCTCGCGAAAACCGTGCTCTCAAGAGATCGGCGCCAGCAATGACAGGCCGACAGGCTCGAGCAGCCAAGTCAAGTACTACTCGACCCACTACTGTCAAGGTCACACGCCACACAACGGTTACCTTTCAGCGTAAGGTTTCGCGACCGGGTGCGCTCAAATCCGTAAAGAAGTTTCCCCGAACAGAATCCGGTCCACGACAAGCCGAACCGAAGCCTAAAGGCAAGAAAGGAGTCCGATCTGCCCAGCGACCTAGTACTCCCGACCGAGAGACTAGCGACAGCGCATCAGAATCCGAAGACGACAACATGTCTGTAAACATTACGCCCGCCTCTTTGCGCAGCGCGACTAGAAAATCCGCGCAATCCAGCCCCGTTGTACGTGGACACCCCAACACCGAAGTGCAAGGAAGTGGGATTTCTGGAAAATCTAACAAAACTAGTTTACACAGTCCGGCAAAGCTGCAGTCCGCGCAGAATAAAGCCCGCAGTGTACGGGGAAGTTAGATCGATCGACTCGGTAGTTTATAGACGATGGATTACTCTTAGTTAGTATACAGTGGAAAATGGTTGGTTTCGGCTCCTTCTTCTTTTTATATTCTTCTTAGGGCTACACCTATGGAAGAAAGGTAATACAGTTCTCCTTTCTTGTCGGTTGATTTTCTTCTTATAGCGCGTACAGGATGTATTGAGAGAAAGAAGTATACGGGGTCTATAACGAGGTATCATGCTTCCATCTTTGTTTCTGGCGAGAAAAGACGGGTAGTTGGGGCGGAAGAGTGGTGTTTTCTTGTTAGCGAGTATGATCTTTTTGTATGCGTCATTCATCTTTCTTGTTCAACAATGAAATATGTAGTTATTGGCTGAATGCCCCCACCATATCAGTGTGTGTTTGCTTCAACGCGGATTTATTTGCTGCCCTGGTTGCGATGGGTGATGGCATTTTCGTATTAAAATGCGCATTACCAATGTTAAATTTCTTTGATACAATGTCAAACTGCGTAATTGTTTATTTGTCTAGTCTTGAATGTGCCATAGTCTTCATTTTTGTAAATGCAAATGCGGCAAGATTGTGAGATCGTCTTGTGATGCCGAAGTTTGCATCTACCGGCGTGCATCATCCCCAGGTTGTCAAATCCATAATGTACCGTGATTAGGCTGTCAGCGCTAGTTTGCAGAATGTCACCTTGGGCTCGTCATCGTTAGAAATAATGCAGCCCAAGAGCGTCTAGTATCTTTTTCTAAACGTGACGCAAAATTTCGTATCTATCCATTCGTATCACGTGTACAGGAATTGGGTAGTCTATATGAAATTTTAGGCTGTTTTTGAAGTCAGGATGCCTGTATATTAACATGTAAAGCACCACACGTAAGTACACAGTGCCCTTGACCATTACAAAACATAGGACAGGCATTGATTGGTGGACTCATTCATGTAGCACAGCGTCATTGCAAGACCTCGTGAGGCGCGTTTTTTGCTCGAAGCAGTTGTCTACACCGCGGCACCACTTTGGGCCTAGCGCGCCAGCAACCTCGAGCTTGCATGCTAGGGTATGTAGTCAAGGCCGTCGACGTGCATTTGTCGCGACTTTCTCCTTCTCTTTCACTTTTTTCTTCTCTCACTATTTGTAGAGTGCTTCGAGAGCACTGCTACACCACCAAACACTCCCTACCACGCCCCTCCGCGCTCTTCTGCGCGCACACGAAGCCTCCCGCTATGGGCTCCGCCGCCGCTGTCACTGCTCGCCGTAGCTCATGATGCCAACTGCCGCCCATCCCAACCCGCTTGCCTTGCACGCTCCTGCGCCCCCGACCGCCGATATGAATGGCTCTACACACCACCATCAGCAGTCTTCGCTCTCGGTGCCTGCTTCTGAGCAGTTGCGACCCAACACCGCCGTACCTGCCAATCCCTCGACAACCAACGATGCAGACGACCCTCCACCGCCTGTCCGCCCGGCCTCATCTGGTCACCCACCCGCTCGCCCCAGCTTCGCGCGTGCAAAAAGCGACTTTGGCCCTCGTCATGCCGTCATGCCGCCCGATGGTACCGACGAGGAGAGCATTGATGGACACTTCAAGATTCGCCATGGCTGGCACGATCAACTGAACTCAGAGGAGTACAGTAATCTGCTCACATCCAACTTCTTCATGTATTACACAGACAAGAAGCATGAGACGGGCGGACACCCCAAGAACGACGACGGCGCGTTTCCTGTCCAGGAATGGCGCATGCGAGACCGCCTTAAGACTGTCTCCGCTGTACTCGCCCTCTGCCTTAACATCGGCGTAGACCCCCCAGACGTCATCAAGACGAATCCATGTGCAAAGGAAGAGTGCTGGATCGACCCCACCGTCACTTCACAGACACCAGGCCACACACCTATGAATCAGATTGGCAAGGCCCTTCAGACGCAGTACGAGCAGCTTAGCATGCGCACGCGCTACAAGTTGCTGCTCGACCCTACAACAGAAGAGACGAGAAAGTACACATCGACGCTGAGGCGCAATGCCCGCAACGAGCGCGTCTTGTTCCACTACAATGGCCACGGTGTGCCCAAACCTACGTCATCGGGTGAAATCTGGGTGTTCAACAGAAACTACACTCAATACATACCCTTGTCACTCTACGACTTGCAATCCTGGATCGGCGCCCCCAGTCTCTTTGTCTACGATTGTTCTGACGCTGGTCTCATAATCAGTAACTTCAACCGCTTTGCTGAAAAGCACCAGGCAGAATTTGAGGAAGCCCGTCGTAGAGACCCTAGCGTCGAGCACGTCGACTTTGCCGATTGTATCCATCTTGCAGCATGTAGGGAAAAAGAGTCTCTTCCCACAAATCCAGAACTTCCGGCCGACGTCTTCACTTCCTGTCTGACCGACCCTATCACTATGGCCGTGCGATTTTTCATATTGCAGAATCCCCTTCCAACCAAAGTCAGCCTTCGAGATGCTCATAACATTCCAGGCAAGGTCTCCGAGCGTAGAACGCCTATTGGTGAATTGAACTGGATATTCACAGCCATTACTGACACCATTGCATGGAACTCTCTTTCCAAACCCTTGTTCAAGAAGCTGTTCCGTCAGGATTTGATGGTCGCAGCTCTCTTCCGCAACTACCTTCTTGCACAGCGCGTCATGCGTGCTTACCACTGTCACCCTGTGTCACATCCTGAAATCCCCCAAACACATGACCACCCGCTGTGGCGCAGCTGGGACCTTGCTGTTGAGCTCATCTTGGCCCAACTACCAGCGCTTCAAGCTGAAGCTCGCGGTGAACGCGAGTACAACTACAAACACTCTGATTTTTTCTCGGAGCAGTTAACTGCTTTTGAGGTCTACTTGACCCAAGGTGCAGTCGAACAAAAAGTACCAGAACAGCTTCCCATAGTGCTACAAGTACTGCTGAGTCAGGTCCACCGACTGCGTGCTCTCATCTTGCTCTCAAGCTTCCTTGACCATGGTCCTTGGGCTGTGAATCTTGCGCTCAGCATTGGCATCTTCCCATATGTACTAAAACTACTGCAATCACAAGCAAATGAACTCAAACCAGTCATGGTCTTCATCTGGGCCCGGATTCTTGCCGTGGATCAGTCTTGCCAGGCTGATCTTCTCAAAGATAATGGTTATCAATATTTTATCAGCATATTTAACCCCAATTCTGGTATATTGCTACAAAAAACCCATCATACTGTCCATAAGCTAAGCGAAAACAGGAATCCCAATACAAAATGCTAGCGAACACCGTGCCATGTGTGCCTTTATTATTTCCATGTTCTGCAAGGATTACAATCAGGGACAACGCGCCTCGCTCAACACAGAGCTGGTCGAGAGTTGCTTGGACCATCTCAAAGACATGCAAAACCCATTGCTGAGGCAGTGGTCATGTCTCTGCTTGAGTAAGCTATGGGTAAACTACGAGGAAGCAAAGTGGGTCGGCATACGATGCATGGCACATGAGCGTCTATGCGAGCTTGTCGTGGACCCCGTTGCTGAAGTCCGGGCTGCAATGCTGCATGCATTGGCATCATTTCTAGGTATTCGCGACGTTACACCCCAAGTGGCTAACATTGAAGAATCCATTGCCTCTATGATCTTGGTCATGACGATGGACGGTAACAGCATGGTCCGAAAGGAATTACTCATCTTCTTTTCAACATTCGTTGCTCGCTACAAGAGCCGCTTCATTGTCGCTGCATTCGAACAATTCTCGGAGGAGAACACCGATTCGAGTGCAAAGCAATCGGATGACAAAACCGGCGACTCATTGTACATGAAGAGCCGAACAGGGACCATGGGTATCTCTGAGTCGACATCCTGCTCGCAGAACACCATCTACTCGGCGATATGGAAAGAACTGTTGGTCATGTCAGTTGACCCATACCCAGAAATTGCGCGCGATGCTGGAATTGTCGTTGATTACATTTTGATGGCGTTGATGGATTCATCCCTGGCCAAGTTTGTACAACCGCAATTGGATGAGACTCTCCAACACGTGCCAGCCCCTCGACCAATGCGCCGTGTAGTAGACGAAGGTCCCGCCCCTCAGAAACAATCGAATCCCCCGACACCCACAAAGGACTCCACATACTTATCTCTTTTTGGCGGTATCAGGAAATCTACAAGCGTAGGTGCTTCGCTCAAGAGCCTGTGGGCCAGTCATGATTCCGCAGGCCCCAAGCAGGGTTCCTTAGGAAGGACTGGTACAGAGAGTTCGCAGATGTCTACTGCATCGCGCCCCCAAACACCGGAGAAGTACAACGCCGATGAGCAGCCAACATCTCGGGGTTTCAAGAACCGCAATCTGGCAGAAAAGCCAGAAATACCACTGAAGAGTGTATTCTTTGAATGGTCTGTGGAATACTTCAGGGAGCCCCAGATGAAGCCGACCGAAGCCGACGAGCCGGGCAGCACAGATTACAATGGCAGACTTTGGCGCAGGAACCGCAATGATAAGATCATTGCTGAAACCCAGCCGCTCAAGGATATTGCGATTTCCAATCGCTGGGATGTGCCCCGCGGATATGTCGATAACCTCAGCCAGCCTGCAAAGATGTTCTTCCACCAATTTGAAGACCATCTTGTCGTTACCGATACGCGAGATACCGTCAACATCTTTGATTACTCGAAGTCCGTCAATCGCATCAACAGCTTCTCCAACGGGAACCCGCCTGAATCAAGAATAACTGATGTACGATTCATCAACGAAGACGACCAGGCACTGTTGATGACCGGATCGTCTGATGGTGTCATCAAAATATTCCGCAACTACGATCGAAAGGGAGAAACGGAACTTGTTACTGGATTCCGAGCCCTGACGGATCTCGTCTCCAGCAACAAGAATGCTGGGCTAGTATTTGACTGGCAGCAAGGTAGGGGCTTAATCTTAGTCGCTGGTGACGTCAAGGTCATTCGAGTGTGGAATGCTGGGACTGAAGTGTGCACGAATGTGAGTTGCATTTTGCGATTAAGTTATGCACTATGACTGACTTTTACAGGACCTTCCAGCGCGATCTGGTTCCTGCATCACATCATTGACGTCCGACCAAGTAGAGGGCGACGTGTTTGTCGCTGGCTTCGGCGATGGTGCCATACGTGTGTACGACCAGCGCCAAAAGCCTGCTACCGCCATGGTCAAAGTCTGGAAAGAACACAAGCAATGGATTACCAACGTGCATCTACAGCGTGGAGGACAGCGTGAACTTGTAAGCGGCTGTCGTGGCGGTGAAATCAAGCTATGGGATATCCGCTGGGACCGCAGTGTGAAGACTATCCAGGCAACTTCCGATACTCTTAGAACTCTGAGTGTCCATGAACATGCCCCTGTATTCGCTACGTAAGTGTCTTTGACGATCGCAAGGATAACACAGCATACTAATCATCCTAGTGGCACACAACGACACCGAGTCAAAATCTTCAACATCAACAACGGCCAGCCCGTATCCCACCTCGAGCCTTACTCTGGCTTCCTTCGTGACCGCTCTTCTCCCATCTCTGTTACCGCTTTCCACCCTCATCGGCTGATGATTGCCGCAGCAGCAGCACACGACACTCATGTCAACATTTTCTCGTGTCACGAGCCTAAGAATACCACGGTCAAAACAGTGAAGCTTTGGGACGGAGGTGCTACTGCATCGAGTCGATCATCCATACACGGTTGATCAAGGTTCCCGCTATCTTTTTGTTTGATGTTGGAGGAGAGAGGATGTTGTGACAGTCGCAGGATTGCGCAGTGGGTTACGTCTTTCTGTAGCGCATACAGCAGGGCTCATGGAAGTCCCATCTTGTTATTATACCCAGTCACATTAATAACTAATACGGTATGAAGTAATGCACCCATTGATTGTTAACAACTTTTACTCGCCATGCTGTGAGTAAAATGACCGGTGGGTGTGCTTGAGCCACAGAGCGCGGTGGCTGGGGTGCCTATGACGCTGCGGGGGATGGCGGGGCTGTGAATCATTCATGTATGCCCCACTATCGAATTCCGACTGACAATTCCACACCACGCAGCTTTGGAACGCGACCTATAGCTCATACCACCCAATACAACCACAATGAGTGACGCACCACCAGCCGGCGGCGAGGCACCCTCCAAGAATGCGTTGAAGAAGGCGCAGAAGGAGAAGGAGAAGGTCGGCGCTCCGTTTTTCGCTTCACATTGGATCGACTGACATTTGCGCAGGCGGAGAAGAAGGCCGCAGCAAAAGCCCGTGAACTCGCTGAGCGCACCAAGAAGGAAGCGGATGACGCTGCCGATGTCTCTGTTGGCTCATACGGCGAGCTTCCTTTGATTGGATCCAAAGACTACAAACCTACAGGAACCCCTCGCACCGACCTCACTGCCATTGCCGACAATGAGGATAAGGAGATCACATTCCGGTGCTGGGTCGAGAATGCAAGAGTTCAATCAGCCAAGCTTGCTTTCCTGAACCTGCGCCAGAACCTCAACACCGTCCAGGCTGTCGTTGCGGCCAGCGACAAGCTCAGTAAGCAAATGGTCAAGTTCTGCGGCAACGTCAGCACTGAGAGCACGTTGGCTGTCACAGGTCTGGTCAAGCGAGTCAAGGAGCCCATCAAGAGCGCAACAATCAGCGATTTTGAGATCCACGTTCAAAAGTTGTTTGTCGAGGCCAGCGCTGAGATTCCGCTACCTCTCCAGGTATCTGATGCTGAACGACCCATGCCTAGCGATGCGGCAGCAGAGGAGGGTGAGAAAGAGGGAGAGGGAGATGAACGTCCGCTTGTCAGTTTGAACACAAGGTTGAACAACAGGACACTTGATCTCCGGGCTAAGATCAACCAATCGATTTTCGTCATCAAGAGCGGCGTATGTGCCCTGTTCCAGGAGTTCCTTTCAAAGAAGGGCTTTGTCCTCGTTCACACACCAAAGATACTGTACGTGATTCCTGTTCTCTTTCCATACATTCGCTGACAGCATATCAAGTGGAGCTGCTTCTGAAGGAGGAGCCAATGTCTTTGAGCTGAAATACTTTGGTCGCCCTGCCTACCTTGCTCAGTCACCACAGTTCTACAAACAGATGCTGATCGCATCCCGCTTCCAGAAAGTCATGGAGATTGGCCCCGTATTCCGTGCCGAAAACTCCAACACTGCCCGTCATTTGACTGAGTTTACCGGTCTCGATTTGGAGATGGAGTTCCAAGAGAACTACCACGAGGTCATGAGCGTCTTGGAAGATCTCATGCTATTCATCTTCAATGAACTCAACGCACGCTACAGCAAAGAGACAGAGCTCGTCAGAGGTGTCTACCACGTTGAGCCGTTCAAGCTACCTGAGTCTGGAAAGGTACCCAGGATTCCCTTCCAGGAGGGTATCAAGATGCTTCGCGAAGCTGGCGAGGAGCTCGGCGACTACGATGACCTGACGTAAGTTTGATTTACTCTCTACCATCAGTGTGTATCTAACATGTTGCCTAGAACCCCACAAGAAAAGCACCTTGGCCGTCTTGTCCTCGAAAAATACGGCACCGACTTCTACACGCTCGACCAATTCCCGCTCGCCATTCGTCCCGCGTACACAATGCCATCGCCCGCCGATCCAAACCTCTCCAACTCATACGACATGTTTATGCGCGGCCAAGAAATTTGCTCAGGCGCACAACGTATTCACTCGTCCGCTCTCCTCGCCGAGCAGATGCGCAAGCACGACCCGCCGATTGATCCCGCCGGCGCGGGAACAAAGGACTACGTCGACTGCTTCAAGTATGGTTGCCCGCCACATGCTGGAGGTGGTTTCGGTCTAGAACGTATTGTACAGTTCTGGCTAGGCCTGCCGAATATTCGTATGTGCAGCTTGTTCCCACGTGACCCTCAGAGGGTTGTACCTTAAGTGTGTTTTTGAGGTCGCGTGAAGTCTGAATGTCAAGGTTTTAGCGAAGGACAATAGGCATCTTGCGAGATGAAGGGTGCATGTTTGTAGTCAACACAGAACAACAAAAAACTAAAATATCAGTCGCAAAAGAGGAGCGCAGATTCTCTTTATTATGAGCTTGATCACTGAAGACGATACCTGAACAAAAAACATCAATGAATAATGTGATTGCCGTTGATTTCTGGTTCTGATTCCTTTTAGGAGAGATTATTGATTCCTAGTGCTACTCGCTAGGAAATGTATTACATGTAAATGGTAACCCAATGATTTCAGGGCCGACTACTTCTTTTTTAGCATCTTGTCGCGCCAAAAGGAAGCTCGTTATTTCAACAGTTTCCCTAATCGAACCACAACCTAGGGCTAGTGGTGACGGAAACCAATACCTTTTTTGTGATTAGCGAGCCTTGGTCCGTTGATAAGGAGAGGTAATTGCGACTCGCACTAGTTCCCTAGTCTCTATCGCAGAAACTCCCATTCGAGTGGTCGAGTGGTGGTAGGCGTGAGTAGAATGCGAGGTCCGGTTTTATGCATCACGTCCCTCCTTTTGACTTGTATGACGCTGTTGGCGCCATAGTCTTCTCCGGCGTGGACACGTCGAGTCGGTACTCTTCTCCCTCAAAAAGTACCCAAAACTAGCCCCAGCCCTACGAACAAAGCTTCAACGTCGCCCCCGCAAGTTTCTTCTGTCCCTCCTCTCCCAGAGCTTTCTCATCAACCTCCTGTATCGCCTTACCAATCGCCAGCGTTGCCCTTACACTCCCTGCATCCACATGCACAAGTCCATTCCTCCCAACCGTAACCTCGAACCCTATCTTCGCACCCAGTGTCTCCAGCAGCGTAATCCCGCCGCGCGCAGCAAGCATGCGCCTCGCCATTCCTAAGCTAACTTTGAACACCATGCCACCTTTTAGCAAGCCAAGGCCCTCGCTTTTGCCGGTGGAGGGATCGACGCAGGTGAGTTCGGGGGGCAGGTCCTTGCCTGCGCTTGCGACGCGGCAGTATACGAGCGAGTTTGGAGGGAGCTGAGGGCGCGTTTTCTTTGTTGCGCCTTCGAAGGCGAGGTGGGGGAGGGTAGCGGGCGGGGTGGAGGGTGTGAGGAGGCAGTTGAAGGTTTCGGCGGCAGAGCTGGAGACAGTGGCTATGACGAGGTCACCTGTGAAGGGGAGGTACTGGTGTAGGTATTAGATGGGTTTGGGATTTGAAATAGAGAGGAGGATTTACTCTTCCACTGTTGAATTCGATTGAGGCGGCATTCTTCCTGTTGTCGGTGACTAGGGCGCCTGCAATGGTGGCTGTGACGGTGTCGGGAGGTATATGGCGTAGACCGGGTCCAATTGTCAATGTCTTTTTCTTGCCTGTGCCTTGAGGTAAAGCGCTTTTTGGAATTTCATCGCCTGGAAGGACGATTGTGGGTGACACGGCCATGGTGAGAGTGGGTATATGGTGTTGTAGTAAAGTACTAACTTTTTGGTGGTTGAAGCAAGCATGTGCAGTGAGCTCATTCCGAAGTGCGCCCGTGCGCTTCCGAGAAAAATGCACCTCCGTACCTCGTCGCCGAACAAGAGTGGAATTTCCTTAGCCGCGAAAAGAAATCGACTTTACACGCGCTACAACTTGACGACAAAGCAACCCAGACAACCCTTTTTGCCCCAGTTTCTTCGCTTGAATCGGGCAATTGTCTGCATCGCGGTGACACTTCGTCTTTCTTTTTTTTTCTTCAACGATAAGATTTGCCTCCCCCGCGCAAGATGAGTGCACAAGCAGACCCCGCGCAGCGGGTTGCTATAGGAATCTCCTTTGGCAACTCGTACAGCTCTATTGCCTTTACCACTGGTGTGAGTATTTCTCAATAGACATGATAATTACTGAGACACGACTGACACCAATGTAGGAGGGCAAGGCAGAAGTTATTGCCAACGAAGACGGAGGTGCGCCGCTGTGATGCTCGCCCACATTCTCTCGCGAATACTAATCTTTTGCACAAAGACCGCCAGATTCCCACCGCCCTGTCCTACGTCGAGGGCGAAGAACTCCACGGTGGCCAGGCCAAGCCCCAGATTGTCCGCAATGCAAAGAATACCGTCGCATACTTTCGCGATTTCCTCGGCCAAGAGTATGGCTTTCCATTCCCTTTCTCTGTGTGTTCCTATGTGACTGACGCTATCCAAGTTACAAGTCGATAGACCCCTCTCCATGCCACCAGTCGGCCCACCCCATCGAGCACGAGAACAGCATTGCGTTTAGCATCCGCGACGGCACTGAGGAGCAGGAAAACACCGTTTCTATTATCGATATCACTACACGTCACCTTAAGAGGCTACGCACCTCTGCCTCTGACTACCTTGGAAAGGATGTGAACGCTGCCGTCATCACCGTTCCCACAAACTTCTCCGACGCCCAGAAGGAGGCGCTCAAGAAGGCTTCAACAAGTGCTGGTATGGAGGTCCTACAGTTCATCAGCGAGCCCACCGCTGCTGTCCTGGCCTACGACGCTCGCCCCGGTGCACAGCTCGCGGACAAGGTCGTCGTCGTTGCCGACCTGGGTGGTACCCGTGCCGATGTTGCTGTTGTCGCATCCCGTGGCGGCATCTACACTATCCTGGCAACAGTCCACGACTACGATGTCAGTGGCTTCAAGCTCGACCAGGTGCTCATGGACCACTTTGCCAAGGAGTTCATGAAGAAGCACAAGTCCGCCGGTGACCCTAGGGAAGACGACCGATCGCTGGCCAAGCTGAAGCTCGAGTGCGAGGCCGTCAAGAAGGCCCTCTCCATTGGTACCACAGCAAACTTCTCCGTCGAGAGCTTAGTAGGTGGCATCGACTACACTGCCACCATTAACCGCACCCGATATGACCTCCTGGGCAACAAGCTGTTTAGTGCCTTTGCCCGTCTCGTCACCCACGCCGTTGAGAAGGCCAATTTGGATCCCCTTGACGTATCCGAGATTGTGTTGGCTGGCGGAAACTCTCACACACCAAAGGTCGCCTCTACTGTGGGTGCAGCCTTCCCTGAGTCTACCGTTGTCCTGGCTCCCTCCACCTCCCCCTCAGCCATCAACCCTTCAGAGCTGGCCGTCCGCGGTGCTGCCATCCAGGCCAGTCTTATCCAGGAATTCGAGCTCGAGGACATTGAGCAGAGCACCCACCCCATGGTCACCGTCACTCCTCACCTCTCCACTGCAGTCGGTGTACTGTGCATCTCTGGCGATGAGTCTTCGGGTGTCTTCCACCCCATTGTCGACGCAGAGACATCACTACCCGTCCGACGAACTGCGACCATTTCGACCCCACGCGAGGGCGGCGACGTGCTTATTAAGCTTGCCGAGGGTTCAAGGCACATCAAGGTTACCAAACCAGAGCCCAAGCCCAAGGCTGAGAAGAATGAGGATGACGAGGACGACAGCGATGAGGATGAGAGCGAGGATGAGGAGGAAGAGCTGAGGGAAAAGACATGGAAGGTCGGCCAGACCCTCAGCGAGGCCGCCATCCGTGGCGTCAAGAAGGGCGCAAAGGTCGAGGTCCAAATTAACATTGGCGCTGACCTAAGCATAAACGCAATCTTCCGTGAAGTCGGAGGAAAGGGTGGTGTGCGTGGTACTGTTCAAGGAAGCAAAGTGAATGGAAGCGCATAAATGGGGTGTTGTTTGGATTGAGTCCCAACTTTCTCCCCTTGACGATTTGCACATTCAATCTCTTGAGTGGCGGCAATACACGGCATACAAGGCTAGACCTTTTTGTAGCTTTTCTCTCTATTCTAGGTTATAGGTGTCTGCGAAAAATTTAGGATTTATAGACGTGTGGTATCTGCTGAGTTTGAGACTATGCAATGTCTGGGAGTCTGTAGTCTCGGCCTTGGTGATGCGTGAATACTGATGTGTTGCCACAGTCTGTTCTCAGTGATCCCAGTGCTGAGGTAGTTGTTTCGATGACCGTGTTACTCTATCTGTTGAGGAAAACAGGGACTTTGTTTTACGCAATTCTGAGTACCACTTCGCTGTCATGTGATGGTCGTATTGAGTACAACAACAACAACAACAACAACATAGACAACACAGCAAACCGCCAAAAATATCCAACTCTTTATCCACGGCATCTCCTCCGACTACCGATTCTGCAACAACCGAAATCTCGGCCTCATCTTCCTTCCCAATGTCGTCCCATGAATCCACTCTTCATAATCCATATTTCGTGTTGTACCAATCAAAGACCAAATATCCTCATAATGCCATCGTCCCTCAACCCAATTTTCCTTGTCCAACTCCTCAATTAGCAGATACTCCAGCGCCCCCAACTCCTCTTCATACTCCTTATCCCACTCCGTACTGACGCCCACATTCAAGTAACGCAAACAACCAAGCCACCGCTCATCGATAAGCGAGTACAAATCCGTCGGCGTAAAACTGCGCGCAGGATCGCCCTGGCGCCCACTCGACACAAGCGTAAGACTGGTAAGCGGCCTCGCCTCCTCCCATCGAGCTTGCGAGAAATCCATCGGCATAGAACCGAACCGCGAGTCAATGTAATCAAGCGCTATAGTCAGCGACACGAGCTTCGGTAGCCATTCCAGCACACCATTTAGCCGTCCTTGTTTCACGGCTGGTAAATCCCGCAGTTCGACAGCTGTAAGGTTCGTAGCGAGGGTGCTGAGTAGTGGTTTTACGCCGGAGTGGTCGAGCGCGGGACAGTGGTGTATACTTATTGAGGAGAAGGTCGGGGGGAAGTTGTCGGGTTGTTGGAGCATGTCCCAGAGGAATTGTCCGGAGACTGAGCCTGAGAGGGCGAGGTGCTGGAGACGAGGGGGCCAGCGCAAGGTTGATGTTGGGGAGGTGGCTTTTTCATAGCGGGAGGAGCAGCGGGGGAGGTAGAGTTCACGGAGTTGGGGGAGTTGGCGGATGGTTTGGTTGAGAGATTGGAAGTCAATGCATTCCGAGACTCTGCCGAAGCTGGGGCGTTAGGTGGGAGGTTGGGGTTGGGGGATTGCTTGGAGGGTGGCTTACAGGCTCAGGTCTAGGACGCGCAAACGAGTACATTTGCTTAGGCTGGCCCAGCAGTTTATTGCAAAGCTGGCTTGGGGTGCTACGAAGACTTCCAGTGAGGATTTTGTGCGTCCTAGTAGTCTTGCTGTTGTGGATTTTGCGCCTTGGTGTACGATGTGGGATAAGTCTAAGTCTTTGACTAAGCCAGATAATGGTGACGGCTGTTTTTTTGTTAGTCTCTTTTTTTTGTATCGTTTATCGTGGACCTGAGGGTCTACAAGGATAATTACCTTAATGCGTGCATTAACAGAAGGACTGATTGTGCGAACGAAGAGGTCATATGCACGTCCCAAAAGAAACGGTGCCTCGTATAGTGGTTGTATGGCTACCTGGCAAGACGAACAAAGTGGTAAGTAGGTAATACATCAAGACAATCAAGGTGAAACCTGACATACATCGTACCATTGCCTGCCCTGTCAGCTCACGTGAACAAGAAAGCATCTAGACTATCGCATACCTATTCACGGCGGAGAAGCGGGCCAAGGTAATTTGCCTCTCGAGCCTGCTCCATGACTCAAGATGGGACAGTATCTCGAGCAGCAACTCGTCAGGGAGATAGTTGGCATAGTTTCCCTTATTACACGTAGCCATAGCTTACTGAACCGGTTGTTATATGATATATGAAACTATCGCGTAAGTGATGTTCCTTGAGAGCGTTGAGCGCAAACGTGCGGTTGAGATGACGCACTAGCACGTAGGTTTGCGCTTATCTCCTTGCTAAAACCCGAGCTTGGGGAAACGCCATGCACACGCCGTCACGCTAGGCATTCATGCACGTAGACGCGCCGTTGCGCGACAATTAAACCACCTATTGAAGCTAGGCACAATGTTGCACATCGACGGACCATTTGCTTTTCGAGATGCAACAAAGGACAAGTTACTTGTCCAGGATGCCAGGCCCACACACACGCTCTCCGCAACGGACATGAGCTACTCCACACCCGGACTGTTAATCTACCCGGCTCGGACCGGGGTTGTGTTTATGGAAATCGATAGATAGACTTGCAGCACGGAGTTCACAGTGGTCACAGTGGTCACAGCGGACGGCAAACCAGTGGGAGGTTTGCTATATGCCACCCAAGGATAACATCAAGGTACTGCACAACATGGCAGGCCTTCGTGCTCGACTATACCTGCCAAGCCAGAGCGCATACGTAGCACGATCCCTGCCCGCTTCAATGTCATTTTTCACCCTTTGCTCACCATCGGTCCTTTTTCGCTATGCAACAGTCCGACCCCAGCAATTCTGACGGGAAGCAAAGCCGTCAGATATTAACAAAACAAGAGCGATTGCGGAACTTATGTACTTGTAGGACCGCTCCATACCTATATATCATATAATACGGCACGGGTGACATTCCTACTCTACCGTGTAGTTCCCGCGTATAGCCAAGCCATTGGACGTACTTGGGTAGACTGGCGTGGTGTTTGTCCGATAATTGATTGTTTTAAGTCTTCACCCTTGCAGATCACTTAAAGTTTAAGTCGCCTGCGACACTGGTACATGTCCCCTTTCCTTAGAGGGAAATTTCCCGGGGTTGGCCAAATTAGCCCAATTCATACTACTTTTTCTTGCTTGTGCAGATAAAAGGAATCCATGTTGCCCTTCCTGTTCCTTTTTTGCCTCGGACAGCCCCTCAAGTTCGAATTTCCCACATCATGAAGGCGACTGTCACTGCGCTAGCTTTATTAGGATCGGCAGCCGCTGAGCGCCTCCTCCTAGCATCTTATGGCACCGACTCGAATCTGGGCGCCGTTACGACTCTCGAACTCTATCCCAGCACTGGTTCTAAATGCAGCCGAAAGCTGGAGGTTATTCACAACAGCCAAGAATGCGGTTCCCTTCCTACTTGGCTCGACACAAGCCTCGGTCAGAATAAGGTGATCTGCCTAGATGAATCAGGCAATGCCAACATTACGACATTCAATCTCCAGCCCAATGGTAGTCTGAAGAAGATTTCTAGTTCGCCTGCGCTGGGTGGTGCTGTATCTTCAGCAACTTATAATAACGGGTCGGCTATAGCACTCGCTCACGTAAGTGCCTTTTATCCGTACAAGACAAAGTTTCTTGCTCGTACTTGTATACTAACCTCACATCAATAGTATGGACCTCCAGCAATATCTTCCTACTCCGTACATGGCAACAGCCCCCTTCAATCCCTCCAAAACATCACCTTCGCGGACCCAGAAAAGATCCACCAAGCCGTCCTTGACCCTACAGGGCAGTACATGATCTTCCCTAGTCTGGGCGTTGACCGTGTCCACGTTTACGCGATCAATCCCACCAGCGGCCAACTAATCCAACTGGAGTCTCTGGTCTCCCCAGCCGGCTATGGCCCCCGCCACGCTGCCTTCTGGACCTCCAAACAATCAGGCTCCACCTTCCTCTTCGTCGTTCATGAATTCAGCAACAAAATCATCAGCTACAAGGCCACCTACCTCGCCAACCACGCCGGAATCAAGTTCACCCAGGTCGACGAAGTAAGCACCTACGGCAACTACACACTCCCGAACAGAAAACTGTCCGCCTCGGAAATCTCAATCTCACCTGACAATGCGTTTGTGCTTGCCGGAAACCGCAACGGCACCATTTTCACCGTCGATAATCCGGATCCGAAGAATAGCACAAAAGTGCCCAGCGACTCGATTGTTACGTATAAGCCGTCGGCGGATGGTAAACTGAAGTTTGTCCAGCTAGCCAAATCTGGGGGCTATTTTCCGCGCCATTTCCAGGTGAGCAAGGATGGCGCGTTGATTGCGGTTGCGAATCAGCGGAGTAACAATGTGGCAATTTATGCGAGGGATGTCAAGACGGGGGTTATTAAGGATGATAAGCCTGTGGCGGGGGCTGCGGGTCTTGGACCGGGAGATCTCATGTGAGTATATCTTTTTCTTTCTTTGAAATTCTTGGACTGGTTTGCTAATTGTTATCTAGGTACATCACATGGATCTGAGAGTAACGAAGAGGAGTGTAGGTCGTGACAAAGGCGCATAAGGGCTTGAGCTTCAAATGTGTACAGTTCAGTGATGCCAAAGAGCAATCTAGTAGATTTAGATTTATAGATCTAGATGATACAATAGTTCGCCTTCAAGGTATCCGTTTTCCTTGTTCTTGTGCAATAGCCCACGCCACGGCGTCCCACACATCACTCACAATCTTACGTGGTTCAGGTGATGGTTTGGTGCCTTTGACGTAGACGCCCGTCTCTACTAATATACTAGCCCAATCAGTGCTGTACGGACTCTTGTAGTTATTGCCACCAGCAATGTCACTGGCTGGGTTATCGCCGACCATGTAAACTCGCTTAAGATGGTCAAGGGTTCCGCCGTACTGTTTCATCAGGTGACTGCGATGTGCTATGAGTCGCTTTTCGGCAAACTCATAGGTAGGCTGATGTGGTTTCCCCATGACAACCTTATGCAGCTTGACACCCTTTGCCTCTCCACCAGTCACTGCTGCCCAAATGCCTTCAAAAGCTTCGCGGAAACCTCCTTGGCCCAGACGTGGAAGGTGGTATTTAGCGGCCCAGAGCAAGTCTGGATTAGAATAATAAACTGTAGGCTGTCCGTCTTGTTGGTAGCCACGATTCTCTAGGGCATCATTGCCGTTCTTCTTGGACAGAGTTCCCATGATACCTTTTTCCGATAGTAAAACATCTTTGATGATTTGCGCATCGAGGCCCCAATCACGCGGATCGTTGTAAACGAAAACGGCATCGATACGGAGTGATGTCGATGGGGAAGAAGGGTTGATGGGAGCAGGCAGAGGGCGAGTAAACGTCTTGTAGTATGAAAGCAATTGCTGCGAAAAGGGCCAGACTTCTGGATGAGCCACTAAGATATCACCTGGGGTGACCACTGTTTTGAAGCTGTACACATTTGTTAGGACACATAGCGACATGGATGTGCGTTTCTTCGTACCCGTATGCCTCAGCAACTTTTCTGCACTTGTCTGCTTCACCGCCAACGACCATGACCGTCTTGTCCTTGAGATGGTCCATGTCGGCAAAGGGTGTATGGCTTTGAACAAACATGGAAGTATCCAGAGGGATATTGAGCCTGCTGCTCAGGTCGGCGACGCGGTCCGACTCGTGTTTCCCGCCGCCATTTGTGAGCAGGATGAATGGGATGCGCTGCGCCTGGAGATAGGAAAGGGCCTGGTGGGCTCGCGGCAATGGATCAGCACTTCTAAGAAGCACCCCGTCGATACTGACAGCCGTCAGCGGCCGTGTTGTGAACCCGATGGCAGAGGTGCCTTACTCGAAAGCGAACGCAAAGTCGGATGTGGGGGCATGAGGGGCAGCTGCCGTCTGGAGAAAGCGACGAAGCGGGATATGGTACCCGCTGCGAGTAAGTGGTCTCGTCACACGCATTATTTTTGCTGGCGCCATTGTCAAGGTGCTGTGTGTTGTTGAAGGTGCTGGACGACATGTGGGTGGAGCATAGGACGTCGCCAGCTGGACCCACTTTAATCTTCGGAGCCGTTCATGCAACCATCACACACATTCACAGCTGGCCCGCTTCGTTCATCAACTGCGACCAACCTTCTTTTCTCCAACCCAAACGTGTTCTACATGCACTCGCTTGCAAAATTGGCTTCCGGCATCTGCATCTGGGGCCCTTTTTCATCACAGGGGGTCAGCCTCGCTGAGCGAAAGCTATACCGTGACATCAAAGCCATAGCAACTCAGCATTTGCGTGTTGCCTGCCCCAGCCACCTTTCTAAGTTAGTTACAAGTGATACTGCAATCATTCTACGTACCCAGAAACTTTCTTGGATGCTGAAATGAACACAAATGATCATGTCACAACGAGCTCGGCACCTATCAGGCGAAAGAGCGACCTTATCTTTGGTTACACAGCATTATTGCGATCCGTTTGCTCAAGATAAGTCATGCATAAACCCACTGCATCGACCATGAACTCAATATATTTATCTAAACTCTGAAAATTGCGGGGTACTAACCACGATACTAACACTATGAGCCCTCGTTGCGTACCCTGCAATCGAGACTTTAGCAATGATGAAGCTCTCCAGCAACACAAACGAGACTCACCAGCACACAAATCCGACTGTATAACATGCGATCGCCATTTCAAAAACGACAAGGCTCTGACACAGCACTACCAGAATGCCGCTGTTCACGCTCAATCCTCTAAACATCCAGCCATTCTTACGATGTCTCCTCAAAAACCAAAGTCGGCCACAAAACCAAAGTCAAACAAAAAATGGTCGATGTATCCTTCACTTCACAATGAAGTGTCTGACCTCCTTTACAAAGACAATCTTTCCTTCAGCTTCTACGAGAAGGACGACACCAAAAGCTGCATAAAAGAATATGATACGAATATCATGGGCCAGTTCGCTTGCAGCAATACAGCATGCCTGGCTGTCTGGACAAGCAAGCGAATAGCCATCACTATACGGAAATATCTCGACGGGCGATACAATGCAAGAGTATATTACCAATCCTGCAAACGCTGCCGCATGACAAGTGAACCACAACTGGATTATTCATACGCAGAAAGAGTGGCATATCGCCTCAAGAAGTGGTCTGGCATCCAGATGGAACTCCATCCCTTCTCAGGGCAGAGTAACGGTCCACATAGAAGTGATCTATGTGAAGGGTGTAAGCAAGGTCATTGCAGCCAAATGGGATTGTGATTCTAGTCAACTTCGTAATAACAAGCATCGCGATAGGGACAAAGGCAGTCCTTTTCTATAGCAGAATCGATGTTGTGGTGAGAGTACTTGTTGCAAACTGCGTAGCTGTTGGAAACAACTTTTTTATTAGTAATACCACCAAATAATCGACTATACTGCCCGGTAGTCTCTCTACAAGCAAATGAAACGATGCAGATGAAAATCAATTAACTCTCCCCAGAATTCTCAGAGATTCTCATCCATGTATTTCACCGTGCGACGGTACTACACTTTCACGTAGGATGAAGTTCGTAGAAGAGAGCAGAAAAGACTATATAATAACAATCGATGGGCTGCCAGAGAGATATACCTTCGGTGTATTGATGTTTCAAAAGTGAGAGGGAGAAAGTGATCGAGGTTTCCGAATTGCGAACATTAAGATTTTGCAAAACGGTTCTATACCACTAAGGCTACTACATTTTGGTCGTCTCGCCGGTTCATTTAAGGGCGCATAATTGCACAGTGTACTTAGCGTGTTGCGGTATAGCTGATATATAGAGTTAGTAGAAGACTATCTTGCAATGCACAAAATCGAGTGAGAACGATGACTGACTCGCACCTGTCATAACATGAGTTTTCAGGAGATAGAGGGGTACCATATCCCAGTAGACCACATGACAGCCCACCAGATACAAGCAGAAGCTAGCTATAACGGAAGCCGATTCTGCAAGCGAGTGTATCACAGATAGCTGCATACAGGTTTTGAGCTTGATTGTTCTTGCTGCATGCTTACCTGTTCCCGAACCACTTTGGCTGCCAAGACCCCGCGGGCCTGTCCTTCGAGAACAATAGCAGTGGATTTTCAAGCCACAGCCCCATACTACTATACTATTCGGGCCCCCTCTGGATACGAACTTACCCTTTTTAGAAAAATACTATGCTAAACACATAGCTATCCTTCGTTATGTGCATGCGAACAGTGCTAACCAATAGATTCTAATTACATCGAGTCCGTCACATGGCCGCCTTGATTATTTGTCGAACGAGACTAAACTTTCGATAGTTGTGCCATGAGAGAGCTGTCAAGGCTGGGTGGGTCTTCCGACAATGACAAGGAAGAGAGCACCTCCGTGAACCGAACCCAAGAACAATAGTAACACAACAGGACGCAACCACCACCCTTTCTCAATGTCTACACTGCAGCAACCAGAAAGAAAATCTAGAACACACCGATAATGAACAATTCTATCCCACAAAGGAAACCCCTTCTTTCTCTTCCCATGACGTCCGATCTCTGTCCAGACTTAAAAAAAACATATAAGTTCTTCGAATCCTTCGAGTCCAACTTCATCACCGCACAAGTCATCAGTCCTGCAATCACTTGAATTACTCTCGCTCCAACTCTATCCTTACCCAAGAAACTCTTTTTTCTCCAACCAAATCAAAATGGCAAGCGTTGTTACTGGACACGGTTGCACCATCTCCCGCCGTGGCGTCGTTACCGGACCGGGCTGCACCATTTCCCGCGGTGTTGTTACAGGCCCCGGATGCACCATCTCTTAAGCAGTCTTGCCTAGTTGCGTGAGAGAGAGAGGGGGGGGGGGACTGGCGGTTGTTACCATTCTTCCGACGACTATTCCTACACATGACGAGGGAACGATGGGAAAGAGGGGGGAAGAGTGACTCGCTCTTTCTCCTTTCTTCTCGACCTGTCAACCTCGGCGCTTTGTTACTCTGCGACACCAAATTCGACCACGGAAATCGGCTTCGAAATGGACAAAAATCTTCGACATGGCACGTTGAACTACGGACGGACGAAGAAAAGTTTATTAATGGGGCTTGTGGGATTTGAAAAGTCGGTGTGGCTGATGCAGGGTGATAGGTCTATTATTTTGATTATTACTGCATGTATCTAAATCCTTTGCGTTGAAAAATCAATGGAAGGAATAGCTTGGTGACGGTATGCTCATGCTATAATTTGTGATGATTTTTAATTCTTTCTGATTGGTAATGCATCTGTGTGATGTTTGATTGAAAAGATGTATCGTCATGCTTGAGATCAAAGCAGGTGGAAGGAACACGGTGGTTGCGGTCACGTGTTTTGGCGCTAGTTCAGGAGGTAACTACTCGTAATAACTCGTCATAGATCGGACAATTAGCATACAGCCGACGTTGCAATCAAGTCCTTGTTCTAAAGAAGAGCATTCATATTCAGATATATGTATTTGAGCGAACGTTAGTCCGTCGTATGCACTTGCTGCTTACTTACTATGCGGCTGCCTTTACACCTAGCGTAAGTTCATGTAAGTTTTATGCAACATGTGTAGCGCCCCTCTTTTTTTTAGTTTTTAGTTTAGTTTTATGTGTAGGCTGAGTACATTAGCATGCGGCGGTGTTTTTCCATCACGTCCTAACGTCAGACCATATTGTCATCTTGCCGAATGCGCAATGGCCAGTTCTTAGAGCGCAGGTATCCGGTATTCTCTCCATAAATAAAAACCAAAGGGACTTGGCGGCCCAGGATCATTGAAGACAAGCGGTATCTCGCCCCTGCGCTCAGCAAAAAAGACATATTGAAATGACACTAGATAGGGCTTGAAAGCAAGGAAGACGTCTGGATAAACAATGTCGCCCGGAGTATTAGTACAGTTCAACGGCGTTGGCTATATATGTGCACATGTACCCACTCGAACCTGTAAGCCAAAGAGAGCCAAGGCGCCAGTCCCAAGGCGGCATGGCGGTGAAGTGCATCATCATCATTAGAGTACCACACACCGGTACTGAGGGACGGCGGCGGCACGGTCGGGCGGAGAACCATCGAGTGCATACATATGTCGGCATTGCTACGTGCTAGTAGTAGGTAGGGTACGGCAACTTGCTCGCGCAGCTGACGGCCCTGGTTCTTAGATACAGAGCGTGGTTGATGAAGCAACCAATGGCAGTGGGCATCACACTGGCTAGCCTTGTCGGGAGAGCGATCGGCGCGCGGACGCTTCTCAGGGGGCGCGGTGCGCCATGCGATCAGAACAACCAGGGTGGCCAGGGCGGGCTCTGGGAGTAAGGCCAGGGAGACGAGGCTATTGCGGCGTACACGCAGCACCCGACCGTTGTCGCGTTTCGCTCCTCGTTGGCTGAGTGCTGCTCAAATCAAATCTAGTCAAATCAGACGTCAGCCCTGTGCTGTGCTGTGCGCCGTACACGCTCCCTGCCCATCTCCTCTCCTCTTCCTCTTCCTCTGCTGCATCACCACACCACCGCTCCCCCAAACGCCCTTACAGACGACATGTGCGCGCGCCCCGTCTGTCTCTCCGCCTAGACACCTATCCACCTCCCCCCCAGCGTCCACCACGCCGCCCACCACACCCACCGTCTTCGCAACCCGAATGCGTGCGCGATAGGCCCCGGGCTGCCATTGCAACTCCGCTCTCGCAGCACTCACGCCGCCATGTCCTTTCTCTTCGGCAAGAAGAACAAGCAGCAGCAACAGCAGGCCACCACCGCGCTCCCGCCAGCCACTAGGGACATCACATCTGCTCATGGCCCATCGCAACAGCCATCCGCGCCCAATGGAGCCACTGCTCGCGACGCTGAAAAGCCCCGTGGCGGCCCCCAGGGCCCTACGACGACCCCTAGCGGCAGTGTCAACAACTCATTGAGTTCCCTTCAGGGCTCTGTCAACGCCTCGACGCCAGAGCAAAAGACCCTCCGTGAGAAGACGGACCCCAATGCCCAGGTCCGCCCAGGTCCGCTCCCTCTCCATTTGTGCGCCTACTGACTGCCCCAGAATGCAAACAACAGACTCGTCGGCAGCAATGCCTCGGAATCACCCTACCCATGGTCGTCGCGCCGCCTCAACTTCACCGCCGGCAATCCCTTTCCTCGATACGGCGCCGCCATCAATTCCACCGCCTCGAAAGATGGCACCATCTATCTCATGGGAGGACTCGTGGGCGGCGCGACGGTCAAGGGCGATTTGTGGCTGACGGAAATGGGAAACGGCAGCATGACATGTTATCCCATTTCCACTACCGGAGACGGCCCTGGACCGCGTGTCGGCCACGCTAGCTTGCTGGTTGGCAACGCGTTTATTGTGTTTGGAGGTGACACCAAGCTGGCCGACAACGACGACCTTGACGACACTCTCTATCTCCTAAACACCTGTTTGTGTTCCTCCATGTTTGTTCTTACCTCCTAGCTGACAACGCCCTAGCAACCAAACACTGGTCGCGTGCACTACCCCAAGGTCCCCGCCCTACTGGCCGTTACGGACACACGTTGAACATCCTTGGCTCCAAGATATACATTTTTGGAGGTCAGGTCGAGGGCTTCTTCTTCAATGATCTCGTCGCCTTTGATCTCAACTCGCTGCAGTCGTCTGCAAGCCGTTGGGAAGTCTTGCTGCCAAACTCCAAGGAACAGACGTCTCCCCAGGGCTCATCCCCACAAGCTCGTACAAATCACTCCGTCGTTACATGGAACGATCAACTCTACCTGTACGTATCGCGCCTATTGAGTGCGCATAATCTTGTCTGCTAACTCATCCCAGTTTCGGTGGCACAGACGGTATTACCTGGTTCAATGATGTCTGGACATACAACCCACGCACCAACGCCTGGACTGAACTTGATTGCATTGGCTACATCCCCGTCGCTCGTGAAGGCCATTCTGCCGCCCTGGTCAACGACACAATGTATATCTTTGGCGGGCGCACCCAAGAAGGCGTTGACCTGGGTGACCTTGCCGCCTTTCGCATTTCGTCGCGCCGCTGGTACATGTTTCAAAACATGGGGCATTCTCCCTCAGCTCGATCTGGTCACAGTATGACTTCATTCGGAAAACACATTGTTGTTCTCGCTGGCGAGCCTAGTTCGTCCATCAGCGATAAGAACGAGCTCAGTCTCAGCTACATCCTGGACACTTCGAAGATTAGATATCCGCCCAATGAGAGCGCTCCCCCTCCACCCCAGCAGCAACAGGCACCAACCACTCAACGAAAAATGAGCGGCGGTGAAAAAGGAATTATACCCCCTAAAGTTGGATCACCCCCTGTCCGGGAAAGCATAATGGCCGCCTCGCAACTTTCCTCTTCTCCAGACAACATGACAAACGGATCCATGTCCGCAGGATCAAGGCTGCCACGCGCAGCCAGTCAGCAGCCAGGCCCGCCACCACTTCAGCAACCGCCACAGCCACGAGAGAACGGTGCCAAGGCTAGGAGTAGGACCCCTACCAAGAATGAGCGTGGCTATGGTCCTCCTCTCGACATAGGGGCTGCAGCTGCTGTTAATAGAGAAAATGTATCGCAAGGAACGCGGGATAGTCCACTTGCGAGCGACATGGAGCGGAAATCTTCCGATGCTGTTGGCGGCCGACGAACACCCAAGCAGTCGATGGACACCGTACGGTCTGCCAGCACGGTTTCACGAAACACATCTAGATCGCACCAGCAACAAGCTTCCCAGGAGAGCATAGATCAGTCAACCAGGCCGTCAATAGATTCTCAGCAACATCGTGGTCCAGTCAAAGAAGTCCAGCACCTGCGCAATGACAGCGCAAAGAATGCATCGCCAGTGACTGATCAGCGCAACAACGAGCTGGCTCGAGAACTCGAGCATCTCAAAAGTCGCAATGCATGGTACGCCTCAGAACTTGCCCTGGCGCGCAGAGCAGGCTACAATGCCGGTACTTCGACAAGCCCTGTCTTTGACGAACGATCCGCCGACTCATTCAGGGACGAGGATAAGCCATTACTGGAAGCGCTTCTAAAGATGAAAACTGAACTGGAACGTGTGCAGGCCTCGATCAAGACCCAGGGCGAGGACGCGGCAAGGAGAATTGCTGAAGTAGAAAGACAGCGAGACGCAGCCGTGGGTGAGGCTATATACGCCAAAACCAAATTGGCTGCTCATGGAGGCAGTAGCAGACACGGGACACCACAGCCTGATGGACCCCGGAACGTCAGTACGCCTGATGCTGATCGCCTTCAAGACGCCAACCGCCGGCTAGCTGCTTCCATAGCAGCTCAGACTGAACTGACTACCAGGGTCGAGCAGTTGACGCGTCAAATCGAGGCCGAAAGCAAAGCACGACAGCTGGCAGAAGAGACGGCAGAAGCGGCACAGAAACGCGTGAATGAGCTGGATTCAACGCGACAAAAGGCTACTGCTGAGTCTGAGCACCTGCGTGCCGAGCTTCACGAAGCCGAGCGAATTGCAAGAGAGGTCTCCACGAGTGCCGCAGAGTCAGAGTCGTCAGCCAAGCTTCTAGCCATTGACAACCAAGAATTGAGCACCAAATTTGAGAAAGCCTCTGAAGAATCAAAGGCCCAAACTGCCATTATCCAATCCTTGCGCGACGCTGCTCTCGCGTCCACCGAGAAGGCAACGTTGTTGGAGAAGAAGCTCAGCGAGGAGCGGCAGCAGAGCGACGCCCTTCGTCAGAAGTTTGCTCAATTGCGCAGCGAACATGAAGCACGTGCGACCGAGCTGGAAACTATTCAACAAAAGCTTCGCGATGCAGAGGAGCTTGCAGAAAGTCACGCAGAGGAAGCACGCATCCACCGCGCCACTGTTTTCTCAGGTCTGCAGAGCATGACTGAGCGATCTGAACAGGACGGTACAAACGCCGATGAGCGAGTCACTGTGCTGAAACAGCAGCTCGAAACCGCAACCTTGATGGCTCGCAAGAACCAGACGGCAGCCGACCAGGCTTCAGAGAAGCTCCGCCGAGCAGAGGAACGCATTGCTGGTCTAGAGGCTTATCAAGAACAGTCCAGCCGCGAGGGACTCAGCATCCGCAAACAGCTGCAACAGGCCATGCGAGATGTACAACTCTCCGAGACTGAGAAGATTGAGCTTCATCAGCAGCATGAGCGACTGCGCCTTGAGAGCAACGCATTCGAGGTGCAGCTCAAGACACTTCGTAACCTTCTCGAAGAAAGGGGTGTCAATCCTGTAGACGCCCGTCGCTCAAAGGTTTTGGACAGCCCCAGCTCCAGGTTTGGCACGCCAGAGTTGAACCGAGTTCGTGAACTCGAACAACAGGTCGACGCCATGAACAAGGCACACGAAGAGTTACGTGCCGTATTCGAGGAGCGTGAGCACGAGGTCAGCAAGGAATGGGAAGAGAAGCTGCAGGCGCTGCACAACGACCACCAAGCTGCTGTCAAATACCTCCGAGGTACCGAGAAGATGCTCACCAAGATGAAGCAGGAGCTCGACCGCTACAAGAGCGCCAACTCTAAGCTTGAAGAGGAGCTAGCTCAAAAGAAGCGGGAAGCGCGCAGCCCTGCTCGAACAGACACCGCCGAACTGGAGGCAGAACGTACCGCACTCCGCTCAGAACTATCAAAGACGCAGGAGAAGATGGATACTACTGTTGCCCGCTTCGAGAGCCAGCTTTCTCAACTACAAACTGAGTTGGCCTCTGCCCGCGCCGAAGCTGAGAAGGCAGCAGCTGCCACAAAGCAAGCCGAGGGCCAGGCATCCCAATTCCAGGCCGACCTTGAAGCGCTCCGCAGCCAGCATGCGCAGGTCGAAGAGCGTGCACGGGAAGCCGAAAGCAGGGTGCAAATGTTCTTGGACCAGTTCGAAACATCGGTTGACAACTACCGCCGTCAATCGCAGGCTCCAGGTGACGCTACTCGTTCTGAGCACGCACGCCACCGCGGACATGACAGCGTCGCCTCGGGTGAGTCGCTGTACAGTCACAACGATGGTTCCAGTACGCCAGAAGCTATTCCCCGCCCCGAATCTGCTGCTACCCGCAACTCCATGGCTCTCGACAGCCTCGCATCCGAATTGGATGCCCTCCGAAGCCACTGGGAGACCACCAACAAGGCCTACCGCCTGAGCGACCGCTTCGACTTTGAGCGCACGCCTACGAACGACAAGACTACATTGAACGAGTCCCTCTCACAGTGGAGGAATAACGTGGACATGGACGACAGCGATGATGACGATGACAGCGTCAATGATGTCAAAGGTGTCAAGGATGCCAAAGACGTCAAGGATGCGAAGCCCATGAAGTCTACATCCCCCGTTACCCCGTCTGCCCCACAAACTCATTGATACCCCCCGCAAAAAAAAGTCACGCATAGGACTTGCATGAAAGACTCTTGTTTTTTTCTTCTTCTTTTTCTTTTCTATCCCATCTACTTGCGGGTTTGGAAATGTTCCTGGACATCCCGTCTGGCGTCAAACTGGGCTGCAGTATTTCCTTCTTCTCCATCATCATCATCACCCCTTAGGTGTACTGCGGAGAAGGGGCTTTCCCTGTTCTATACCATTTTGCTTTCTCTCTAATTTGCGAAACTGTCATGTCTGTTTTGATCACGTGATGATTGCGCAAATCTTTTTTTTGGTTTGAGTACTACACGCTGCTGGGCTTGTTGGCGGATGAGAAAATGCAGAAGGGCCAGCTTGACTATTTGGATTTTTTTTTACCTTTCGGTTAATATACATATTGTCATGTACCGACTGCCCCCCTTCCTGTTTGCATTGCGCGCAACTCCCTTTTTCTCAAACCTGTCAATGCCGCATATGAACTCTGGTTGTTTTTTGTTTTGGTTTCCGGTGTAGACTCGAGTTCGTTCGTCGTTGTCGTCGTCGGTTGTGGTGGGAAAAGAGAGAGAGAAAGACCCCTAATGTGTATTACGAGCCGTTTGTAGTCTTTTGTTCTGTTGTTGTTTGGTTATTCTTTGGGTGGGGGTGGTAAAGTCCCATGATGTACGTAGGCTGAGCCTTACTGGCGTAATTATTGCAAGACTGTTTTTTTTGGGATTATTGATGAGTTTGAATATGTGGATTGCTTGTGTCCTTGTGACTCGTACTTGTGTTTGATTCGATGTAGGTCACGGCTATGTGTAGACGTAAGACTTTCTTTTCTGAAATCGTTTGAATACATCTATGCTTGTGCTGTTACTTCTATTCTATATCTGACCTGTCTATACGCAAATGTGTTCAGCACAAGTGTGTATGTAAAGCATTTGTATTTACATTGATGCCTATGCTATGTCTTTTTACTGCAGCCCACTGCTGTAACTCCCGACCATGTGCCCTACCACGTGCTCTCCCCCCCAGCATAATCTCACGCACAACAATACGAAATTTCTCAATTGCAATCATTCATCCTTTACCCAGTTCACCCCATCCCACCAGCAACCCTACTCAGTTGCGTGCAGACCCACATTGCCTTTCCCCAACCGTGCCCTCTACCTCCTCACTCGCTCACTCACTCCTCACCGCACCCACACCGCCCGCACAATAACCTAAACGCACCGATTACGTCGATCGCTATCAAGGCATAATAGCTTTGAGCAGGAGAATAGAAGATGGGGGAAAAGTGGGGTATGATTGTTTGTCTGTTGAGACAATATGAGGTGGGTGTTGCTGGACAATGGGGATTATTGTGGTGATGTGGTGAGGAGGCTGAAGGGGGGTTTTTTTTTGCTGCAGTTATCTTGGACCTCGCTGTCTGCTTTTCTACTTCTTCTTTTGCTCGTCAGTCTTCCTTCTTCCTCTATCTTCTGTACTCTACTTTCTGAGTTTGCAGTTCTTTCTCTTCTTTGCAGACGGCCGGTTCGTCAACTCTTCTTTTCTTTCTTTTTCAACAGCAATATTCTACGCTTTGTACGGGCTGGAACCGTCGTTTGAACGCTTTTTGTGAACGAGGGATCTAGTAGCCCCCTGCGTCTGCTTCTTTTACTTGAATATAGAAGAGGAGAGAGAAGGAATGGCGTCACGTCGTGCCACTGCTGCCCCTGGTGAGCCACAGTACGCTGCAGGGGTGTCGCAGGCGACTCCCGAGTCTTTCAACTTGTCAGAAGAGAATCATCGCCTGCTGGATGCGGATTTTGATGCCTTTTTTGACCTTCCTGCGGATACACTAGAGAGCTTGCTTCAGCCTGTGCGGGATGAGTTTCGGGAGGTGATCGAGGTTCCTACTACGCCTGCTCCTGGTTCTGCTCCAACTCCTATCCCTATTCCCACTGTTTCTGCTCCTGCTAAGTATTCACCGGAGGCATCCGGTACGTGGTCGCAGCCAGAAAATGCAGCACTGCTGGGTATGGGTTCTGGCGACCTATCCGATTTTCCCAATTTCTTTACCAAATTCGTACCAGCTCCGATTGATAATGGAAGAGGAAGAGGAGGAAGTGCAGGGCTCAATGTGAAATTCAACTCCAACGGTCTCGACACTACCTTGAGTGAGCCTTTCAACTTTCTCGGCGAAGATGGATTCGATTTCCAGAACAGCGGATTTCTGCCCGCTGCAAACAACTTGGACATTCAGGCATCGCTTCAGCCGGTTCAAGGGCTGCAGTCGAATGGCGGCGGTGTCATGACCAACCTCCATGGCAGTGAACAGAACGCCTACAACGGATCCTCGACTGCGCCTGATCCCTATGGCTTTATCCAGAATGGTCAGAATGGGTTCTCGGTAGGTCCACAGAACTATGGTGGTGGCCAGAACATCAGGAACGAGGCCCCGACACTGCCACAGAACTACAATGTCGGCTATCAAGTGAAGAATGAGGTCTCGCCACACGCAAACGACTTCGTCTTTGTTCAGAACGACAGGAACGATATTTCGGCACAACCACGAAACAACTTTGACCAGGTTGCGAATGTGAGCGGATATGGCACGCAGGCGGTTCCATACACTTTCTTGGACAGCGAGCATGCGTCGCAGGCGACTCCCCACAGCGAGGGAAGCAATGTATTCGACTATGTCCATGTCGAGGAAGCCGGTCCAGTCAACCCTGTCCGGCCAGGAAACCCACCACCACATGCAGACAACCTCGGGCAACCAGGTATGGATGCTATTTACCAACAGTTCATGAACAGTCAGTGTTTCCAGCGGTCTGGACCTGCTCCTACGATTCCAGCCCCAGCATCCGTCTCCGCGCCAAGGCGGAATCCAGCATCAGCATCTGTTCCTGCACCAAGGCGAAATCGAGCTCCAGCATCCGTTCCCGCATCAAGGCGAAATACAGCTTCGGCTCCAGTTTCTGCATCCGCTGATTTCCTTCCTACTACTATGGCTGCTCCTGCTCTTCCTGCTGCCACTGCTTATACAGTACCTCCACCTGTTGTTGCAACCAACACCTCCACCGGCACCACTGCGCCTCCTGTACCCGCACCCATGTTGAGCAATGCCAACAATGTACTGCTAACGGCACAAACCTACATCCCACTCATCAACGACCGCATTCTCCCCCTTAATCCAAACGGACCCAGACCGATATATCCCGCATTTAGCAACCACTTCACCACAGGAGAAGCTGCAAAGCGCTACCGCAAACGCTCACGCGGAATGGTCAAGAATCAAGCACCAGATGTTTCGCGGGTAAAGCAATTCGGACGTAAGTCGACTCTTCACCCTGGCCCCCTCCTGCTCTCCCCCCTTCCCCACGCGGAAGTCTAACTAGTACGCCCCCAGGTGATTACTGGGTCCGCTACATCTACGAAGCCATTATCGATATCTCGAATATAGACGACAGCTTGGTGTCAGTCCACCGCCGCCGCATCGCGGAACGTTTAGCCCATGACCCCTTGGACCTCGAAGCCTTGGCGCACCACATCTTTGACTGCGCCATTGCTGTGCACGAGATTGGATGGAACAGGTCGCTTGTTTACCACAAGAAAGCCAAGCGGGGAAAGCTTGTTGATGTGGGCGAGAAGTGTCTGGAGAGGAGACTCACTCGTATTTGTACGGTGCTGCAGCAGAAGAAGGCGACAGTGGATGATGCGTTGAGAGGTGGTATCACGCTGCGGCTGCTGTGCGATAACCCTGAGGCGAGGGCGTTTACCAAGAACTCGAACAATGCAGGGAATAATAAGAGGGGGCAAAAATTGAGGAAGTTGAAGGAGATGGGTGTTGTGATTCCTGATAAGCCTGAGGTGCCCCAGGTGCCTGAGGAGCTTGAGGAGCTTGAGGGTTCTGAAGGTTCTGAGGACTCGGAAGATTCGGAGGATTCTGAGGATTCTGAGTAACGGGAGTGCTGCTGAGATGCTCTTTCTTGCTTTTCTTTTCTCTTCTCTTTCAGTTCTCACTTTAGCGTTTTTCACATCTCTGGCTGGCGGCTGGTTCCGAAGCCTTTGGGGATTTCATTCTTCGAGATACCCCATGCGATGATGTTTTGTCTTCTTCTTTCTTTCAAGAGACGAATACCCCATTGCTTTTTTTTTCAGTAGAATTTAACTCCACCCACACTTTCCACTTGCATCTTCACAGGATCCTGACTCTTTGTACTTTCTTGACCCGTCTTCTTCTCTACAGCCTCTTCCTGTAACGCTGCCTCCCTCATAGCTCTTCTCTTCTTCTTGCTCTGAAACAGCGCTTCCTCATCTTGTATATCTTTCAAGACTATTCTACACGTCAGTATTCCATCCCAAATCAACCAAAATACGAGGAGAAAAACTCACCCTGTTTCCACTCCCGCTCTTCCACTGCATTACCCGTACCCAAAGCCCCCTCAACATCCACCTTCTCACCCCTTTGCACCCTCTCAATGACCTCACGCAAGATCCCAATCTTAGCTTCTGCCCTGCGCAAGTCGTGGTTACGCTCCTGTTTCAGCCATAAGATCTGGATGGCTTGGCTGCCGACGAGGAGGCCGAGAATAATGTAGGGTGTGGCGGGGTTCCATTCTTTGGAGCGGGGTGTTTCGGCGCGTGTTTTCAATGGCTTGGGAATCAACGAAGCCCAGAAGCTGGGCTGAACGATGCGTGGAACGGATAAGTAGCGGGGTTGGGGGAGGGGTTGTGTGTAGGCTGCGAATGCGCGCATGTGTGGGCGTGTGGGTTGTAGAAGGGCATTGCGATGGGCGGCGGGCATGCGGAGGAGCTGGCGGAAGAGAATAGAGGGATCCATGACTAGATACGATATCTAATTTGTGGCGGCGAGTAGGTGGTCTTGGTGCGCTGAATTGGAGACAACAAGTCGAGTCGTAAACTATTACATGGAATTTCTTATGTTGATACCTAAAGCGGTTTAGCGTCGTATTTCACAGATACCGAGGTCCGCCTATCTGTATCATATGTATGCCTACCCGCCTCCTTAGGGGCGTCTCAGATCCCCTTCCCGTATATTCCACAAGAGCTTTTCCTCTACAACATGAGTGACTCAGAAAAAAAGAAAGGTCCCAGGTTTGGGGGCGACTTTTCTGATTCGCCGACTGACAAAGTCAAGCAATGGGTTTGTCCATCTCTATCCGCCTACATCATGTCTTGCTGACATGACCGTCGCGCAATGCTAGTTTGACGTGATTAATGGCTTCGAATATAATGTATGTTTATTCCTTGACCATAATTCCAAGTCGGGGGCTCTAATAGGGTGGTAATATAGGGCCATGATGCCATCGTAGCCAAGATACTCAAGCTGGAATCAGTCACGTATACGCCGTCTAGTGGGAATCCGCATGATGCGCGCACAGTCTTCAGCTTTGTGGTGCCAGAGGAACTTTGCAACATTGGAGGCAATCTTCATGGAGGCGCGGTAGCATTGGTCTTTGACATCGCGACGTCGCTGACTATTTTGCCGTGTGCGCGCGAGGGATTCTGGGATGGTGGTAATGTTTCACGAAACCGGTAGGTTGTTGAATGCCAAACAGATGATGAGTCTTGCTAACATTCGGGCAGTAAGTGCTGCATTGTGTGTGGGAGCTGAAATGCTTTGACATCACGTCGTGTTTTCCAAGTCCGTATCAGAGCCTTACTAACTGACGCCCAAAGTCAACTGCACGTACGTAAGGCCGGCGCCGGTAGGTTCGACCATCTTTGTGGAAAGCTGGGTTGTGCATCTGGGCAAGCGCATGGGTCTGACCATGGGGACGATGAAGCTAGATTCGAAGGATGGAAAGGTCTGCTATACCTGCGAGCATGGGAAAGCGAGTCTGGGCGGATCCAATATGTGAGGGGATGGAACAGGTATTTGGGACGATTAAAGCTAGGATGAAACATAATTTCTGAATGTACTAGTAGTATATAGAATCTTGGTCAATTACAAGTTTAGTGTCAACGCGGGTGTAAAGAACTTAAGTATGTACGTTGGTAGAGTACAGGCAGGGAAGAGCTGGGCCATTTGGTGCTTAGTGGAGCCTTGTACATATGTCATCGCCGGATGCGACACCATCCAACTACATCCATACGACCACAAACCCGCACTACCACCGCCCTTTGTCCCGTACATCTCCTCACCGCGCCAATGGATCTGGGCGACGCAGAAAACTCTCCGTGGGGCGGTACATATCTCCTCGCTTGCCCGTAATCGTGGCATCTTACTGATACGCTTTCTAGATGTGCCCTCGCAATCCAGCCCTGCGCCCGGTGCCTCCAAGCAGCTGGGCCACGACGATGCCCCCCCAGACGCCTCGTCTACAACCACAACTACCCTCACCGTCGATACCCCCCCTTCGACTGCCTCTGCACCGCGCTCTCCTGCAGGCCGTGGCCCCCGGCGGCGGCCCCATGGCGTGCAGTCGACCAAGCTGGAGGCCGTCGAAGATCCGCTGGGCCCTCTGGGAGCACCAACACCGTCGCCTGGCCTCGAGCCCGTTGCTCCCCCAGCACCGCCCCAGAAAGAGGCTGCTGCTCGCGGTACCCGACCAGCAGGGGCAGCATCAGCTTCTTCTTCATTGCGCGGCATGATGGACTCGGTCGACCTTGATGACAACGACCAGGACCAGCTGCGCGCCTCACAAGGGGCACGGCTGCCTCCACCCGTCCAGGCTCCGTCCCACCCCGCGCCCCAGCGCCAGACACAGCCCAGCGTCAGCGTCGAACAGGCGGCGAAGCCCTCATTTTCAATTTCTGTGGGCGACCCGCACAAGGTTGGCGACCTCACCAGCTCCCACACCGAGTACTCCGTCACGACCAAGACAACATCCAAAGGCTATCGCAACCCCGAGTTTACAGTCTCTCGCCGCTACCGCGACTTCCTCTGGCTCTACAACCAGCTGCACAACAATAACCCCGGTGTCATCATCCCTCCACCCCCAGAAAAACAAGCCGTCGGTCGCTTCGACGCCGATTTTGTCGAGTCTCGCCGTGCTGCTCTGGAGCGCATGCTAAACAAGTCGGCTGCACACCCTGTGCTGCAACATGATGGCGATCTGAAGCTGTTCCTCGAGAGCGAGGCCTTCAATATGGACATCAAGAACAAGGAACGCAAGGATCCCGGTTTGGGAGAGAACAAGGGCATGTTCGGCTCCATGCTTGGCAGTAGCTCTGGCAAGTTTATTGAGCATGACGATGTACGTTTGCCCAGCCCCCTGCACTCATTCGGTACTGACGCTATTCTAGTGGTTCCATGACCGGAGGGTCTATCTCGATGCGCTCGAAGCTCAACTCAAGGCTCTGCTTAAGGCAACCGACACCGTTGTTTCCCAACGAAAAGGTCTGGCTGAAGCGTGTGGTGATTTTTCGGCTTCCCTGCATTCCTTGTCTGCTGTCGAGTTGTCGCCTGCCCTGTCTAGACCCCTCGACAGCCTATCCGACATCCAGATCCGTATCCGTGAACTCTACGAACGTCAAGCCCAACAGGATGTTCTCACCATGGGCATTGTCATAGACGAGTATATTCGCTTGATTGGCTCGGTCAAAACCGCGTTCCAGCAGCGACAAAAATCCTACCATTCATGGCATTCTGCTGAGCAAGAGCTGCAGAAGCGAAAGGCAACTCAGGATAAGCTTCTGAGACAGGGTAGATCACAGCAGGATCGTTTGAACCAACTCAGCGCAGATGTTGCCGATGCCGAGCGCAAGGTGCATCAAGCGAGACTGCTCTTCGACGACATGGGACGACTCATGCGCAGCGAACTGGAGCGGTTTGAGAGAGAAAAGGTGGAAGACTTCAAATCAGGAGTGGAGACGTTCTTGGAGAGTGCGGTAGAAGCGCAAAAGGAGGTATGTTTGCCTTTCGTCTCAATACTGGACCTTGCTAATTATTACACTAGCTCATCGAGATCTGGGAGACTTTCCTGATGCAGTTGGACACAGATGAAGGAGAAGGATTCTCTCTGCCTGCTGGTGTCGTTGCTTCACCCACTACCGACAAGGCATCAAACCATGCGCCGGCTCATCAAGACTCGGAGGAAGCCGAAGAAAACAATCAAGGTGTCTCGAGCGCCCAAGCCTAAGTAGATGTTTATACACATCTTGTCGTCAATATGCTACGACTGAAGTGGTCAATCTGCCATACTTTCGGCAAGCAAAATATAAAGTAGATTTTTGAGCTGTTAAATGGTTGGAATGGCCCCCGAGTCGCACGCAGCAGGTTTACCAATTCCTTCAAAGATACCCAGTCTGTCTTCGCAATGGTTTCCTTGGTGGGCGGGTGCTATGATGTTGATAATGTAATGCAGATGCGGTAAACCAGTGTTTTGAAGTGCACGTCTTCATTATATGGTCCATGATACGTGTCGATTGACACAGGGCTTTACCGTTCTGATGGTACACTTGTTACATATGTACGCCTTGAGCTTTTGCCCCACCTTCACCTTACCCCACCACGATCACCAAATACGGACTCCTCTATGCGGTATTCCGAAGGACAACCATCAGATCCACTCTGTATCATGGGGGTCTTCGAATGAAGATGAAGAATGTAGTATTGCCAAGAACTTTTTGAGACCTGTGTTTACGTTGCCCCGTCTGTGTCCCGTACGTATGCGGGGTCAGCCGCCCAAACCGTCGATAACGTGCTAACAAAACAGGCGCCGGCAAAAGAGCAGCACCGCGTGCCCCAATTCCGGCCCGGCTAATTTGTTTCTTAGTTTACCTATAGATAATAGAGCTGGTGTCCTCATCTGCATTCAAGAAAAAAGCAAGCAAGATATAGCGTGTTTGTACAACAGCAAAGATGCCATTAGTAAGGAATCCGATTCTGCCAGGGTTCAATGCGGATCCGTCGGTACTAAGGGTTGGAGATGATGGTATGCTAATCTCTTAATTGATTTTTTGGGAAGTACGATGAACTAACGAGATGGTGTAGTAAGTGCGAGATCCAATCCAAAGACTATGCATTCCAGGACTATACCAGGGCATGCACTAAACGAATTGGCGGTATTAGTACTACATCGCCACCTCGACGTTCGAATGGTTTCCTGGCGTACAGATCCACCACTCAAAGGACCTTGCCAACTGGGACCTCGTTACCCGTCCGTTGACCAGAAAGAGTCAGCTGGATATGCGCGGTGACCCGGACAGTTGTGGTACGTCTTTCCACTCAACCCTCACTACCCCTAATTGAGCCTGGAATAACACATCTAAAAAGGTGTATGGGCCCCCTGTTTAACCCATGACGGCAAGAAATTCTGGCTTGTATACACAGATGTCAAGCGCAAGGATGGCTCATTCAAAGACAACCCCAATTACATCGTTCATGCCGACAAGATCGAAGGCCCATGGTCTGATCCTATTTACGTCAATTCTTCTGGATTTGACCCCTCACTGTTCCACGATGACGATGGAAAGAAATGGTTTATGAATATGCTTCAGGATCATCGGAGGCGTCCACAATTCTTTTCTGTTAGTCTTCCGCCCAAATTTACAAGTCCTCGCTGAAAACAATGCTAACGCTACATGTTCCACATTCAAGGGCATCAGAATGCAACAATGGGACGAGAAAACCGAAAAACTTGTTGGACCCCGGAAGACCATTTTCCCTGGTTCAGATCTTGGTCTTCCAGAAGGACCCCATCTGTACAAGAGAAACGGCTGGTACTACCTTTTAACTGCAGAGGGAGGCACTGCATATACCCATGCTTGCACTCTTGCTCGATCGCGTGATATATGGGGTCCGTACGAACTGCATCCGCAAAAGCACATCATCACTTCGAAAGATGCGCCGCTGGCTGCCCTGCAACGAGCAGGTCACGGAGACATCGTCGACACGCCAGACGGCAAGACGTACATCGTACATCTGACAGGACGCCCAACTACGCAAGCGCGTCGCTGCGTGCTCGGACGGGAGACAGCGATTCAAGAGGCCTACTGGGACAAGGATGACTGGCTGTACGTGAAGAACGGACCTGTGCCATCTCTCTACGTGGATCTACCTGCAGAGCGCGATGACACAGCATACTGGTCCCCGCAACACTACGACTTCACCAGCACCGACACGCTGCACAAGGATTTCCAATGGCTCCGCACCCCCGAGCCCGAGCGCATCTTCCGCCTATCAAAAACGGGGCTGCAGCTCACAGGCCGAGAGTCCATCGGCTCCTGGTTCGAACAAGCACTCGTCGCCCGCCGTCAGACGCACTTCTCCTACGATGCCGAGACCGTGGTGGACTTTGCTCCAGACGACGAGCGCACGTTTGCAGGATTAACGGCATATTACTGCCGCTTCAACTTCTTCTATCTAACCGTCACTGCACATTCTGATGGTAAACGCGAGTTGCTGCTCATGAGCTCAGAAGCTTCGTGGCCTGATGGCAATCTCAAAATGCCGTTTCCCGAGCCTGTTTCGATTCCGCAGGAGGGCAAAGTCAGGTTGGCGCTTAGTATCAGAGGCCCGCGGCTGCAGTTCAAGTACGCGCTTGAGGGCGAGAAGGAACTGAAGGATATTGGGCCAGTGTATGATGCGTCGATCTTGAGTGACGAGTGTGGTGGTCATCAAGCGTGAGTTTTCGTCTACCTCATTCAGTCTAGAGATGAAAGACAGATTGGCTAACCTTTGGCAGACACGGCAGTTTTACAGGCGCATTTGTAGGCGTCGCAGCATCGGACATGAATGGCACAGAGAAGGTAGCGCAGTTTGATTACTTTACCTACACACCCGTCCACCACAGTTCGGACCGGTACGATGTTTGAGCTACTCCATATATCCATATGGAAGGAATCCCCTTTTTTCCTTCGCGATAAACGCTTCACACCCTTGAGATACCTGAAAAGATCAAAAGAAATCCTTCCATCGAGTCATATCCTTGAATCCCCCTTGTCTGATAACCACATGCCGCTTTCCCGTCTACATACATACGCTCTACCAAACACGTTTTCCCACCCCCTTCCCAACCCCCCCTTCTCTCTCCTTTTTCCCCGACTCGGCACCGCCAAACAAGGATCTTATTACTCGATACGTCCGCATCTCCGCATCGCGGGCATCGCGAAGGACGAGGAAGGGTAAAAAAGAAACGCAGGTGTAGTTTGCTGTGCTATACCCAAGCCTCCGAGCGCTGATCCCCAATCTCTTTTGTCGTGCCTGGCATGCTTGGCTGAGGCAGCAGGTGCATGAGGGTGGACTCCACGTTTTTTGGGGCGGGGGCCGCCAGAGGAGCGTTGATACGGGCGTGACGCTTGAGGGGTTTCAGCCTCATGAGGGGAAAGAAGGGTGAGGTTGCACTAGCCACCTTTTTCGTGCCTTAGGGACAACATCAACCAGGTAAGCGATTTTGACATTGTTTTTTTTCTTGACAGCGGCACGGTTTTCTCTTGGCTAGTATGATATTTTTTTCAACGGCAATTAGAAAACCTAATAGTTAGTATGTATGCAAGGCGATTTTTTTTCCCTTGACAATTTCGTGCATACAAATGTGCAAGCGCAATCATGCACATTTAGATGCTTAAGGAGCGCAACTATGCCCATGAACCAAACGCGCACTCCCCCTTCCACTATGATTCTCTGTTTCCGTTCGCGCTCTAGTCAATGGGAAAGGCCAAGCTTGAGGCTTGCGCATACGCATTTGGCGTGGTGATCAACCTGGGAAATTTAATGTCAGGCTTGCCATGTTAGCGGCTATCTTGTAGTTTCCACCCCGTTCCCCCGTCACAGATATCCGGCTGTACGGGTGCCCTACGTCTCAGGCTGGTTTCACAACACGGCCGCAACAACCTGACTACATATATTCAAACCCACAGGCAAGGCAATGAACATTTTCGAAAAGGTTCAAACCGCTCTTCAACGGCTTTCCGCTGGTTCGTCTTTTGTGTCTATTTTGTTTTTTATTCGTTAATTCGATTCTTTATTTTTTGCTCGCGTTGTAAATAGCAGTCAGCTTCTGGGAGGCCACTGCACAACCGTTCGACCAAAAGCACCCTTTCGACCATATATATTTTATTACCTTTGTTTTTCGTACCGACACAATATGTGGGCACCAAACCGCACGAAGCCATCACCTCACCGCACACCTTCTATTGTTTCCATCGCCTCTGTACAATCTGCAACCCGGCCGTTGTCAGTACACTCGCCCAAAATGAACTCGATGCCCCCGATGCCTCAGCAGCAGCAAATGCCACAAATGCCGCAGTTGCAGGCTGAACCCCCGAACTACGATTCAGATGCCTACTCCGACTTGGGTTCCGATGATGAGCAAGACTATCCTTCCAGGATGAACAACCCAGCACCACTTGCGTGGAACAGGCCCCAAGCTGGATCTCCCGCCAACCTCATGGCACAGAAGATGCAGGTTCAAGCCCAAGTCCAGGCCCATGATGTGCCTCCTCAAACGACAAACCTTCAGTTCCACAACCAGCCGAGGCTACAGCAACGACCTGTGGATGACGATGCCACATCGAGATCCTCAACGCTGGACGGCGAGGAAGACGACACCTACTCTTTGAAAAAGCAACCAGTACCACCGCCTGTGCTTAAGATGAGCAAGATGAGCATCGAGAATGAGAAGCCTGCGCCTCCTCCCCCAGTACCTCACGTCCCTGGCCCTCTCGAGTCGCAGCTCGCGGCCCTCATGTCCAAGCTCATTCACATTGAACAAGCCAACCCTGTTGCATCCGTCACCCCCGAGGAGTTCCTGGAGATGAAGAACCGTCTGAAAGCGCTTGAAGAAGAGAAGAAGGTCTGGTGGAAGCGCCACGAAGCCATCTGGAGTCTCCGAGACGAGGATGTCGAGAACAACATCAAGATCCGAGTAAGTTCATCATCCAAAACCCTATCCAATACCTACTTGCTAACAAGCCATAGGGCATGCTCGCTAAAGCCCGCCGCGAACTCGAAGCCACCCAAAAACTCCGCGACGAAGACCTCCTTAACGTGCAAATCGTGCGCAGCAAGCTCGCCGAGAAGACTCGAGAGCTAGAACGTCTCCAAGCGCAATCCCCCGCCGGCCGCATCAGCCCCAACCGGCCGCGCATGTCCAGCTTTCTCGAGAGGCGCGACACTACAGACCTTTTTACTGCAGCCAAGATCGCGGCCCTCGAACAGCGCGCGCTCGAGCTTGAAAAGCGCAACTCCGATCTCGTCCAGCAACTCGGCGCCTCGCAGAACGGCGGCATCGACCACCTCAACCGCACGACGGCGCATCAGGCCTGGAAGGGCACGGTGACGGATCTCGAGGCCAAGATTCGCTCTCAGGAGGCCGAGCTTCAGCGGTTACGAGCAGGTGGTGGTGCGGGTGCAGGTGCTGCTGCTCCAACCCAATGGGATTTTCAGAGGTTGGAGAATCTGATGGAGGAACATGCTAATTATCGGGAGGATGTGGGGGTAAAGATGCAGGCGTTACGGAGTGAGAAGGAAGCGCTGATGAGGGATTTGCATCGCAAGGAGAATGATTGTCATGTTCTTGAGCAGAAGGTGCGGTCGCTGCAGAGGAGGTCGGGTGTAATGTAAATAGGTTGGTGAGTGGAAGGGTGGTATGAGGTGTGTGTCTTCTACATAGAAGAGAGAGAGAGGTAGTTTTCTTCTTGAGGTGGTGGTAGTGTTTTTGGTGCTCCTAGCTTTGCGCTAGTAGAGGCGAATATCAATATCGTTGTCTTTCTACTTCAAGTCCGATCTTGCATGCGACGTTTGGCGATGTGAAGAAACGGAGAGTGGCAGTGCGTGGGGCGGTCGAGACGTAGCTGTGGGGTTGGGGCTTGACCAGCCGGGTGCTAGCCACGTACTAACTTTGCAAGCGTAGATGTTGTTATTGTTTGTTTGTTTGTTTTTTGAACAACTGCAAGACTTGGCCTAAGGCGATATTGTGAAGAGATCCAAAGCATGGAGTCGCGGCGGAGGTCAATGAAGTAGTGTTGTGTAAGAGGCTCGCACGTGATGGCAGTTAGCACGTCTACCAACCATCAACAATGTTACACGTGATATTACCGACTAGTTCTCCCTATTAAACATTAGACGCGTCTGATACCAATCAGACCATGGGTGTAGTGTACGTGATTCTACCTGATACACAACTTATCCGAGAGCCCCGTCCAACAGTGACTTCATTGCTGATCCTGTGGCCCCAGCTCATCCCCACTATCTCGGACCGTGCCTGGGAAACATCGTCATTGTATGCAAGCCAGGCAATTAGTACAACAAATTTCCCTGCCAGGTTTTGAATCCGATCAACATGACAATGACACGTTACGCTGTTGCGCGCAGCATTAAAAGGGCACCAGCCTCACCTGTTTGTCCAGGTACGGCTCGCACCGCAGCCACACTTTCACCATGCAGTCGGCTCTTGTGTCGCTCCTCGTCGCTGCCAACGCGCTAGGCGTATCCGCAGGCTCTTCCTCCTCGTCCTCCTTTGATCCTTTGCGCCATCTGACTGGCATTGCACCATACTTTGAGGATCCACAGGGCGACCCAAAACCACCCCAGGGATGCAATGTCACACGTGCGTCATACCTCATCCGTCATGCCGCCATTTACGCGAACGACTTTGATTACGAGGAGTACATTGAGCCTTTTACCGACAAGCTGAAGAATACCACTGCCAATTGGCGCAGCGCAGGCCCGCTGGAATTTCTCGCCAGATGGCAATCGCCTATTACTGATGAGGAGCTCGAGGACCTGACGTCCATTGGCCGGCTTGAGTCGTACAAGCTGGGTGTTGATGTTCGCCTGCGATACCCATCCTTCAAGGACCCCAAGAGCGTGTGGACGTCGACGGCCGAGAGGACAGAGCTCAGCACGTCTTCCTTTATTGATGGCCTTGTCGCTGATAGCAACGGCACAAAGCTCGTCCCTGTGCGCGAGGATGCTGCTAGAGGTGCGGATTCTCTGACACCCTACAAGGGCTGCCCCAAGTACAGCTCTTCTTATGGTAGTGATCAGTCGTCGGTATGTATAACATCGCAAATTATATGATCGCGACTAATTCCATACCCAGGAATACCAAAAGATCTACACCAAGCCCATTATAAGCCGTTTGAATGACTATGCGCCCAATTTCAACTTCACAGCCAGCGACATTGTCGGCATGCAGCAGTTGTGCGGCTACGAAACCGTTATCCGTGGCTCATCTCCTTTCTGCTCTCTTGATCTCTTCTCTCAAGACGAGTGGCTTTCGTTCGAGTACATGAACGACATCATGTACTTTTACAACAGTGGATATGCAAGCGAGGAGCTCGCTGGCACTCTGGGATTCCCCTGGCTCAACGCTTCTGCCAACGTGCTGCTCTCCGATGATGCCGACCAAGATCTTTACGTCTCTTTCACTCATCGCGAGCTGCCTCCCACGGTCGCTGTAGCAATGGGCTTGTTCAACAACAGCGCTTACTCCGGAGTCAACAACCCGAACGCGACAATGCCTCTTGACAGGCCGAACCACGGCCGAGTCTGGCGCTCATCACGGATCCTGCCTTTCCTGTCCAACTTCGCCATCGAGAAGATGACGTGTGACAGCTATGGTTTCGATGCAGGTGAGTATTTCCGGGTACTCGTGAACAAGGATCCGCAGCAATTGGCCTGCGGGGATGGACCAGGGGAGAGTTGCTCAAAGGCCGCATTTGAAGACTTTATTCAAGAGAAGAAGACTCGCTTTGGCGGCTTTACGGAATTCTGTGAGCCAGAGTATAAGAACTCGACCGATGTGCTTAGCATTTACGGTGGAGACGACTAGTGTTGTATATATTGTGTAATTCTAATGTAATGGTCATGACTCGTTTATCTCTGCCTAGATCTGACAGCTTGGTGCACCGCATGTGTGGTTTGCAAACGCCATCTTCCTTGGCTGCCAAGTCTCATCAAGTCCTTAGTTAGCTGCGAAACCTTGTGACCACGCGCGGGGTGTGATCTCACCGGCATCCGTAGTGGCCGAGGTCAATCACGCCACAGCTTTGCATTGAGAAGCTGCTTTGATAACGATTGCTGAAATAATTCAAAATATCCTCACGCTCGAGGGTTTATTTGGGAAAGTTTCGTCGGCAAGGATTGTAGTCTATAGTTCGTGTAGCCAGACTGCAGCTCCATACCCAATTGAACCATGTGCATGCGCCCGCCCGACATTCACCAAAAAGCGCAACCACGCTTTCTTTGGCACAGCACCCCCCGTTTCAATCCAACAACAATAAGCATTTCCACATGCCAAAGACGCAATGCCGAAACGAATGCCTGCATACATGACTAGCTGTTGTTAAATTGATTTTGTGTATACGTCATGACTTGGTGAAGCGATCCAGGAATACCCGAGCGGGAACAAATGGTGTGGCGCGACTTTCTTCCTTCACGTACGCGCTGCAACGATTCCTTTCTTTTACCCAACACCCCCTTCTCTGCTATTTGCAAACCCCGGTTCGTTTCGTTGTCGACCTGCAAAGTCTATCCACTGGAGAGAGAAAGGCCCACACATTGAACCAAAAGAAATAAAGGAATAAACAGTAATAAGAGATGGGAGACTACAAGGCAGCGAGCGCGACGGGCCCGAGCGTTGTTATCGTCGGCGCGGGAGCTGGAGGCGTGGCCCTCGCCGCGCGTCTGGCCGCTGCAGGCTGCAAAGTGACGGTTGTAGAAAAGAATGAGTTTTCCGGTGGACGCTGCAGTTTGATTCACCGCCGAGGATATGTATGTTTTTCTTTCCAATCTATATAACCAATTTTGGGCGATTGAACGAAACCAACTGAACTGTAATTGAACTGAACAAAAAACAAAAACAAAAGCTGATAAATAATAACCCAAAAAAACAGAGATTCGACCAGGGCCCGAGCTTACTGCTTCTACCTCGCTTTTTCCACGAGACGTTTGAGGATCTGGGGACTTCGCTTGAGGGAGAAGGGGTTAAGCTGGTCAAATGCAATCCCAATTACAAGGTGCATTTTCATGATGATACGGCGTTTACGCTGTCGACGGACATTTCCGTCATGAAAGAGGAGATTGAGCGGTTTGAGGGCACGGCGGGGTTTGAGCGCTATCTATCTTTTCTACAGGAGAGCCATCGCCACTACGAGGTTTCGGTCATTTATGTATTACGGAGAAACTTTTACTCGCTGCTGAGCATGGCACGCTTGGACTTTTTGCTGCATTTGATTGAGCTGCATCCGTTTGAGAGCATTTGGTACCGGGCGAGCAAGTACTTTTGGACGGAGAGGCTGAGGAGAGTTTTTACGTTTGCGAGTATGTACATGGGTATGAGTCCGTTTGATGCACCCGGGACGTACAGTTTGTTGCAGTACACCGAGCTAGCAGAGGGTATCTGGTATCCAATTGGTGGTTTCCACAAGGTAACAGGTACTGTACTAGAAAACATTGATCATGTATACTGACCTTTTTCTAGGTGATTGAGAAACTTGTGGATGTAGGCCAACGCCTAGGCGTCGAATACATGTTCGACAGTCCCATCAGCAAGATTACACTGTCAGAAGACGGAAAGCGCGCAACAGGCATCGAATTCGAAGACAAGAGCAAAGCACCCCTAACCGCAGACATAGTCGTCTGCAACGCCGACCTAACCTACGCATACAACAACCTCCTCCCCGCATCCTCCATGTCCCGCTCTCTCCTCAAACGCGAAGCCTCGTGCTCAAGCATATCCTTCTACTGGGCGCTAGACCGCCAATTCCCCGAACTCAGCGCACACAACATCTTCCTCGCGGAGGAATACCGCGACAGTTTCGACAGCATCTTCAAAAAGCACCTCATCCCCGACCAACCCAGCTTCTACGTCAACGTCCCCTCGCGTGTGGACCCCTCGGCCGCACCTCCAGGTTGCGACTCCATCGTCGTCCTCGTCCCCGTCGGCCACCTGCAAGGCTCCACCACCGACGCCCACAAGGGCTCCAAGCACACCGCGGGTCTAACACAAGACTGGGACTCAATGGTCGCATCCGCCCGCGACACCATCCTCCGCACCATGGAAGCCCGTCTGAAAATCAACCTCGCACCCCACATCGTCGACGAAGTAATCAACACACCTCCCACCTGGAAATCCCGCTTCAACCTCGACCGCGGCGCCATCCTAGGCCTCAGCCACTCCTTCTTCAACGTCCTGAGTTTCCGCCCCAAAACCAAACACTCCTCCATCAACAACTTGTACTTTGTAGGTGCGAGCACGCATCCCGGCACGGGCGTCCCGATTGTGCTTGCTGGCGCCAAAATCGTAACCGAGCAGATTCTGACGGGGTTGGGCCAGGGACACAGGATTCCGTGGGGCAAAGCGAAGAGTGATCGTAGAGTGGGGTCGAATAGTCCGCTGGATCGCGTGCAGCATGGGCCGTATTTGAGTTGGCTGGTTTGGATCTTGATTAGTGTTTTTATGACGGTTGTGGCGATGGGGGGCGTGGGGACGCTGAGGTATCAGAGGGGTGAGGGGTTGAAGGGGGATTGGTAAAGGGGGGATTGGTTGTGTTCGTGATTTTGTAGACGAGGCATGTGTGGAAAGTTAGATAATGTTTGTATATGTCTACGCATCTTATATATATATATCGTATGGCTGTATTTTTCTATACGCATCACATGACATAAAATCACGAATCATTCGAATGGGTAGCTATAGACAAGTTATATGTTGTAACGAGTGACTGGTTGATTAAGAACTTCTTACTGGTATCGTAAAAGACAAACTCATATACGCATTTCCACTCCCCTTTCCACCACATCCATGATTACATTAAAATTACCTTCCCCCACCATCACAACATTACTAACATCATCCTCAAACAACAAGAGACAAACGACATACATACGATATCGTGCACACCAAGCACACAACACAAGGGGTATCTTCGCCATCGCAAAGCGCAGATTCTCTCTCTCTCTCTCTCTCTTAAACGGTAGTAGTAGCAGGCGCCGGGCCGTCGTGAGGCGGGTTAACAACATTCTGACCATTGTGGGCAGCAGCGTCCTTGGCGCGCTTCTCCTGGAGCATAGTGTCGTCGTTGTAGTCGCGGATCTGGAGGCCGAGGCGAGCTGGGTCGATGTTGCGGTGGCCCCAGAGGAGGAGGGCACCGAAGACGGGCTTGGCGAGGAAGTCGAGGACGCCGTAGAAGACGGCTTCGCTATCGGGGGCGATGACGTTGCTATTTGGGATTCGGTTAGTAAGGAGTAGGTTTGAAAGGGAGGATGGTAGATAAAGGGAACGTACCCGCCCTCGCTGAGACCCCAGGCAATTGGGTACAGGATCCAGAGGAATGCGGTGAGAGAGCCACACATCAAAAAGGTGCGCTCGACGTCGCGGCCGAAGGTCTTGGAGTGAATGCGAGCTTCCCAGGTGAGCTGGAAGACAATATAGAAGAGAGCGACGCAGCCTATGGTTGTGTGTTAGTCAATCACATGACTTGCTATCGAAAGGGAGAGTGATAGAATTCTTACCAAAGACAAAGAATGGCCACTTGTAGATACTCTGAATGAGAGCGCCCATCAAGCCAGTCACGATCATGATTTCATCGACGAGGATGACCCAGAGAATGGTGGGCCATGGCATACCGGCGGTAAGCAGCAAGTCCATGAGAAGCAGAGGCGTAGTGATGAACCAGTCCACATAACGAGCATAGTAGACGGCGCGGTAGGTACCACGAACGACTGGGTCGCTGCGGCGGAACTCGACCTCGATAGGCGTGAATCCGAGATTGGCGCCCATGGTGAAGTAGGCAATGGCTGCAACAAAGACGACACCACTGGTGATGTAGTGGAAGAGTCGGTTGCGGCGCTCAACACGGTACGACATGGCTGCGAAGACGAAGCCCGCCACAGTCATGACAGCACAGATGGCAAAGTAGAAGTTGGAGCCATGGGTGGTCAAGCCAATGTCTGCGGTGCGGCCGTTGACAGTGTTGCCTAAGACGATTTGTTAGGCCAAAGATGTTACTTGTTTTAACTCGCAGTAGTACCGCAAGCTCATGAAAAGGAGCGGCGAGTTGCGAAATGGTATGTCTACATACCATTGTATTTGAACACATCGTTTCTGCGTTCAAGCTGCATTGTGAAAAAGTACAGTGTCTTGCAGGTACACAAGAGCCAACTCTGCAATCGCCTTTTTCTTATATTTGGTTCTGATACCAAGAGACTTTACTGAACTCTGGAGGATGATCAAGCAATCCCTTATACAGGCGCGACCCTCGAACTATATCTCTTGTCGCCTGACCATGTCTGCCCACGTCTGTAATGCCATCATGCCGTCATGCCGTCAGTTTGTCATTGCTGCGATCCGCAGACGTTTTTCTCTTCGTTATCCATGACGACATTGCAGCACCTAGAACTGGTCGCACCACACCTTCATGTCAGTGCTCCTCCAATCGCAGCGCTGACTAACGGGCCAGCAGCCTAGGGCAGCAGGGCGAGAACGGTAGAAAGCTGCGACGTTGGATGATCTCGTCAACTGCGGGAATTTTTATGAAGACTTGGCTGTAGCGTCCCCCGCTTTGATGGCCATTGTTTGAGTGGTTCGTTAGCCATTGTGTCGTGCTTGGGTGCAGAGATCAACGTCGTGATGGCCTCGAGGGGCAAGGAAGACATGGGCGATGGGCGAGAACTGAGAGTATTTCGACGACTTGGCCGTGGCATTCATGGCCCGCGGACAGCAGCTTGAATGGCTGGAGCGGCGTTATGTTCGGTCATACTGAGGGCGATTAACGTCGTGGTATGACTGCTAGCGTCCGACGCTTCCGCATCGCGCCAACCCCACTTCCCACCGTCACGCCACTCATTTTTAAGCTTTATAGTGCTGATCTCACAAGCTTACTTCGACATCGACGTCGGCCAGACGTAGGTATCCCTTAGTCACTTTGAGATGAGATTTACGTCACCTGCATTGATTCGTCCCGCCCATCTCGCCCATCTCAACCACCACGGCTAGGCTGGGCTGAACTAATGGGACTAGATTGGTCTGGCTGCTATTCTCGCCGGGAGATCAACAGGTTGGCCTGCCCTGTCAGAGGTATACATGCATACATGACTGCTATGCAAGGCTGGTGTTACTGGCCATGTGCCACCTCAGCCCCTGCACATGTCTTCCCACGATCGATCAGAAACACGGTGTGCATGTACATGTACATCCCACTACACCCATACTTTGTAGCTATGCACATTCAAAGCAAACAACCCGTTGACCAAGATGGAATTAGACATTAGTTTGACATGCTCGCAACCAGGCTGGCGCTGCCAGTAGCGCACATCTCTCTAACCTATGTGTGTATGCATCTATGTACATATGTATGAATGCCTGAACACTGAAATAAACCCAATCCCTCACCTGACTAGCCAAGATAACTAACAAGAGCCTTCTGCAAGTGACTCCATCGGGTATCACATACCATCTCTGTCTCGCACCTGAGCTTTTCAACTTGCCGTTGCTTTGCAATGTCTTCTTCGGTAAACCAGTTGCCGTGCAGACCATACGGTATCCTCGTTCCAAGCTGAACCTTGCAAACAACTGTCTGCATGTCCCGGGCATCCAAGACCCATAGCTCGCTGATAGCATCTGGCCTGCACTCGCCTTCTTCGTCCAGCTGATCTTCATTAAACACATAGAAGAGGAGGTACCCGTCCAATTCATCCGAGTCTGAGTCATCGGCAACGGCCTTTTTCGATGCCTTGCGGGGTACAAACTTGGCTTCTTGGCCAAAGTGCTGCGGGGGCAGTCGGAATGCCTTGATCGAGTCTTTGGGATCGGCTGATGCAAGAATCTCGTCGATTGACCGATTGTCGACACATCCGGTAATCGATTCCGGGGCAGTATGCTGGGCATGCCTGAGGAGACCTTGGACGTCTATTCTCACCAACACATCAATCTTCGTAGCCTTGCCCAAAGCGGCGCCAAATGACTCGTCCGAGGTGCTACACCCATAAATGTAGCGTGCGCGTACCATCTCCGTGGCTGGCGATACTGTAGGAAACTCAAACGGAATTGCTGATAGTGCAAACTGGTGAGTAATGGTGTTCTTGGAGCCAGATTCCAGCGAGAAGCGGTAATAGTATAAGCGGCACTGCTCTTCGTCGTCGTAGGAAATTGGTATGTTGGAAGCCATTGATGAAGAACCCGGGCCAAACGTTGATGCGTTTGGCCTTAGCAAGGGAGTCGATTCCTCGATGAAAGACTTTTCAGGGTCTTTGTCGTCTTCATCGCTGTTATACTTTGCAAAGAAAGACATTGGCTTGCTCTTTGATTTATCCTTATGTTTTGGATGCGGCGGTGGTTCAATATTACCGGCACTGAAGACCAAAGATGCCGAAGTCAGGCGACAAGCAAGCAAGTTGACAGCTGCGACCTCGTTGTTGCTGTCATACTCATCCCAGGTATTGGCTGTATGGAGAATACAGCAGCCTTCCGTTTCGAACCAACGAACCAACTCGGGATGTCGACGAGGAAACACGCCGAACCGAGCCGGCTTCTCGGGCTCATACACGACGACTGGCTTATTCTTTGCCAGATTGAGGGGAGTTAGGGAGAGCGGCATATCAAGAATGACAGTGTGATGTCTCGCAACACCAAAGTCATGCATAAGCCGTCCGCCGGAGCACCCGGGGACTGGAGCATTGACGATGGCTTTTGCTTCGTAATCAGTCCGACTTGTAGACGAGCCCTCTGCTGGGAGCAATGAGTAGTGGACGTAGGGCGCCACGAAGTTGCAGTGAAAGAGAACCAGCTCGTCTGTCACTTTGTCCACTTTTGGGTGGCCAGTCGTCCATTCCCTCATCCAGCTGAGCAAGCCCGTGCTGCCAAACGCTTCACGCTTCTCATTGCAACTTTGGTGGTCGTCATCTTCCAAGGCGGGTTCGCCCTCAGCGGTGTTTCCATTGAACCAGCCCACAGTCTCCAGACCTGGCAACGTGATGCGCATTGGTGGCCCGCTCTCGCAGGTTGCTAGAGCACGTCCGTCATGGTACAATATGCTCGTGTTTGCAACACTGATTCGCTTGATGACACTGGCCGACCCAGAGATATGGGTCCATAGTACAACAAGGACAGTGCGGAATATCCGCCAGAGAATCCACAAAAGGCTGGATGCGGGGTTGACCAGGGTCGCAATGCTCGGCAGTATGGGCGTACGTAGTGCTGGATTCTGGACGGCGGTGAGGTAGACGTCTGTAAGGATGAACTGGTTGACAAAGTTGACAATGGGCTTGGTCGGGTCCATTGGCGAACGACTGAACCAGACGCCCGAGAGCATACCATCGCCGTCGAACCAATGCGCTTCACGTCCCAGGTCGGCATTGGTCACAGGGTTTCCGCCATTGCGGACATACATTCCCCCGAGTAGTTCTTCCGGAACATGTCCCGTCCATGAGACGGGCGTAGGTGGCCATGATTTGGTGACAGGCGCAAAGTTGCCAGACAGGTACCTGGCACGAGGTTAGACAGAGCTGGAGGAGCCGGGCGCGATGGGGCCTACGTACGGATGTCGTTTGGCGGGCTTGTTGGGCGGTCCAGACTTGGACATGGCGACGGTGGTTACCTTGGCGGCATTGGGCGGCTGCGTGGTGGGGTTTGTGTAGAGCAGAGTCGATGGTCAACGTCCTTGTATACAGCAGGGCGGACATTCACATGTCTGGCGATGTCACGCCGCGGAAGCAGAAACAACCCCTGGCTGGGCAGCGGGGTGGAGTGAGGGGCGCGAGTGGATGGCATGATGCAAGCACCTGTCAGAACCGGGATTTGCGGGTTGGCAGGTGGGAAAACCGGTGCTGTTGAAGAGATGGCGGGTGGTCGGTGGTGATGTCATGTTGAAGCTTGCACAGGAAGCTAGCCCGTTTTGGGCCACGTGCTTCCTGCATTGCCGGCGGTTGACTTTTGGGGGCGGCATGGAATTCGCGATTTGGCGCTATGGAGCCTCTGCAACATCCAGTGTCTGCCGCATGTCCGCCGCGGCTTACACCTAGATTGTTCCCTTGCATTGGGTCCCACGAGTGACGCCAACTGTACCTCTTGTTGGCCGTCTCTTCCTGCTCCACGGTTTCATCATGGGCTTTGACTACGCGCTGGTGTATGTGACGCGCCCTCAGGTTGCGAGATGCAAACAACATATCTGACAGTCACGGCTAGGCATCTCAAGTACACGATCCCTCCGGCCCTGCTGCTCACCTGGCTTTATCGCCCCTTCTTCACCAAGCTCGACGCATACAAGGTCTTTTATCTGATATTCGTATGTACAATCACTGTCCCAGGCGCATCCCACCACACATGTGCTGACAGCTCAGGTCGCTGTCACCTCAACTATACCATGGGACTCGTACCTGATCCGCACCGGCATATGGAGCTACCCCGGCTATGTCATCATCGGTCCAAAACTATATGATATTCCACTCGAGGAAATCTTCTTCTTTGTCGTGCAGACATACAACACCTCATTGCTCTATCTGCTCCTCAGCAGACCCACTTTCCAGCCTGTGTATCTGCGGATCGAATCGGGTGCATCCCGGAATCCATGGCGATTCGCAAAGCTTACCGGCCAATTGTTGTTGCTGGGCATAATTGCATGGGGATGGCAGTGCATTCGGAGCGGCGGTGAAGGGACATATACTGGTCTCATCTTGATTTGGGCTGGCCCTTTTCTTCTGCTACTATGGTATGCCGATTCTAGCGGGCCCTTGATCTGGCACTAACCCCCAAGCAGGAGTCTTGCATACCAGTTTATTCTGGCACTGCCATTGACCAACACGGCGCTACCAATCCTCCTCCCGACCTTTTATCTCTGGATTGTCGACACACTAGCACTTCGTAGAGGCACCTGGGTAATAAACGTGGGAACAAAGTACGGAGCACACTTGTGGGATGGCTTGGAAATAGAGGAGGCTCTGTTCTTCTTTGTCACTAATTCGCTGATAGTGTGTGGTCAATTGGCGTTTGACAATGCTCTAGCCGTGCTGCACACCTTCCCGGGGCTGTTCACGGACCCCTCACTGCTGCCATCGCCACTTCTCTTGATGCGCGCCCTTCTTACGCCCAGTTCCAAGTACGACGCTGAGCGGCTCCAGGGTCTTGATGAGGCTGTGCGTCGTCTGAAGCGCAAGAGTCGCAGTTTCTATCTTGCATCCGCGACGTTCCCTGGACCTTTGCGGGCGGATCTGCTCCTACTCTACTCCTTCTGTCGCGTAGCTGATGATTTGGTGGACAACGCTTCTGACGCTGAGGAGGCCAAGATGTGGATAGCAAAACTACGCAAGTTCCTGAACAATGTGTACAGCGACAAAGTTGCGCGTACTGCTGTGCATGCCCAAATATGCGCTGACTTCCCACTTGACACCCAGTCTGCGCTCCTTCAACTCCCCACATCGAAACTCTCACACCAGCCATTGGAGGATCTTCTCCGGGGATTTGAGATGGACCTTGGTTTCGACAAAGCGCCGCTCATAGAAACCACCGAGGACCTACAGTTGTACGCGGAGCGAGTTGCAGGTACTGTCGCACAGATGTGTATTGAGCTCATCTTCTACTGGTATCCTAGCACTCTATCCGCCGAGGAGCAGCGTGCCATTGTCGCTGCTGGTAACAACATGGGTGTGGCATTACAATATGTCAACATCTCGCGCGACATTGAAGTAGACGCTAAGATTGACCGTGTATATCTTCCTCTAAAATGGCTTGCCGATGTAGGACTGAGCTATGAGAATGTACTGAAGAGGCCAAATCAAGCGCAGGTCGAGACACTCCGCAAACGGCTTTTGAAGGATGCATTTTCGCTCTATGAGACGACCAAAGACGCCATCGAGCGTCTGCCGATTGACGCCAGAGGTCCCATTCGGGTCGCAGTAGAGAGTTATATGGAAATCGGACGGGTCTTGGGCCAGGAAAATTACAAAGTAAAGGCTGGGCGTGCTACTGTGCCTAAGCTAAGGAGGATCATTGTCGCTTGGACGACACTTAATCGGAAATGATATGTTTGGTGAGGTGCGCTCAGCTTGCAGGGTTAACCTCGGAGATAGCCATGCCTCGTTTGGTCTAGCGTTATGTTATTGACTATTATGACAATTCATCCTTTCCAGTGGTTCCCCAACCACACTCGTGCTCGTGTTAAGCAAGTTCCCGTTCCATGAAATGAGTGCAAACAGGCTGCTGGATCCAACAGGCGCGTCGTTTGTAGGGCCTGCAAGAAAGAGGAAGGGTGGGTCGCGCATGTCAAGTCGCCAACCAAAGGGCCACTACAAGAAGCTTCTGTGGTTCAAGCAACCCTGTGAGTCGTGGCAGCCTGCAGCAGTATACCTCTTCTCACATATACAGTTCCCGACAATTATACAGATGAGGCCACGTTCCTTGACCACTTGCAGCGAAATCCCAGGCTGCAGCCCTATGAGTTCTGGTCGCTCATGTCCGATGCAACCGTCATTGTGCAGCATCTTGCTTCGGTCATCATCTTTTGCTGCTGTTTCGTAGCCATCATTCACGGTAGGGTGTCGCCTGTCGCAGTAGTTGGATGGGCCAGTATGTGCACAGTGCTGGCCTGGGTCCTGTGGGATCACTGGATGGGCCAGGAGTTCAAGACGGTTGCCAATGTGCCTTTGACGCCTACGTTGGAGACAGACGAGGTCGTGCCACAAGCCTCGCAAACCCTTTCGCCCAGGGCCAAGCAGCGTCTGGCAACTGCCAAATCCGCCATACTCATATATGCGGCTTTGCTTGGGCTCAGCCCAATTCTCAAGTCGCTCACTCGCTCTACAACGAGTGATTCAATATGGGCCATAAGCGCGTGGCTACTGATGATGAACGTTGCATTCTTTGATTACAGCGCGGGTACAGATGCGCAGTATGAACAACATACCAGTCCACCATTTCAACAGCTAATTTGCACCTTCTAGACTACCAGCTTCGATATCCACAAATTCTGCAATGATGGCATCGGCGGTGCTTGCTTCGCGTTTGCCATCTACCACTCATGTCTTCTCGTTGACCCTATTCTCCATTGAGGTATTCGGTCTCTTCCCAATATTCCGTCGCCAACTGCGTGCTAGGTCACCATGGGGCCACCTCACATTGACCATCACCCTGATAACATGCGCATGGGGCAGTCTTTTCGTTACTCTGACAGGGAACGGCAGCGCCACATTCATAGCCGGCGCCATACTAGGGGGTATTCTCACATTCCTCAGCATGGGAGTTTGTAGCTGGTGGTTGATCGGTCTGCAAAAGTACAAGAATGAGATTCATGGCCCTTGGGATCCCGCCAGGCCCATCATCCGTCGACACTGGGATTGAGCTCTGAACCATTGCTGTCAAGACGGTATTGGTCGTAAGTAGAAACAGTACAGACTCCGTTCAGTGGCCAAGTGTCGGACCCAGTCAGTCGTGCACCTGTATTCTCGCCTGCAGGTGCTATCGAGGAGACTTCCAACTGAAGTTTGTTGTCCTTCCTCAGCCATTTGATCACCTTGTGTTCACCGAGTCTCGCCACTACGCAGTTGCTCATTCGAGATATCAGGTCGTCCGAGCCTACATTGTCACCTCCTACAAAATGGACTGGCGACCACGGTGCCTTCTGGGCCATCGTTTTACCTCTGCTTGTTCCGGTGACAACGATCCTCTCAATATCCGCAAACCCCCGTAGAATATTTCGAAGGACGTTCCAAAGCTCGCATCGGTACATTGGAATCACAGGCCATGCCTCAAGATTGAGTCGGAGACACTTTAAGCCGCCTGCATCCATACGCAGGGATGGTTTGCGGTCGTCCTGAGTCCACGCTAGATACTGCAACCACTCACGCGTGAGATGGGGGTGATCAGAGTTTAGTTTCCGCAAATCAATCTCGATGTCTTGAATGCGCTTGCTATAGCTGGTCGGCAGTGTTTGAAGGAATGTCCGCATCGTATCAAGACTTGAAAAACGGAAGGTATTTTGCGCAAACAGTGGCCGACGATCGATTTCATGGTATATCCTGCGGCATGTTTGAAGGAGAGAAACCCTTGAGAGGCTATTATCCATTGGTCCTTTCTGTCGTTCCTTGCTATAGCAAGCGATATGGGGGTCGGAGATTGGAGTATCGCTGATCAGGCAAAGACTGAAAATGATGTGCTTGATTTCAGACGGTAGTTGAACAAGGGCTGATTGGGGCTGGAGATTTTCTGGAGGCGCAATGGTAGCCATGGTATACGTGGTAATAGGACGCAAAAGGGGGTGCCATGTTTGGCAGCGATATCACTTCAGCTTTAACTGAGCTGATAGACCGCCTGTTAGCAACAGCTAGGATCAAACTTCTAGTCAGCGTGGCGTTTCGCCCAAGGGCCCTTTCACCACTATCATCGAAAGCCATCAATTAGCGCATCGATAGAGCCAGTCATCACTAGGCCGTAGAAATGGTGTAGCGAACGTGCGCCAGCTTGCATCGAGTGACGGCGAAATGGGTAGCTGAAGCGGTGAGTTGAGACCCACGTCTTCACTCATAATTGTGCTGGGTTCGGCACATGTCGGAGCAGCTCAGCAGAAGTTATCTTGTTGTTATCAATTTTCTTCAAATTTTCCTTACTACTACCGACGCTATGACGCATGATGGAATCGTTGTAAGGAAAGCAGGGCGAGCTGCTGTTAGATTCGGCGAACATTTCCCCGCAACTAGACATTGAATCTGACAGCTCACGCTCAAACTCCAGACATCTGACTTTGCAGCATGTTGATGTGCAATACTCGACGCTACAGATGATCTTTCATTATGCCTCCGTACCCAGGAAGATGTGTGTCCGAAGTTCAGCCTGGCCCCCAAATCGACCATGCAAGCGCCAGACTCAATGGGGGCCACAGCGGTGGTAGTATGGCAGCTTCCCGCCATCGCATTTTTGACATTGACGCGCAACCTTCTATGGCACCCGGCATCTAACTCTCGACCACATATATATATGAATTGATAGTTTGCCACAATCGGCAGCCAAGCGAAAAAAAGCAACAACACAATGTCTCTACGCCCCGACAGTGGCTCCAAGCGCTCGCGCTCCAAATCGCCGGGGCGCGGTCGAGAACGCGACCATTCGCGCAGCCGCAGCCATAGCCATGCACAAGAGCCTCAGCGATATGGGCCAGCTGACGGAGCCTCGACCCCGCAGTACGAGATCAGGCAGCCAGATCAGCAGTATGCGACGTGAGTAGAGCGACATCTGACTTCTGGAGAATGTCTCCAACAAACCTTGCGCAAGACAACTCAGCTGAGACATGGCGACCAGATCACACAGCGAGTCCATTACCATGGGCAACTACAGTGACCTCCCTCCCCACGAACGCCCCGGCTATGCACCCCACGCCGCCTCGTTCGCGCATCCTGCAACTACAGCTCCCCCAGCTGCAAACGTTACATATGCCAATGCAAACAATGTCAAGTATGCATCCACCGCCAACAACTTCTCGTACACGGCCGCCCCAACCTCTGGCCACAGCAGGACATCGAGTGCGACGGGGAGGGACGGCTCTTTTCAGTATGCGAATCCTCCGCCAACCATCACCTACACTGCGAAGCCAGTAGCAGATTCCAAGCCGCCTCATGTGCGACACAACTCACAGCCGGTATACCCTACGCAGCCGCAGCCCCAGTATACAGCTGTGCCCAATGTCGCGTCGCCAACCGCTCAGTATACGACCAGGCCACAGGCTCCTCCATCGCAACCTCAGTACACAATGGTCTCACAGGCGCCAGCCTCGCAGCCTCAATACACGACTATGCCACAAGCTCCTGCCCCGCCTTCAGCTAATGGGCAACCATTCCCACCTCCTCCAATGGGTCGTCACTCGCCACGTCCCGAGCACCACCGTGCGTCTTCGTACTCTGGAGTGGTGAATCCGACGGAGGGTCGCAATGTCGTGGAAATGCGCCCGCAGGGTCACCTTGGTGCACCTGGTAAACCCGAGGGATTGCGCATGGACAGACTGTCTGTGAGCGGCAACAGACCTGACTTGCAGACGATTGTACCGGGAGGCCTGCCTGGCGGATATCCTGGCGGACTTCCACCACCGAGTCCTCTTCTTGAAGCCTACCATGGTACTTATCAGTCAATCAGTCCTATGCCACAGGCACTGATGCTGGACGACGATCTCGACGACCTACAACCGCTCGACAGCCTCGAACCCCGAGATTCTCGCCGTTCTAAGCACGGCCGCAGCCGCAGCCGCGCTCCTTCATCCTCGCGTCGATCTCCAAGCCGGTCGCGGCCTTCCAAACACGCTGACAAACTGGCTCTGGCAGCGTATGGCTCTGGCGACCGTTACCAAGAGAAGGAAAAAGACAAACGCCGGGTCAGGATATATGATGCTACTGATGATGCTCTTGCACTTGTCAATGCCATGGCTGGACGAACACCTAATGTGGATACCATTATCGACATCATCCCTATACTTTCGCACGATCAGATGCTCGAGCTGAGAGCTGAGTACAAGCGACACTGCAAGGTTCAGGGCAGGGGAATCAACATTGCCAAACATATCAAGTTGAAGACGAGTGGTAACTTCGGCAAGATTGCCTACGTGACTGCTCTTGGAAAGTACGAGAGCGAGGGCTACTGGGCAAACTACTGGTACCAGTCCAACTCTGCGCGTCGTGAACTTCTCATCGAAGCCCTCATGGGCCGTCAAAATCACGAGGTTCGTGAGATCAAAGATGCGTTCAAGGACAAGCGATACGGCGACTCGCTTACGCGCTGCATGGACAAGGAGCTCAAGGCAGACAAGTTTCGCAAAGCTATTTTGATGGCGCTGGACGCCACACGCCAGGAAGAGAGCGATGTCTGGCCAGCCGAGTACCGCAACCGCGACGTCGACACGTTGTGGAAAGCCATCAACGCCAGAGAAGGCGGTGAAAGCGTCATGCTGAGTATCGTTGTCATGCGCAGCGATGCGCACCTACGCGAGGTGCTACGAACGTACGAGAGAAAGTACCAAGGAAACTTTGCTAGGGATGCGTTGAAGAAGAGTAATAATCTCGTTGGTGAAGTCATTGCGCATATTCTCAACGGCGTTAGTAAGTCATCTTCCCCCTCTCCCTTGCCACTTTCATTTCAAAAAGTACTCTTGTACTAACCTCCCTAGTCAACCGACCCGCACGAGACGCCATGCTCCTCCACCACGCCCTCATCGACCTCATCGAGCCCCCCGCCGACGGCCGCTCCTCTGGCAGCCGTATTTCCTCTACATCTAGCAAACACGACCGCCAGCAGCGCGTCGAGCTGCTCATCTCACGCCTTGTGCGCTTCCACTGGGATCGCATGCATCTCATGCGCGTGATGAGCGAGTACGAAGAAAAATACGGACGTATGGTCGAGGAAGATCTCGAAGAAGCGACTCGAGGCGATTTTAGACAGTTTTGTCTGGCCGTGTGCCAGAGTGCTAGGTAATCTAGGAACCGGAAGGTGTATGAAGATATGAACAAGATGCAATTTCAAGTCGTATATACCCGTGTCTTTCGTTTAATCCCATACATCCTTTAAACCCGTGAATTCATTATGTTTTTCTTTCCCTTCAACCTCGATATTTGAACGACGCCAGACTCGCCGTTCGATCTGAAAAAGACCAGTTTTCTGCTTCGGGAAGGATATTGTTCCTCATCATCCCATCACCTTGCTGCTGTTGCACTTGTTGCGCCTGTTGTCCTCCGGCCAAAACAGTAGCACCACTACTCCCACTTACCCCTTCACTCACTCCAAACCCTATTGATCTCTCCCCACCACCGCCACTACTACTAGCAGCTCTATACCTCGCCCCCGCCCCCGGCACAAACGAATACAAAGACGAGGGATTCGCATCTGCCCAGCGCAAAATATTCCGACTCAACGTCACGGGGCTTTGGTCTCCGCCGCCCGAATGCGTGTTATACGCCATGTCGTCTGTGATGTCTTCTTCGTCGGAGAAGGAGAGTGTGGGTAAGGGGTCAGCTAGGTACGAAGAGGATGTTGTGAAGGGTTTGAGGGACGGGCCATTGGTGGTGGTGGTGGTTGTGTATTGGAGGTGGGAGGAGAGCGAGGGTTGAGAAAAGGTAAGGGTGATGCTGCTGGTGGATGGGTAGGATAATGGTCCTGTGTTTGGGGGTTTAGATAGAGTGATGGTGTTTGGTTCGTCTGGGTTTTTGTCTTTGGTTACGGCAAGAGATGTAGGGGGTTCTACTGCGGAGGTGGCGGAGGTTTCCATGTCTATGCCTCTTCGCATTCTTTCTCGCTCTCTCTCTTTGCTTTTGAGCTTGTAGCCGGCTCTTGCATAGCGTTCTGGGTAGCGGATGCGGAATCGGTCGCGTAGGTCTGTTGCATGGCGCGATCCGAATTCGAGTTCCGGGTCGTCGCGCATGGAGTGCCAGACTGGGCCATATTTTTCGAATCCCTTAAGAAGGTTCACGTCATCAGCGGCTGTGAAGGGGCGTCGCGGGCGGCGTGCTGTTTTGGAAAAGGGCTCGTGGATACCCAGCTCGGAGAGACTGGGCATTATAGTGGTAGCTTTGGTTGTACGTGTAGCCACTGTAGAGTCTGAGGATGCAGAGGCAGAGTTGTTTGTTTTGTCCACTTGTTCTGCACTCTTACCGTGGCCGTCAGGATGGGTATGTACAGCGTCCACTGAGTGCTTTTCCTTGACGCTGGCCCTTGGTTGCCTGAGTTTCAAACCTTCGCCAGGACAGCACACGCGAAACCGGTCTTTCAGATCAACAGCGGTGCGGTTGTTGAACGTAAAGTCTGGACTTTGCAGTATCTTCTTCCAGCTTCCAATACCAAATCTGCTCACGCCTATAAGTAGATCCTTGGTCTCTTGTTCTGACCACTTGGTCCGCTTCTTTCCACGCTTAATCTGGGTTTGACTAGGAGGGCTTATCTCCTGGTTCGACTGTGGCTTAGCCTCTTGAACAGTAGGTATTCCACTCAGCGGGGCATTCTGTGCTGTCACCTGACTATTTGGTCCATACTCGCCATGTTGAGCACTCCTAGCGAGTTCCTGGGCGCTATTTTCAAGAAAAGTATGGTCATCCACGTCTTTACCTCTTGGTTCTTCAAATAGGGAATCGTATCCTCTTTCACCAGCAAATGCATTCTTTTCTCCAGTGATCGGCGGGAACAATCTGCCCTCTGGTGGTAAAGGTGGAGGCTGATGTAAGCCCTGTAATAGCGGCGGTATCCTAGGCCGTTTTGCCATCTTCTTGGGAGGCTGTGGAAGTCTTGGGAGTTTGATTACAGAAGGACTGTATCCCGTATTATCGGGCTGCAAAAACTGCTGGTCCTGGTCCCATCGTTGTTTTGTATGCTCGGGACTCTCCAGTAGGAGATCCACTAGTCGGCCGCTGAACGGAGTCGTAGAAGGAGCAAAAGTATTGGGAACAGATTGTGAAGAAAGCAGATTGGCCTCATTGTTGAGTACCTGTGCTATAGGAGCACTAGGCATTGCTCGCGTTGGGTGTATCTTGTCATGTACTTCTTTTCGGAAATCGTTGGCTTGGGTGATGTCTGGCGACGATGAGTTCGCCAGCATCAGCGCTTTGGGCCGCACAAAAGTGGAATCAGCTTGGTGCAGTGGCCTATGCGAGCTGGACGTAGTAACATCGGGTGCATTTGTCGCGTACGGCATGCCGCCTGGGCTGGAGAGGTCTAGTAATGCATTTAGTCGCGGCTCCATGATTGGAGAGTCGCTCGTGGACCTTATCGAAAGGGGTAGACCGAAGGCGTTCGCGCAAAGCCGTGTGCCAAGCGAGCGCTAACGCATGCATTCCATACACGGTATATACATGCAACGTGTTTGGACTGATGATTGGACAATTTGTCTCACAATATGCACTGCTTGATTAAATCCACACCGAACTTTTAGACCGCATGTTCGTATAGCACACTTGCACCATACCGCTGTGCCTGGAACACCATTTTATTTAGCGTGCAGGACTAGCAGGCGCGGTGATTATATAATTCAGAATTTCTACGGTCTATAGAGGGGAATGTTGATCGCTAAGACAGCATGGTGAAGCTGTAAGGCCGAAAAGTAATTAAATATGCCAAAGCAACGCCAATCAATACAGACAGCCTCGATACATCGAGATGCTAACATCGCATGATTCAGCAAGCTCAAACGATCTAACTCAAGAAGTGCCTGCAGGGTATAGATATCAGCACATTGTAATTGCAGAATTCTCCGACACGCGACTATGTCCAGCGCAACGTAGACTTACCATTTGTCTTGGCCGCAACATCCGACATCTTAGTGTCAACGTGGACCTTGGCGAGATATTCCTTGTTGCCTTCGGGGGTCGCCTTGATGGTCTCATCACCGGGGTTCCAGTTTGCGGGGCAGACCTAGAGAACGAAAGTCAGCACTCAACTCTACATTTACATGTGTTGGAAGACCATGAAGCAGGCATACGTACCTCGCCGTACTTGTCTGTGAACTGGAAGGCATCAATCAGACGGAGAGTCTCGTCTACTGAACGTCCGACAGGAAGGTCGTTGATGGTGATCTGTCGTACAATGCCATTGGGGTCGATCAAGAAGAGCCCACGGAGAGCAATGCCCTCTTCCTCGATCAAGACACCATAGTCCTTCGCAATGCTGTGGTTCTTGTCGCTAAGCAGGGGGATGTTGATCTTGCCGAGCCCTCCGTCTCTCTTGTTTGCATTGGTCCATGCAAGTAAGCTGTACTCGCTGTCTGTGCTGGAGAAGACGACACTGGCACCGCGGGCGGCGAAATCGGCGGCGCGATCACTAAACGCAAGAATCTCGGTCGGGCAGACAAAGGTCCAGGCCATGGGGACGAAGCCAAGGACCAGCCATTGCTTGGTGGATGTGTAGGCGGTTAAGCTGAGTTCTGGGCAGAGACAGTTAGTATATATCGCCTTGTCTTGTCAAGGGCTGTACCAATGTACCTTCAAATGTACCATCGACAACAGCAGTGCCGGTGAAGTGAGGCGCAGGCTTTTGTACCCGTGCCTTGGGCTGGTATGCTGAGTAGGCCATTGTCTCTGGCTGGGTTGTGTACTAAAAGGACGACGCGCGACACGAGACAAAAGGTCTACGTAGTTGGGGGCGATACTGTGTGTCCAAGTCGGTCCGCGAGTTGATGGCAACGACAGAACTCGGCGGAATCAGTGTGGAATGGACTCGACTTTTTAAAAGCGCAACTGGCGGTCGGCGATGAGGTAGAATCGGGGCGTATAGTCGGATTCAGGTTAGGGGAGTTTGAACCGATACTTAAGTAGTAGACAGCGGTATGGCTGTAGGCGAACAGGAATCGAGGGAAGAAAGGCCAAAGAGAAAATTAAGTCTAGCAGGCTGCTTGCGACAGATGTCAAAACGCGTGGTCCAAGCGACTAGCCGTACTCAGCTAAGCGTCGACGTTTGCTGGAGCCCTGTTTGGTTTGTAGGTGCTTTGGTATATGTCGTGATTGGAGATGTGCTGGTGTTATCAGAATGCGCGCAGGTACAGGGCTCTCTTTAAGGGTTTTGCCACACTAATGCCGGCCCGCTGCAGACACACATGGCCTGATATGTCAGAAATCCCAGGAATGACAAAATGCTGCGCCGCGGTTCCAGTCCTTCGGCATCTTCGGCGTATTTTGTCAGTTGCGTCTTTGTCAGTTGCATCAGGTCTCGAACTATTGGCTACCCACACACGCCTGATCACGGGAGAGCGCGCGAGCGCGGGACAAACGTGCGCAAGCGTCTTGGAAACTCACCATCGTCTCAAGTACATTGAATTTAAACTTTTCAGCCTCACACTGCAGCGCACACTAGCATTGACTGTCGCAGTCGAGGAGACACGTTCAGCAATTTTGCAGGGTGCATCCATTCCACAACAACTTCTAACTCTATGCCTTACATACATAATACATGTGTCCGCAGGCCTCTATCCAGCAATTCTCCATGCGCGCAACGGCAACGCCTGTATCCTCATCACTGCGGGCTTGATATATCCCCAGAATGTCAATACTCCAATCAGAATACATAGCATGTTGACAATGTAGTATCCATCCGTTGTGACATTGCACACGCCTCCTCCTTCAATGCACCGATGCTTTTCGCCTTCAACGGCGCATGAGAAAGGCTGCGTGACGAGGGGTCCTTTCAGGCCAGCCCTGAGCCCACCAGCAGGCGGCATGCAAGTTGCCGAGGTGAACATGTCAACTGCCTTGAGGACAAAGTAGCGTGGGAATGTTCCACCCAGGTTCGAGACACTGCATTTCAAGTCAATTACGAATCTAGGTGGTGTGATGAGGCAAGCTGAACTTACGTGGCGAGAAGAGTCATGTATGTACCGCCGATCAACGGATCAGAGATCTTAGCGTGAAAGGCGCTGACGGCGACAAACATGACTGTATTCATAAAGGTCGAGAGCACATGCTCCGCAATGACGAGTAGGAGGAATCCGCTCGATGCACCTCCGGCTGGGAAAATCGAAACAACAAACTGCGCAAACCCTGCAGCGACCAGGCGTCCAACAAACGACCAGCACCAAATGTGCATGGGAGGATACGTCTGGCACCATTTGCCAATGTAGTAGCCCAAGAAGACCTCAACGGGAAAGTCTACCAGGATGACGAGTGATAACTGCTCCTGCTTTAGGCCCTTATCCAAGAGCTTCAGACTCGTGACAGCATCGTTCGCCTGGAATCCAATCTTTGCGATGAGGTGGATGATGATGAAGCTTTGAATGTTCTTTAACTTGAGGATACCCCACATAGTGCGGTAGACCTCTCCAATGCCGTCACCGTTCCTGTCGCGGTCTTCGCGCTTCATGACTGCCAATCCGAAGGTGACAATCAGGTAGGCCCAGCCCCAGAAGCTGAGGTAGCCATCTAGCTCCATGATGCCCGTTTCTGCGGGAGTGCTGCGAAACCACCTGTTCGCAAAATCCTTCGAGTTAAAGGCCAGAAATACAGTGTACGAGAGGAATTGACCTGCGGTTAGGCCGACGGTTTGCGCAGTAGAGGCGTATGCGAGATTCTCCTTTGAGAGAAGAGTAAGTGCCCAGCCTGGTATTGTTAGTCTTGTCACTTTAAGTATAGAAGTGTTACCCACCATCTACAGCAATGTCTTGGGTGGCGCAGAGGAACACAAGCGCGAACCACCACCATGTGAAGTTCCACACCCCGCTGTCTGTCTCGCCAGCCTCTTTCATCATGCGGTTAATGTTCTTGCCCAGCCAAATCATAGAAAACCCAGAGATTGTCTGAATCGGCAGGATCCAGCTCTTGCGACGGCCAATGGTAGGTGACCAGACCGCGTCTACGATTGGACTCCAGAGAAGTTTCAATGAGTATGGGTACGCGGCAAGCGAAAAGACGCCAATCGCCGCATAGGAGACACTGTGTTTCAAGAGGAACGGCACGGAGCCATGCGCCAGACCCATGGGTATACCCTGGAGAAAGTACAACAGAACCAGCAACAAGAAGTTGCTCTGGTCCTTCTTTGAAAGTTCAAAAAAGCCCTTGGATGGTCCTTCGTCCTCCTCTCCTAGCTTGGGTACTTCGTCATCGAGGGAGAAGTTGGGATTGCCCATCAGCGATGCAGCTTGACTTGAGGGTGAAGTGCTATCAAAAGAAGTATGCTTGCGCCGATGTTCCAGAATGACGCCGTTCATGGTCGCGGTCGTGTTCGCATCGCCGTTCTTCTTTTCCTTGAGAGAGTCGGTCGAGCCCTGTTCTCGGAGTACAGAGCCACGATTCTTGGATCGCGAGCCTCGTTTGCTCATTTGTGTGTGTGTGTGTGTGTGTGTGTGTGTGTGTTGCTGACCCGGTTGGAATCGACGAGGGGGAATAGCGGGAATCTCGGAGTAGGTGTTGGTGATACAAGTCGTATGTGGGCAGGTGGGTGATGTCAGGGATCAGCGACTAGGGGTTTGGGTCGAAGGAAAGAGAAGATGAAATCCTTGAAAAGTGTTCCTGGATAGAGAGCGACTAGCAAACAAAAAGAACGAGGGATTTATGAACAGCAGCACTAATAGATGCAGATGCAACAATGATCGCCACGGAACCGAGGTGCGTCTGACGCTTCAACCGTGTCCTCAATGAGAGTTTGAGAACGGCGGTGCAGCACTAGGCGAGCCGGGGTGTTCATACCCCTTGACCCCTACCCACGCCACACCTACTCACGTGCCAACGCGTCGAACCTGTCGACGCGTGTGGAACAGCGTCGCATCACTTGCACATACTGTGTATACTGTATATCCAACGTTAATACACAAAACCCAAAATGGAGACAGTCGAACAGCTTGACGACGAAATTGGTGACCTTCACGCTCGCCTAGCGACACTACAAGCCCAACGCGCGAACCTGTCGTCAGTCCTGGTGTCGCAACCCCACCTCGCAGCTCGTCTTCAGAACGGAAATGAACGCAGCAAATCTTCCGACAATGCTCAGCAGATCATCACGCAACAATCAAAGCGCAATCTTGAAAACGTATATCGTGCATGCGCTGGCGTAACTGCCTACAGAGTCGAAGATCCGGACCCACATGCAGCCAATGATGGCAACGTCCTCGGCGTTAGCATTGATGTTTCTGTCACCGAGAGATTCATTGAGACGTACCATGTTCTGCTGAGCGTCCGAGAGAAGGGAGAAAAGAAACTTCTAAGCATCCACAAGCACACCATTCCTCCATGCATACCACTCCAACAGTTGGCTGCCAAATGGCTACCGGGAAGCGGAAAAGATGAGGAACATGATCCAGAGCAGGACTTGGTACGCTTCGGGCGTCTACTGCGGAAAGAGCTTGTGAGCTGGAACATGCGATTTGATGCTGTAAGAAAGTTGAGGAAAGAGGCAGGGCTCATCAAGCAAAGACGGGACAGTGAGGACTTGGCAACTGCACCAACCAGCAACGTCCTGAACGCGTTTGTGAGCGACGATGATGCCAGTTCTGATATTGAGGTATCTGAAGACGGGGATGGAGCCGCACGTATTCTGGACATCGAGGCCGATGCTGCGGTCAGACAGATCACCATCACATGGTCCGACAGGCGGACAGCGGCTATGAGCATCACCAAAGATGGCCGGATCGAAAAAGCGGTGTGTAGAAAAAGAGACGGCACTCGAGATGTAGTGCTGGGCAAGAAAGCCATAGGACCTATCGGTAGCCTGATGCAAAGGCTGATGGTTTAGGCAGAGCAAAAGTAGTCTAAGAGCTGCACAACATCGGGTACAGTAGGCGAAATTACGCGAAAACCGAATCACTCTGAAGTCAGGTGTATAAGGAGTCAGGTGTCCTTGTAATGCCCCACAGACATCTCTATGGTGTCCTTCGACAGAACACGTCTCTCATCAGTTGTCCAGTCGATATCGTGATGCCTGTTTCAGTAGCATCCACCAGAATACACGCCGGCTAGACTGGCCGATGCAGACAGATGAAGGAGACAGCAGAGTAGAGATAACAGAGTGGAGTGGAATATCATCGCGATGCAACGTAACCGACCATCTGCGATATCAGTGAGCGAGAGACATACAGAATGAAATACACCAAAGCTCGATACAAAGCCCAAGCAAGCAGTATACATTCACGATAGCGAGATAAGGTTGGGCATCAATCATTCGAAGAATATCTTTGACTCAGCCGACAAGTCACATGGTTGGTATCACAGTACAGATAATACTAGAGACTGTAAGCTAAGGGAGTAGTTACAGCGATGTAACACAACGGTTACTACAGTAGGAAAGGAGTAACGGTGTAGAATGGAAGCCGAGCGTGCACGGGCCGAGGGTTACACAGGTCGTCACGTACTACTGTTCCTCCTGCTCGCACACCCGTCTCTCTTCATTCTCCACTATCCATCTGTCCATAGGATGCAGCAGCACGAGCTGCAACAAACTGCCAAGGTCTCCATATGCCTTGCAAAACTCAGCAAAACCTCGTCAAGGCCAAGTTTCCTCAGCGCGTGCCGTGGAGCGTGGCATTCATTCCGCTGCAAGCATCTCAAAAAGCAGCATCGCGTGCCTCTATCCTCCTTGAGTGGGCGGCTCACTTGACGCGCTAATAGAACCTGGAGTGTGGAGAGTTGTGAACTTGCTGCATCTCGGCCGGAATTCCTTCTACTTCGGTCTCTCGTTTCTCGTCTCTCGCCCTGCATTGCGGCTAAATGTGGCTAACCGTCCGCCCTAACAGTCGAACCACCTGCTCCTCTCCGCGATACGCTTGCATAATCTTCATCGGCCTCTATGCTATTCCCGTCGAGCGCAAGCGTCGCTTCGCAGTATCAGTGCCCAGCGGGTGCGATCAGATGATCTGACGGCTTGACATATCCACGCGCGCGGGAGATGCGCTCATGTGGGTCCCCGTCTCCACCTTCTCCAGCCCTGGTCAAAATACCCTGTCTGGCACCAAGTTGGACTATTCCTGTTACTGTCCTTGTGGCGCGCGTTCTCATCTATCCATCCTGGCTCCTACAGCATCCGCCCTCACGAAGCAAGCCAGTCGAAGCTTCGCAACGTCTTATCATCTCACATGACTTTCAACTGGAGGGTCATACTTGAGCGTGCCGTTGGCAAGGGTTCACCACACCGCCAATCGAGACCGTGAGGCTGCCCCTACAGAGCAAGCGAGTAGCAGCCAGTTGGATGCCGTTGTTGAACTTGGTGTTATGTCGTATCTCGACGTTGCACATCGCCACGGCACCGAAGCCGTGAAGATTGTAGGAGGTTTCACGTACGCACCCATGCAGAAAATCCATCATCGGGAAGTTGCCGCCTTTGGGCTCTTGGAGCCCCGTGGATCTTCCAGTAGCTCCTTCAAGAAAGGCATCGTTAGCTTCCCGCAATGTCACTGCTAGTGCAGTGGATGGGAGACTTGTACACTAAGAAGATTTGCCGACATTTTTCAACACAACGAAGAGCAACATTATCTTTTACCAACTGAGAATAAAGAACCATTGGCGGCTATATCGTGTCTGCGAGCTATCTTAAGTGCAGGATCGTTCGGCGCTTAATATCTCGCTCCGTGGACAAGGTACCTGCACTCCTCTGCCTCCAGATTGTACTCGGTTGTACCTGATCCGTCGTTCTCCCTACACTTTGGGCCATCGGATATGTTCTTAGGATCGGGACTAATGCATTCTGCGAAATACCCACGCGCGAACGCTAGCTTCACGACGCTGCCGATGCAATGTCGTCGGCGCGTGGACGAGGATATGTAACCTATCTATCCCGAAGTCTACTATCTCTGCACCATCTTCTTCCACTTCGTCATTGTCACATTCCTTTTAGAGAGATTGTGTAGTATCCTCTGACCAATCTCTGGTTCTTTGCAAGGTCGACTGACCTTCTTCGTTCCTTATCGCATTCACTAGACCGTAGTGTCCTTTTGCCCGTTAGTCGATATCTTTTCTTCTTGTATAAGTTCCGACGGTTGAACCCTTTTTGAAACACATCGACAAGGCCACCCATACCTCCACTTTTCCTTGAACTGCGGTCCTGAACCGAAGCCACATCCGTACCTGCACTAGCCTCCGCCACAGCCACATAACACGTCGTAGCGCGCCACTAGCGACATCACAATGCGCGTCACCAACATGGTTCTGGGAATGACATCCCTATTCAACTCCCTCGCGTCTGTTCGAGCCAGCCCAGTTCCACAGGCTGAGCAGAACGTCATGAACTCTGCAACGTCGGGCTACAAGAATGTTGCTTACTTTGTCAATTGGGTACGTTGCCCCTAGCATAACAGCGGAAGATTTACACACTGATGAACCCCGCAGGCTGTCTATGGCCGCAACCACCACCCACAGGATCTTCCAGCTGAAGAGTTGACTCATGTCCTGTATGCATTTGCTGATGTTCGGGACACGGGTGAGGTCTTTTTGACGGACTCTTGGTCCGACACTGACAAGCACTACGCCGGCGATTCTTGGAATGATGTTGGAACCAACGTCTACGGATGCGTGAAGCAGTTATTCCTCCAGAAGAAGCGCAACCGCAAGCTGAAGGTGCTTTTGTCAATTGGAGGGTGGACTTATTCATCTCATTTCGTGACACCTGCATCGACTGCGCAGGGACGAGCAAAGTTTGCGAGCAGCGCTGTTGCCCTCTTGGCGAATCTTGGTTTCGATGGCCTCGACGTTGATTGGGAATACCCAGCAAACGAGTCTCAGGCAAATGACATGGTTCTCCTCCTACAGGAGACGCGCCGGGCACTGACAGCCTACTCGAACGAAAATGCCAACGGCCAGCACCTTCTTCTAACCATCGCATCCCCTGCAGGCCCCAAGAACTATAACATTATGAAGCTCGCCCAGATGGACCAGTACCTTGACTTCTGGAACCTGGTATGTACATGATTATTTCAAATAGAAGTAACGTAACTGACATGACTAGATGGCCTATGACTATGCCGGATCGTGGGACAACACCTCCGGACACCTCGCCAACTGGGCACCATCCATGAGCAACTCAAACAGCACCCCATTCAGCACCACCCAAGCTATCAATGACTACGTAGCCGCCGGCGTCCCAGCCTCCAAGATTGTTCTCGGAATGCCACTGTACGGCCGCTCATTTGCCAACACCGACGGCCCAGGTAAGCCCTACCAGGGCGTGGGACAGGGCACGTGGGAAACTGGCGTCTACGACTACAAGGTGCTGCCGCAGGCCGGCGCCCAAGTCTACACTGACAGCCAAATTACTGCCAGTTGGAGCTATGATCCTAACTCTAGGATGATGATTAGTTATGATACCCCTGAGATTGTTGCCAAGAAGACGCAGCTTATCCGTGACAACGGGCTTGGTGGCGGCATGTGGTGGGAGAGCTCGAGTGATAAGAAGGGATCTGAGAGTTTGGTATCTACGGTATGTTCTTCTTCTTTTCCTTTCAAAGCTCCAGCCTTTTGTTGGATATGGGAATTTTGAAGTACTGACTTTGAGGGCAGTTTGTCAACAATATTGGAGGCATCGGTGCCCTGGACCAATCGACCAACTTGCTCAGCTTCCCTACGAGCAAGTATGATAACTTGAGGGCGCAGTTCCCCAATAACTAAGACCGGCTTTGGTCGTGAGCTTTTTGTTTGCTCCGGTCTCAGCACAGGCGCAATGAGCGATGTCTCTCCTCGCGGAGGATGCCTGAGGTGTGAGTTGAACTCGCATGGAGTTCGGTCAATCGTTGGATCTTTTCCTTTTACTTACACTGTCGTTTTCGATTAGTATTTTGGGCTGTACATGAGGGGGGCATATGGTGCTTAGACTGTATATGAGGGGGTACACGGTGCTTAGATTGGTGTCTGGGTTACTGGGGTTTCTCTAGATGGGAAAGGGGGCGGGTACATACATTGGCATGCTGGATACATGGTTGTTTGTTTTCGCATAGGCCTAGTTATCGGCTACGTACATATATGAATTAACGACTTTCTTCTTGATACATCAGTCAATGTATACGAATGTATATTGTACCCTGGGTCGTATTATGACTGGGTTTCTCACACTGCCTACAAAGAACGTAGTACAAATCATAAAAAGTTGCAGCATCGAGTTGAGGCGATCCTGACTTCACCATGGATATCTCCCCCAAAATACCTAAATCTACAAAAAAATATACAACTACCCTTTTTCACACGAACATTATATCGCCTTGCCAGCTTCCTCAGCAGTATTCAAGTCCGCAACTTTCGTTTCAGCCGAAGCACCCAATCTCCGTTTCTTGAGCACATTCTCGATAAACGCCTCGCCTGCCTTGTAACTTGAGCGGACCAACGGACCAGAAGCGCAGTAGAGGAAGCCCATGTCGAGGGCGCGTTGGCGCCAAAGTTCGAATTTGTCGGGGGTTACGTATTCGTGGACGGCGAGGTGGCGCTTAGTGGGACGCATGTATTGGCCAAAGGTGACGACGTCGACGTTGTTTGCGCGGAGTTCTAAACCAAGTATGTTAGTTCATATGGATCTTCTTTCTGAGTGGTAGGTTGGTGGGGGTTTGTTGCATACCTCGCAGAGCGTGCCAGACATCCTCGTCTGTTTCCCCCAGACCTAACATCATACTCGTCTTTGTAATGAGTTCGGGCTGGGCCTCCTTTGCTGATCGCAGCACATCTAGACTCTGCCTGAACTTTGCCCTTCGGTCGCGCACAAAGGGTGTAAGGCGCTCGGTGGTTTCAATGTTGTGCGCAAAGACGTCCACCCCGCTTCTCGCAACGACCTTGGCCATTTCCAGGTTGCCGCCGTAGTCTCCGCCTAGCAGCTCGACGAGCTGTGTGGGGTTCTTTTGCTTGATCTTCATGATGGTCTCGGCAATGTGGTGGGCGCCCGAGTCTGCGAGGTCATCGCGGTCCACGACTGTGATGACGACGTAGCCCAGACCCCACCTCCGCAGTGCTTCGGCAGTGTTCTCAGGCTCGTGTGGATCCAGTGGCGGTGGTGCCCTGGAGGTCTTTACGGCGCAGAAGCGACATCCGCGTGTGCATGTGTCGCCCATGAGCATAATTGTTGCCGTTGCCGCACTCTTTGAGCTGCCACCCCAGCAGTCGGAGATGTTGGGACATCTTGCCTCCTCGCATACTGTGGCTAGATTGAGGCCTCGCAGGTCCTTTTTGATTTGCTTATAGTTCTGGTTGGCGTTTGAGGGGATTGGTGTTCGCAGCCACTCGGGTAGTCGTGTGATTGTCTTTTTGCGCCCCTCTGGGCCGACTTGGACGGTCTTGATCTCATATGCTTCGGCGGGGGAGAGGGGCGCATTGGGGTTTACAAAGTCGCCGAATGAAGGGCCAGCATTCAGGGTATCGCTAAATGAGGTCGCAGGCCGCGAGCGTTTTGAAGGAGTTTCTGAGGCTGGTGGTTGTGGCGCATCGGAGGTTGTGGCGAAGGATCTCAGCGGTGCTTTTAAGCGTGGGCCTGCTTTTAATGCTGCGAGACAGCGTGTGCGTGGTATTGAGGCGGCCATTGTATCGTTTTCTTATATCTTGTGTGAGGGATAGGAGAGGAAAGGAAAAGAAATGTAAGAGCGAGAGTGTTGGGCAAAAAGTTATCGTAGTCAGAGCCTTGAATACCCGGACCGCATGCAGTTGCAGAGTCCGGGTGCCAAGCAGCTCGAGGCATGCAATAGCAGCCCACACAGCGGCCACATCCCTGCACCTGCACTCCCGCCCGGTCAAGCCCATCTTTACATACAACGTCGCCAATTTACCACGACTACTCGACTACACGCCCACGCCGCCATAATCACCCTGCAATCGCCCTTCCCTTCCACTACATCAATTGCTGGGCGGCGCTTGGCCACATAATACACCTCCCCCCGTCGCAGAGGCCACGTTAAAGGCGGAGGAAGAGCGGGACAGGTTTATACATCTACGCCCACGAAAGCTAGCACGCGGTGTTGCACACAACCACCATGGACAAGAAGCACGAGGATGCAGGCGGCGTGGCGCAAATCGACAAGACGTCTGTGTTCCAAGAAGGTAGGGTCGCTTGCAATCGCATGCACAAGTGCTGGTGAAGTGTTGCGCAGTACAGGCTGACGTTGCACTCCAGCACGAGTATTCAACCAGAGCCCTATCTCGCCCAGGAAATGTAGAGTGATCCTGACCAAGCTGGCCCTCCTGCTCTTCACCGGAGAGAGCTGGGGCCGGCAAGAAGCCACAACCCTCTTCTTTGGCATCTCCAAGCTGTTCCAGAACAAAGATGCCTCGCTCCGCCAGATGGTCTACCTCGTCATCAAGGAGCTCGCTGGCTCCGCCGACGATGTCATCATGGTCACCTCATCGATTATGAAAGACACCTCTGTCGGCAGTGACGTCGTCTACCGCCCAAATGCCATCCGCGCCCTCTGCCGTGTCATTGACGCTTCCACTGTCCAGGCCATTGAGCGTCTGGTCAAGACGTGCATTGTCGACAAAAACCCCTCCGTGGCCTCGGCTGCTCTCGTTTCCTCATATCACCTTCTTCCGGTCGCAAAAGACGTAGTTAGGAGATGGCAGTCCGAGGCCGCAGAGGCTGCCTCTGGAAGCAAGTCGGGTGGTGGTTTCTTGGGTGGATTTGGAGGAAGCTCGCATACCGCTCTCCAGGCCAGCACAAATTACATGACACAGTACCACGCCATTGGTCTGCTATACCAGATGCGCTCTGGCGACAGGATGAGCTTGGTCAAGATGGTGCAACAGTACTCGGCTGCTGGTGTTGTCAAGAGCCCTGCTGCTACCGTCTTACTTGTGAGACTGGCGGCTAAGCTGGCTGACGAGGATCCAAACCTCCGAAAGGTGCGACACTCTCCATGCAATATAATGAGCCTGCTGACCGTACCATTAGCCCATGATGCAGCTCCTCGACGGCTGGCTGCGACACAAGTCCGAGATGGTCAACTTCGAAGCTGCAAAGGCCATCTGCGACATGCGCGATGTAACCGACGCCGAGCTTGTCCAGGCCGTTCACGTTCTACAGCTCTTCCTCACATCTCCACGCGCCGTCACCAAGTTTGCTGCTCTCCGCATTCTATCACAAATGGCTTCGTTCAAGCCTGACGCTGTCCGGTCGTGCAACCAAGATATTGAGTCGCTCATTACCAACTCGAACCGCAGCATCGCGACTTTTGCCATCACAACGCTCCTTAAGACGGGCAACGAATCGTCAGTAGATAGGCTCATGAAGCAAATCACAGGCTTCATGGCTGAGATTACAGACGAGTTCAAGGTGACCATTGTCGAGGCTGTCCGAACTTTGGCTTTGAAGTTCAAGTCCAAGCAGTCTGGATTCCTTGCTTTCCTCAGCGGTATCCTGCGCGACGAAGGCGGTTACGAGTTCAAGAGAGCAGTTGTGGAGGCAATCATGGACCTTATTCGATTCGTTCCAGAGGCCAAGGAGGATGCGCTTGCGACTCTCTGCGAGTTCATCGAAGACTGCGAATTCACCAAGCTCGCCGTGCGGATTCTGTTTGTTCTCGGACGCGAAGGCCCCTCCACACCTCACCCTACCAAGTACATCCGCTACATCTACAACCGCGTTGTTTTAGAGAATGCCATTGTCAGAGCTGCTGCAACTTCTGCTCTCGCTAAGTTCGGTGTTGGTCAGAAGGATCCTGAGATCAAGAAGTCAGTCCACGTTCTGCTCACTCGCTGCCTTGACGACGTTGATGATGAGGTCCGAGACCGTGCTGCGTTGAATCTCCGGTTGATGGACCAGGAGGACGACGACATGGCCATCAGCTTCATTCGCAACGATTCCATGTTCTCACTACCAGTTCTCGAGCACCAGCTGGCCATGTACGTTAGCTCAGACTCCCGCGATACCTTTGAGACTGCCTTCGACATCACCAAGATCCCCACTGTCTCGCGCGAGCAAGCAGATGCCGCAGATCTTACTAAGAAGACCGAAGGCGCTACCCCGACACTCAAGGCACCCAGCGCTGCGAAGCAACCTTCAAAAGTGGGAGCAGACGCTGCAGCCAATGCAGCCAACAATGCGCAAAAGTACGCTGCCGAGCTGCAGAAGATTCCCGAACTGGCGGCCCATGGAGGCGTGCTCAAGTCAAGCGATGTTGTCGAGCTCACCGAATCAGAGACCGAGTACGTCGTTACGGCCATCAAGCACATCTTCAAGGACCATGTTGTCATCCAATACGATATCAAGAACACCCTCGAAGATACAGTCTTGTTGGATGTCGAGATGGTCGTTACTCCCGAAGACGACGGCGATGTTCAACTAGAGGAGGAGTTTGTCATCCCAGCGCCAAAGCTTTTAACAAACGAGCCAGGCACTGTTTACGTATCGTTCAAGCGCCTCGAGACTGAGTCGCAATTCATTGCGGCAAGCTTCACCAACGTACTCAAGTTCACAAGCAAAGAGATCGATCCAAGCACAAACGAGCCAGAAGAGGGCGATGGTTACCCCGATGAATACTCGGTCGAAGATCTTTACCTCACCGGCGCCGACTACGTTGTACCGGCGTATGCTGGCAGCTTCGACAACGTATGGGAGCAGTCGAACAATGACACAGCAACCGAGACTCTGCAGCTTGGCAACATGAAGAGCATAGCAGGTATGTTTTTTATGTATTTCTCAACATGTCACTTTACTAACAAAGAGCAGACGCTACCGAGCAACTCACCAGGACACTGTCCCTCCAGCCATTGGAAGGCACCGATGTGGCTCTCTCAACATCAACACATACGCTCAAGTTGTACGGCAAGACCATTACAGGTGGCAAAGTGGCAGCCATGGTACGAATGGCGTTTAGTGCAAAGACTGGTGTAACGATGAAGATTGATGTAAGAAGTGAGGAGGAGGGTGTTGCAGCTCTGGTCGTGGGTAGTGTAGCGTGAGCTATTGCTCTGCGGGTGTTTTAGTTTCGCGTATTGAAAGCGTAAATGGTCAATTGGGGCTATCTAGTAGACGTTTTTGGTTTGCATAACAGATGATTATGAAACAGATGACTCTTTCAAACATATGTTCCGGGAGGTCGCGTGCTACGATTAAGTTTTCGATTGCCTGCGTGTAGTGTGGAAGAAGGTTATGATTCGAGAAATCGAATCCCGCTATTGACAATATCTCGTATCTGCTTCCACCGCTTAACGAGCGTCTCTCTCTGACCCTCTACAACCCCTTCTTCAGCCTGCTCCACATCCCCACTGAGATCAAGCCCCTCAACCTCCTCGATGATATCCACAATCTTGCGCGAGTACTTCGTCAGCACACTCGCCAAATACTCATTCAACCTCGCCTGATCCCTCGCCCCATCATCATCCCCACTAACAAACGCCGCATACCTCTTCGCATCCAGCACAAGCAGCCTCAGAACAGCCTGCGTCCGATAACACACCCTCTCCTCCTTTTCCTCCCCAAACAGCGTGTAATTAGCATAAAACCCATCTTCCTTTAACGCAGCAACCTGATCTCCATCCAGAAGCGGCAGTAGCAAAGAATCAAGGGGAACACCATCATGTCTATTCTTCTCTTGAAGAATAAATCCGTACTCTGTGAGCAGGAAATCGTTCGTGTGCGGACCATACGTTACGAAGACTTCTTCGCCAGCGACATAGGCGCGATCGGCAGTTACTGTGTAGCCACTCGGTGACATTTGCGGATCGCAGCCTGAATCGGAGTGATTGAAGTAGTCGGTAAAGGGGCACATGCAGTAGCAGTCGTCTGCGGTGAGTTTTGCGCGGCGTTTGGGGAGGAGTGCCGAGGCGTTTGGTAAGTCCGGGTAGGACCAGTAGAAGGTTCTGGTGTTGATGATGAGCCAGGTGTAGGTGTAGGTTTCCTTTGTGATACCTGGGTTGTGTGGTGCGATGCTAGTCCAGTCTCGCTCGAGGTTTTGGAGCTGTTTGGTTAGGAGGGTGCGGGCTGCGGGGGGCAGAAGGGGTTGTAGAGAGGGAGGGTAGTAAAGTGGCATTGTGGATTTGAAATCTGAGGATGTGGGCCATACGTTTTGCCAGAGGGTGTAGTCGTGGTCTTTGCGGCCTGTGTACCAGAGGGCGAGGGAGAGGGCGAGTTTGCCGTGCACGGTGATGGTGTCTGGGAGTTTGAGACTGCGGATGCTGGGGAGGGCGACGTGGACTAGGGATTTGTTGGATACGTGAACTAGCTTGTCTCCTTTCTTGATGATTTAGCATCGTTTGGGCTGAGGTTCAAAGGGGAAAGAAGGTGTGGAGGACTGACTTTGATGTCTTGAGCGGCTACAATGCCCATTCCTCGACCGACGAAGCGGGCTGGAGCAATGCCATTGATTTCAACGCCGTTGGACTTTGCCCATGCGACGAAGTCGGTATGATTGGTGCCAGGGTCGAGAGCTGCCGCCATGATTTACAGGATATGTATTACTTTGTTTATTCTGGTAACAGTTCTTCTGGAGAACACCAGTCTGATAATAATCTCTCCAGTCACTTCTGTCACTGAAGTCCTTTCTTTGTCTGCCTTGGGAAAAAAAAGTTATGTTACGTCTCTAGGGTTGCCGAGCAAAACTGAAGAGAAGTTGACCAAACTGATCTTTGAGTAGAAAATACCTGTTCTTTCAAGTCAATCTAGGTGAAAAAGAGACGTTTGTTGTAGAAGTGTTTTCAAGCACCGATGAGTCGCAAAGAAGTCATAAATAGCGTGATTGGTGTGGCTGGTGCTTGTGGCGCGCCCTATCGATAAGACCCTACATCATGTCATACCTCTGTACGTTCGAAGCTCCAAAGACGACAGCCATTGCCATTAAACTGACAACATCCCAATGGCTCGACATGTACGCATACAGCAGCTCCAGAAGCTGACCGCGCGATCAATTCCTCAAACCCTATCCCAACATGCCCAATCGCTCCGCAGCTTCTCCGTCCTCAACCGTCCTCCACCAAACTACAAGGGCCACATCCCATTGACACGCCTAGAGCGCCTCGGTCTCACTCTAGGCTCCGGAATCGGCAGTTTCCTCGATCCCAGACGAGGAGGTTCGAATCGCAATTCACACATCTTGTCTCAACTGCTTACAACATTCCTCAGATCTCATCGCCTCCTTCGGTGAAGCAACAGCCCAACCCTACTTCATCTACAAACTCCGCGATCGCATGCTCCTGCACCCCACCGGCCGCCGCATTCTACGCGACCGACCACGTCTAACTTCCACATCCCTCGATATACCGCGGTTGAGAAAGCTCCCGCCGAATACACTGGGTTATGCGTATGCCGCGTGGCTGGACCGCGAGGGCGTCTCACCTGATACACGAGCGCCGGTGCAATATATCGACGATGAGGAATGCGCGTACGTCATGCAGCGGTACCGCGAGTGCCACGATTTCTACCACGCGCTTGTGGGGCTCCCAGTTTTCCGTGAGGGCGAAGTAGCTCTCAAGGCTTTTGAATTCGCGAATACGGGTTTGCCGATGACGGGGCTCGCGGTATTTAGTGCGTTTACGCTGAAGAAGGCAGAGTGGCGCCGCTTCTGGGATGTGTATGGGCCGTGGGCGGCAAGGAATGGCGCGTTGAGTGGGGATGTGATTAATGTTTATTGGGAGGAGGAGCTCGAGACGGATATTGATGAGTTGAGGACTAGGTTGGGGATTGAGAAGCCGCCGGATCTAAGGGCTATGCGGAGGGCGGAGAGGGAGGCGCGGAAGAGGGAGAAGGAGAGGAAGGAGAATATGGCTCGCGCTGTGTGAAGGTGGGATTCATGTATATCACTGTACTTATATTGAAGATAAGAGAGACGAACAAATTTGAGCAGAAACACATTTCAAGTAGCATGTTCAAGATACTGCCATAAAATCAATTCAATATTGATCAATAATCTAAACCTCAAGTCTAGTATATCCATCTTCATGCGTCTAATCTACGCATCCATGAACCCCTCAAAAAAGGAGTCTCAAAGCTCGTAAGCAAAAGTCGTTAAAAAGGTTCGTTAAAAATTGGACCCATCATCGCTCATATATTTCCAAACAAAAAAAACAGAAAGGATCCACCACTTTTACTTTTTTGCCCAGTCCTTTTTTTTTACAACTGGGTTAAGAGACCCTCGCTCTCCAACAGCAGCACAATCTGGTGCACTGCTGTCCTGACGTTGCTGACTGACAGATCGACAGTAAGGTCAGGCTTGGAGGGAGCCTCGTACGGGTCATCGACACCAGTGAAGCCCTTGATCTCACCAGCGCGTGCCTTGGCGTAGATACCGCGCTTGTCGTTCTTCTCCGCGTGCTCGAGAGGAGTGGCAACGTGGATGAGGTAGAAAGAGCCGTACTTCTCAACAGTCTGGCGGGCCGCCTGTCTTGAGGCCTCAAAAGGAGCAATAGGCGCAACGATAGCGGCGGCACCGGCCTTGGTGAGCTCGGAAGCGACAAAGGCAATGCGGGCAATGTTCTTGTCGCGGTCAGATCGGCTGAATCCGAGTTCGCTGGAGAGTTCACTGCGGATGGTTTCACCGAGGAGGAGGGAGACGGAGCGGCCACCCTGTTGGTTGAGAGTCACGTTGAGGGCGCGGGCAATGGCGTCCTTGCCAGAGTTCTGGTAGCCCGTCAGGAAGACGGTGAAACCCTGTTGGCTACGGGGAGGGTGAGACTCGCGGAGCACGCGGACAACCTCTGGGTAGGAGAACCACTCGGGAATCTCCTGGCCGGTTCGGAGACGCTTGCGAAGTTCTGTGTGTTCAGTTAGTCGTTTGGATTCTGTACACAAACATCATAAGGACGTACCGGTTCCAGAAATGTCAAGAGTCTTGATACCCTGCTCAACCTCGTTCTTGGGCTTGTACTCATCCGAGTCAGGGAGGTAGGTCATCTGGAGGAAAGGAACAACCTCGATACCGAGCTCGTCCCTGTACTTCTCAACGGCATCCTGGGCATCGTATGGGCCGTAGAAATCAACACCCTTGGAGTTCTTGCCAGGGCCAGCGTGGTCACGGCCAACAATGAAGTGGGTGGCACCGTGGTTCTTGCGGATGATGGCGTGCCAGATAGCCTCACGGGGACCAGCCATACGCATAGCGAGGGGCAGAAGGGCAAGTACGGCCATGCCATTGGGGTAGCGGGGCATCAGCGCCTGGTAGACACGGACACGGGTGAAGTGGTCAATGTCACCAGGCTTGGTCAGACCAACGACAGGGTGGATGAGGACATTGGCCTGGCGGGCACGAGCAGCGCGGACAGTCAGTTCACGGTGAGCGCGGTGCATGGGATTCCTGGTCTGGAAAGCAACAACCTTGGACCATCCAAGCTTGTCAAAGTGCAGACGCAGCTCCGCAGGTGTGTAGCGGAGACCGACATAGTCGTAGTGCTCCAGGCGGTCGATAGCCTCGACCTTACCACCGACATAGTACTCCTTGACTGTCTCGTAGAGGTACTTGATGGCGGGGTGGGCTACATCGTTGTCCTTGTCGAAAACCTCCCTGGCCTCCTTCTCCTTGTCTGGCTGGTATACATCGTCAACCGTGAGGATGGCGAGGTTGCGGTCGTCGCGGAAATCGCGGAGGGCAATGCGGGCGCCCTGCTTGAGGCCGACCTCATCGATGGTCTCCTTTGAAACATCAAGGCAGATGGGGATGGAGAAGAGATTGCCATCAGCTAGACGGTTGTTGGCCACGACGCCATCGTAGTCCTTCTGGTTCATGAAACCTGCATAGTGCTGTCAGGTACCGTGCTGGCGGTGCAAACAGGGCAAACACGAGGGGCAATGTTGCATGCCCCTCGCATATTGCCCCGCGAAACAATGACGACTTACCCTCCAATGGGGAAAAACCTCCGTTCAGGATAAGTTCCAAGTCGCAAAGTTGCCTCTCCGTCAGAACAACCGCGGGAAGCTTCTCAGCCTCTTCGAAAAGCTCCTTGCGCCTGGGCGCATCGCGCGCGATCAGGTCCTTGAGGACGCCGCCTGTAGTGGACGCGCCTGGTCAGCGTCTATTGCAACTTTTGGCCAGCAGAAAAAAACTGCGCAGCAACTAACCATGGGGTGTGTTTGCCATTTCCACAAGATGTGTGGAGGGGAAAGGAATAATCTTAGGGCAGAAATTTGCGGGATAGTAATGCGACAAGATCTGGAGTCGTTCCTGACTATGTCGAACCAAAGGGTACTATTATCTAGGACTCTGGGGTCACTCAAAAGAACGATGCGCGACTGAGGAGCAGAAAGCGGCGACGGGCACAATGAGCTTTTTATTCTACAAACCACGGCTACTCCACGCTCCACACTCCCATTTGTTGACCTTGGCCTCTCTTGGAAATTCTCTGCTGCAGAGACTAGGCTTCAAAGCGGATGTTTTGTATGGGTCGGCAGATTTTGGAACCGATTGCGCAATTTCGCGCGATGTAGGAGCCTATCACACTAACTGTTCCCACTGCGTAAAGTAACAAGAGTGACGTGAGAGCGGAGCCAAAGAGGGCCCGCGTAGCTTCGGTCTCAACTTCGGGCATGTCGCTCTACGAGAATGACAGGTCGCGCGCGCCTGGGGCAGAGGGTTGCAGGGTCCGCTGATATGCAGCATCCGTATTCCCCCCACACTTTTTTTTTCAAGCCGCTTCCTTACTTGTGTCATAGTCAAATAGTAGCACTGTAGTAATCATAAATATAAACTCGTCTGATTCGTAAGAGAGCCCTGTCGGCTCCTACACCGGTCATATCTCGGCTCCAAGTGCAAACAATCGGATCTGGATGCCGTAAAAATCGGGGTGTTCCAGACTACCCCAGCCAAACCCTACTGCTACTATGCTAGGTATGCCAAACCCAGAAAACCCAAACGCCCATGCTAATGCAGATCTGTACAACAAACGAAAATACGAACGCTCTGGACCGAAACATCAAACTACCAACGAGACTTGTTGCAGCTTGTTGACAAGATCCTCGTTCTGTCGCTTCATCTCCTGCTCTTGAAGAAACTGAGCATATCGTGACTTGGGGTTGTGGATACCGCACTCAGACTTGTTCTTGCCCTTCCACCTTCCTGATCGCTCGTCTTCTCCAGCAGCAACAGGCTGTGTTGAGTGCCAGTCACCAACGCTCTTGTAACCCTTGTTGAGGAGTTCGTTGTAAGGTACGTCGTTTGCATCGACGTACTCCTTGACTTGAGCAAATGTCCAGTTGGCCAAGGGGTTGATCTTGATCAGTCCAGCCTCGTCAACCTCGACAATGTCCAGGTCGCCACGCTTTCCACCCTGGCTGCGGCGTCGACCAGTCAAGACAGCCTTGACTTGAAGCTCAGAGTAAGCACGCTCCGCAGGCTCGACCTTGGCGACGTAGTCGTAAAGCTCATCGTTGGTCTCCCACAGTTTATCTCCGTGCTTGGCGGTAAAGTCGTTTACATTGTCACAACCAGCAGGCTTGTAAACATGGACCGGTGTTCCGTATCGCCTTCGGACACGGTCAACAAGAGCGTATGTTTCATCGAAGTGGTAAAGAGTATCCAAGAAAATCAGATCAATGTTGTGCTTCAGGGGTCCGTCGAGCTTTGAGAGCATGTCCACAGTGACTAAGCCAGTGAGACCAAAAGCAGTAGTCTGGAAAAGCCCAGGTAGAGATGTAATGCACCATCGGAGGATGTCTAGCCCAATGTTAGTCGGACGAACTTTGGAAGAGATGAAAGACCGTCACTCACCCTGAGGCTCGAGCTTAGCCAGCTGAGCATTGATGAACTTCAAGTGAGGTCTAGTGAAGAAGATCTCTTGCAGGCCGTCCTGGCTCGACTCGGCTGAAGCATAACCAGACTCCTCACGGAATGTGGCGTGCTTGTATGTTTCGACGTTGCTGAAGACTGGTGACGACATTTCGAAGACGACGTGTGGCGGGTTTCTAACGATAGGCACGTGCAGAGAAGCCAGAAATGGATAGTCTTTATGAATTGGTATCTAGCAAAGGCTTCCCAAAAGAAAATCCTGTTACCAAGCGTCGTGTTCTGGATGTTGGAGGAAGGAAGGCAAGCAGGGCTGGAGAGTTATATTCAGCTCCGCCATCGGAAACCGCTTTGTAACCATCTCCGCAAAGTGCCATAGCTGGGGGTGAAGACGTGCGATCACGCAATTCGCGCTAGCAGTGGTGGAGCAAAACTCTTCGTGCCAGCCTTAGGTAAGGCAGCCTCGCCAATCATCTGGAGGCAGTATTAGGAATCAGGCTCGAAGACGTCTATGCTCAGGCAGTTGGTAGGTGTGTGTTGGTTGGAAATCAACCGATGTTGTGGGCTTTTGTCATCAACGTCATCCTATCGACGTTTGCCGAACAACACGACAAGTTGAGATCATAGCAATTGGTCTCGGCTGGCAGATCGGATCGAGTACAAATTCCATCGATCATGACGACTGATAAGCTCTTGTTTCATCTTGACCTTCTCTTTCATGTCTTGCCTTGGCGATGTTCGAATCGATACCCCGGTTCGTCGCGCAGGTTTCGGGCCATCGCGCCCGACGCCTCCCAGAAAAAAAACTTGCGACATGCACCCTGTTACTGCGCGAGTATATTAGCTAGGCTCCGATGCCGTGGGGTGCAGAGTACTATTGCGTATGTGGAGATGATTTATACCTACAGTTGTCTACACGCCTCAACGCGGTGGAATATCCAGTTCTTCCCGCATTGAGGCTTATCAGGCGCCTCGCTTAGTTTTCTGTGCTCTATGCATTTCCGGGATTTTATCATCGATCAATAGGATTTTTACACATGATGAGAAGAACTGCGGTGCCAACTTCGTATATCAATGTGTAGTGGTGTTGGTTGTGAGTGTGGCGGATGTCACAGTGGGGTCGTGGATAGAACTTGACGATACCCGCTTCCGCACGCTAGTAGTAACCCAACCGCAGCTAACCGAACCTTTGAGCGTTAAGTGACTTAAAAGATACTATCACGGAATTGCTCAACTAAGCACCATACTCTTGAAAGTTGGCGGTATCTGGACATCCGTAATTAGGATGAAGATCAGAGTCACGTGGTTTAAGTGAGGCTTTGGACAAGGACTTTAGCAGTCCTTCCAGCAAAGTATGGGAAACCAATCCATATCCCTCTACTCATATCCCAAATTCCCAATTCACATTCCCTCCCAAATCCTCCCCTCCCACAACTCCCTCGCATTCCCCCAAAACACACCTTCCCTCTCCCCCTCCCCCAACCACTCCACCCCCACCAACCCCGCAATATTCTCCCCAACATCCCAAAACCCAATCCCATACGGATAATCCGTGCCAAACACCATCTGACTCACCGGCACCTGCATGCCCTCTGTCAACCCTTTAATCTGCATGGGCCACACGGGCCCCGCGCTATCGTACCAAAGGCGCGATTTGTAAACTTGTCGTGCGGCAGAGGAGATGTTCGGGAAGCCGAGTAGGAAGCGCTCGGATATGTCGGGGAAGGCGCCTGCGCCGTGGGAGATGCGCCAGTGGAGGCGGGGGTAGGTGAGGATGGTGGAGGAGGCGGTGAGGCTGGAGATTGCTCGGGCGGTTTCGAAGTAGAATTCGCCGAGGCCGGAGCGGAGGGGTGCTTTTGGTGTTGAAGTTTTTGTTAGTTCAGACTGTCTTATTTGTTTGATTCTTCTTGTGGTGGATGCAAAGAAAGAAGCGATTGCTTACAAGGTCGCGAGTTGATCAAGCGTCCATCGTCGAGTTTGATGATGGGTTCGGTAGGATGAACGAAGACGACTTCTCTTCTTCCTTCTTCATCTGCTCTTTTCTGTAGAAAATCCCATAGCGGGTCGAAGGTTGCGTCGCCGGGATACAGGCTCTCGTGGTTCGTAAGTACGCCGACACCAATGGGCTCTTGTCCTTTTATTGCGAACATTCTTTTCAACTCTGTGATTGACTCGTGGACATGGGGTAGTGGCATAATGGCCATCCAACTGAATCGCTCAGGGTATATTCTGTACAGTTCCGCAGTGAAGCAGTTCAGTAGTCTGGCTAGCGCGAGCGTCTTCTTTTTCCTCAAGTCTTCATTCGTCTCGAATAAGAACGCATTTGCCTGGGGTGTGGAGACGCAAAGAACCGAGTGCACTATTTGATGTTCATCCATAAACTTTAGGTGGTCTTGCACAGTCCAAGAGGGCGTCGCACGACCTGCTGCATTCAACTCCAGTTCTCGGAACCAGTCAGGTATAGGACTGAAGATGTATTTGCCATATTAGTTCATATTATTCTGACTATCAACGGATTTAAGAAGAGGAAACAACTCACTGTGTATGCACATCTATCCGCTTCGCTCCCTGAAACGTAAACTGCTTGGTATCGACTTGGTTCACAGCCAGTTCTGCAATACTGCCAATAGCTTCCTTGGCAAATGGGAGAACAGTCAAGTCAATATCATCCTCGTGAGCATCACGCTGAATCTTCATCCAAAGCTCATTTTGCCGAGACTGTATATCATTGGAAGCATCTGGATACGGCTGACCAAACGGATACATTGCCAATGGATTAGTCTGGGAGGTCTTAGTAAACGGGAAGATTCAAACAAGGAAGTAACAAAAGAACCTCCTGTTTATATGAGGGATGAGTAGTCGTTGCTCTGCAGGTTTGGATGGCTAACGAATAGATCAGTATAGGTACGATGTGAAATCTTCGCATTTTGTATATCAAGATCAACTCACATTCGCAATGATCTAAGTTTTATATCAAATTCGGTTGCTTTTGGTGTGTACTCACTAATGTAGGAGCGAATGGTGATCTTGTCTAGGTGCAGATGTGAGGTACTCTTGCGGATGCGGGGAGCCGCACCAATAGCGAAACCAGTATGTATTCGTCCTTAGCGACTATGCACATCCCATGCATCTCATAGGTGTTAACTCAGTAAGTCTGAAGACTGCCGATGATATTGAAATATAATTCAAATGGCTAAGCAGTAGTCCAGAAGAACAATACTCACATGTCAACGAGTAGTTTGTCATATGTTTTGCACAGTAATAATCTTGACCACTCAAAACGTAGATACCAACACTGACTTCATCATGCCATATTAGAGGTTTTGGCCTCGTACTATTACTAAGGCTCAATCTACAGTGCTTCCAAGTTCTCACCAGGAGCCGCCTAATGCTCGTCAACTCAACATAGTCCCCACCAGCATACCCGTTAGCCCTCAGTTTCAAGTTGCTAGTCTGGAAATAAATGGCTCTGCAGATTCTGCTCATGTTACCGGGATTTTGATAGTGCTTCAGCCAGTACCAGCTGTTCCCCGTATTGCGGTCGTTCTGCCGTGTACGAAACTTTGGGGTATCGTCTGTTCAAATCACTACCAGCGATCATCCCCGCAGCTCCAATTAGCTTCCGCAACACCAAAAATAGCGCATCCTCTGTCTTCCAGTACAACCTGTCTAGTAAAAGAACATGAGGGGTAAGACGCCACAAAGTCGAATATCTCCAAGGCTACCTATGTAGCTCTAGCATGCCGGAAACTGCGCCGGGAGGCTCGTTCCGCGCTTGAATGTCGATCTGGGTTGAAAGAAGTGACCAATGGCACTGCAAGATTCAGTACTACTAAAGGAACCACTCTAAAGTCTTGGAATGTTGCCAAGTTACGTCCTGCAGAAGCCAATGCAAGGCTATCTGGGCTGACTGAAGCGTCAAAGGCTGCCCCATCTACCACATCTTGACGCCCAGATTATCAAAGCCTTCCTGTAAGACCTTGCGACCGGCAAGCTCATTCGCGAATTCCAACTTACGCTGTAGTGCCCATTCAGCATGGTTGTTGAGAGCGAAGAGCATTCCAGCGATAAAAGTGTCTCCAGCACCAATCGTATCGACAACTTCAGTGGGCTCATCTTTCTGCGGTTGCCATGCTTTGACATCCGCCCAAGACTCATCAGTTCCTTTCTCGATTGCCATAGCGCCTCCGGAACCCCATGTGCAACAAAGTATTGTGCCGTCTTGCTTGTCTGCGTGCTGTGCTTCAAGAAAGCTCCTCGCATCTGTGAACCCGTTCTTTTCTGCCCAGAGCTTCGAATAGAACACCATACCCGCGAGCTTTGCAACCTCTGCTATTTCTGTGCGTTCGGGCTTCTCGCACTCCACGCTTATTCTGAAGTGGGGGTAGTTTTTGCGCAGGAACTTGACACAGAAATGTGTAACCTCTGGAATTCGGCCTTCGAAATGGAACCATGCTTTTTCCCAAACCTGCCCCACATTCATTCTGGCAAATTCACGAACTTTTTGACAGAATTCAGATACCTGCATCTCTTGAAGCTCATTGATGCTGACAATAGTTCTCGAGCACTTTGCTTCACTTTGGATGATGTAACTGGAGGCGGCTTCCTGATGGTCTGTTCGGAATAAACTACAGTCAAATATGTTTACACCTGGGAGAGATTCAAAGATGAACTGGGAGGCTGCAGATTGTTCGCTCGGAAGTACTGCCATCAGATGCAAGTTTGCCGAAACCTGGGGGTTTGCAGGTGCTTTGTCGTGCTCTAGCAGTTGTGACAGCACCTCCAGACTGTTTGCTGTGTTCCCACCTCTTCTTCGCATGATGCTTTTAGCGCGCAACTTTTCATCTTCAATTGGAAAGTGCGGAACACTACACTTTTGTTTCAGCGAACTGCTACTACAAACACGCCAAACGGTAAGCTAATACTTACGTCAGAATGGTATCTATGTAGACAGCACCCACACAGACGATGTGGTTCCCTTGGCTAGCAGACATGAAAGGCAATGTTAGTGAGGTGGTAGGTTGATGGCACCATCTCCGGAGGAAATGTGGAGTCTGATATGTGGAGCACAATTGCAGTAGCACTACATCAAGAGTAGCGCAATTGCATGAATGTGTTCGCGCAGTGTCACATGTTTCTCGTCACACTAAGCGTATGGCAATGACACAGTACTCTCTACATAGACAATGATATAATCATTCAATTAAAAATTCTGAGAACGATCTCGAATCCCTCTGAATCCATTACCTCTGTGCCCCTCATATTCCAGTAATGAGTGAAGACGAAGCTCCCGGTGGTATCTCAAAAGTGCACACGCTCAAACGCCGTGTCCCAAAATATAACACAAGAAAATATCTTTGACAAAAGTGCTCGGTACTCAGTACGCGTTACCACCCCATCCCATAGATTTCGCCCTATTGTCATGGCCGTATGGGTACTCATCATGCTCCATTACTGGACTGACGGTCTCCACCGGCACGCCACCGTGCTGCGGCGGGCCGTACCATCCATGCTGCCCCGTAGGCGGATAAAAACCGCCATGTCCCGCTTCTTCACCACCCAGGTTATTAAAGGCTTGGGTCCGTGGTGTCATAGGTGACTTCATGCCGCCAATTGTGCCGGGAGTACGGGGTAATTGCTGCAGTTCCCACATGTGTTGCCATTGTTCCTCAGCCGTCATTTCGTTGTCGTAAGGTGAAGATTCCCACTTCTCTTTCTCGGCCTTCTTTTCCGCTTTCCTGACGGCATGTGCCTCTTTTTGAGCGGTGGTAGGAATCAGAGACCAGACAGACATGATGACAAAGACAGAATAGATTGCTCTGTTTTACGTTAGTTTTGTCATTTTGTTTACAGGCCCAAGGAGACGTACAGCATAATGATGCTAACAGCGAAACTGCTCTTCGCCTGCATGCAGTAGCTTCTGATGTTCTTGTCTTCTACAATATTGCAGTTCTTTGTAATGTACCACGGTGGTCCGTTGTTCACGCGTTGTGGATCGATAGTGTCAGGAGCGGTTTGGACATGGATTCCGTATGCCCATAGACAGGCGAGGGCGATGTGGAGGGGAAGCGACAGGATCGGGTATAGAACTTTGAGGAGCCATAGGGTCACCTTGACAAGCCAGAAAAAGGTGCACACGACGCCGATGACAAGATGGTATTGCGTGTTGCTGGGAAATTGTTAGGCGACGCTGGCGATGTGAAGATGGGTCCGAGCACTCACAAGCTGCTCCATACGAGGGGCGTCTCTACGGGTCGGTAGTTGGCATACGAGTAGAGAACGGTGATGGGGTCCGAATTGAAGCCTCTCTGTCCACCCTCTTTCCACAAGATGGTGCGATACAGGTTTGGTGAGGCAATGCCGAAGAGTGCAAGATTGGCGACGGTAAAGGGCAGCTCGAAGACCATGAGGAACCAGACGATTGACGGCAGTCGCCATGTTCGCGATATAAAGAAGCCCATGGCGGCGGGGCGGGGTGAGCGGTCCAAGCAGCGCCCAGAGGACGGATGACGACGGGTGTGGGGGGATAAGGCTCGAATGCGCAGACAGGTATGGTGGTGCAATGGCGTCGCAACCGGGTGCTGGGGATGAGAGACTGCTACGGCTCGTCTCTGGTGGTGGTACTTGTTGGACGGCGATGGTCGAGTCGCGGGCGCACAGTCAAGCCATCAGCATCAGCGCCCAGGTGTCCGGGGCGAGGAATGCTCTTAACAGGCGTCCAAGGCGCCACTCTAGCCGATGGCGGTAGTGAGCTGAGGGGCGAAAGAGCCATGGCAGGCGCTGAGTGGCACACGCATGCTGCGCGATCACACAGCTCGTAAAGTGTGATGGCGAATCAGGCGTGCAGGACGGCAGCGTCAGCGGGAGCTAGAGGGCGTGTCCCTTGCGCTAATCCTTGCCCTCACAACCGCACAATGTGGGTTAATAGCGACGTTTTGGGCTTTGCAATCTCGCCCGAAGCGATAACAGGACGGATGAACTCGAGCACTTGACCGCGGGGTTGCACTGCATACACTACACTCTGACATGTCTACATAAGCGATCGCTTGCTGTGCCGCCACACGGCATACTTGTCTATGTACTACACCATGCGCCGACACGGCGACCCTAGCTCTTGTGTCGAGCCTAGAGCAAAATGCGCACTCAGGGTTGCGCAACAAGCTTTGCAGAGTGGAGCATCCTGCCCGTCCATCACGAGCCATGACGATTTTGCGGCCTTTGTGGGCGCGTAAAATACAGTTAATGGTGTGAGCATCGTACATACAATAGCGCTTGCCGCGATGGAACCACTGCGTATGCAAACTCCCCAAGTCCCGATCGCCTTCCCCACAATTCCCACATGCGGCCCTATCACTATCATTGCCTTGGTCCATTCTAATCCATCCCATCCCATCACCACCATTTCTCGCACAGCACCCTCTGCGGATCCACGTTTTCCTGTCCCTTGATGAACTCCACCATCTCGTCCGCCATGGCAGGCGGCCCGCACACATAGAAGACGGTCGATTGCGCCTCTTTCCGGTTGCCTACTGCGCTCGACAGAGCTATGTCATCGATGCGGTGCGTCCATGCGCAAACAGGCACTTCCGTGGCAGAGTCAATTTGCGGCAGCGTCAGAGACATTAGCGGATGTATGAGGTCCCCTTCGTTTGTGCCCATTTCAGACCCATCCCATGTGCCCGTGAAGAAGAGTTCAAGCCGGTCTTTGGTCACCTTGAATCGGGGTATGCGGAAGAGGCCAAGCACGTCCTGGAGGAAGAGCACTTCACTGGGATCTGTTTCGCGTGATGGCACCTTTGTCGAGTATAGGAAGCGCACTTCGAGGTTGGGGTAATTCTGGTTTATATAGGTCATCATTGACATCATTGGGCTTGTGCATACGAATTAGTCTCCGAAGATGCACAGCTAATCCGTGTGGGGTAGCTGCGACTTACTTGATGCCCACTCCCCCGGCAATGAAGATGGCGCGTTTGATCTTCTTCATGTCAAGGCACGGCGGTGGCCACACAAAGCTTCCGCCTACTCGCACCTTGACCTCACCTCCGATGATTTCCTCGGCTGGCTTCCATAACCATGCTGCTGGAGGGTTGTCTGGGCTCTTCTGCACCGCCAACTCAAAGTATGGTTTGTGCTCAGGGTCCGCTCGTGGCAGCGCCTCGGAAGGCGAAGAGGTAATGGAGAAGCCACCTGCCTTTTCTACGTCAGGCACAAAGACGTCAAGCCATTGGCCAGGGAGGAACTGACTTGTCCATCAGCGCATGTGTTGCGAGCGAGATGGATTCCGTCATACGTTGAAGCCGTTCTTGTCCTTGATTTCGAATACGAAGCGCTTGATACGGTCGTTGACAGGCGTCACCTTGGTAAGCGTGGCAGTGTGCAACTCCTTCTCCCGGGGTTCGTTGGCGGTGCGGTCTTGATGGCTGAGGATCGCTTTGGCGGAGCGTGTCTGCGGCATGCTGCCCAGCATGCTTCTCGGTGGAGTGGGAAGTCGCGAGGGAAAGTGATGGGACGGGAGTCGGCGGGCGAGCTTGTTCATAACAGGAAGAAGAAGTATCTTAGCACGAGGAAAATGTAGGTGGGGACACCAGCAAGAGGGGTCCAATGCGTATGCAGGATGATCCATCGGGCAGGAGCTTGGACGGCAGCCGTTGAGTCTAGCCGACTTCACCCCTTGGGTACAAGTCGGCAGCTTTGCCGGCCACTAATTATAGCCGTATATGCTGGGCTATACCAACCCATGGCTAGCAATTCGACCTGTTGGGCGGCCTTTTGGGTGCGTATAGTATAGTAGGTCATCCATTGCGGCCGAGTGGCTGACGGGCGCCAGACATGATGGCACCCGGAGCTATGACGCATCCGGGCGCAGCGGCTGACTTTCGGGGCCATGACAACAACGCAGCGCAGCTCCAATTGCTAGCCATCGCCCAGCGCCCCCAATAGTCCTTTTCCACGCAGATCCCAACTACACCTCCTATACATTGGCCTCTCTGCCTTGCCTGTTTGCCCCGACTCCACCCGCATCCAGCCGCCATGTCTGTCGAGGAGGGCACGCATACTCTCGCCGATGGCAAGAAGTTGTTCACCAAGACCTTCAGGGTAGTGTACAGTGGAGCCTGCGCCATAGTGATCGGCATTAATCTATTGAACAGACCGACGGGCCCCCCAAGGCAAGACTTGTTTTTATCCATGGCTTTTCAGATGTACGTTGTAATGGTCACCCTTGAGATAACGTCCACGGCAGTATTGACAGATGATGGGTAGCACGGTGAGGCTATACGGGCCTATTGGTACAAGACCGACCTCTGACAGGCAGCAAAGTAAACACTTATGCCGACTTTTTCCCCGGACTCGCTGCCAAAGGCATCGAGGTCTATACCTTTGACCAGAGGTGCGTACGCGTCCACACTATTTTTGAGTACGTCTTTAAAGCCAGTGCAGAGGATGGGGCCAATCCGTGTCGAAGCCGTCTGAGCGAGGCGACACGGGTCCAACTGAGCAGGTCCTTGACGACATCACTTCCTTCATCAAGACAGTAATTAGCACTCCCAGCCCAGCGCCCCTTTTTATGATGGGCCATTCGATGGGCGGAGGCCAGACGCTGTGCTATGCGGCCCATGGCCCTGACGAGGTCCGCAAGCACATTCGTGGCTATGTCCTAGAGTCACCCTTTGTTGACTTTGACCCCAAATCTAAGCCGTCTGCCGTTACTGTTTTCTTTGGCAGGCTGGCTGGGAAAGTGGTGGGCAAACGCCAGATGGTCAACAAGCTGGAGTCGAAACTCATCTCACGCGACCCAGCGGTCTGCAAGCGATTTGAGGAGGATCCGCTTTGCCATGACACAGGCACTTTCGAAGGCCTCGCAGGGCTGCTCGATCGAACCAATGCTCTATCCAGCGGAAAGATTGTAATTCCCGACAATGCTGGAGAAGGTGGCGTGACGAGAATTTGGATTGGGCATGGGGACAAGGACGGCATCACTAGCCACGCGGCGTCGAAGCGACTATTCGATGCCTTGCAAGTCAAGGACAAGGAGTTCAAGTCATATCCTGGGCATTACCATCGCCGTACGTATACCCTCGCAACCGAAAGGCAGACGGCACACTGACATTGCCAGTACATGAGGAACCTAGTCCTGATAAAGAAGCGTTCCTGGACGACGTGGTGAACTGGATCCTGGCCCGGTGCACGGACGCAGCCGGAGTGGATGGCGCAAAGCCAAGGCTATGATGCGCAGTCGGAGCTTTTGAAGACGATGGTGGGCAAGCTGGCGGGGCGATGGAACCGCGGGAGAATTGTTTCGAATAGCGGATGGGTAGCACTAGGTGCACACGCATGTACTTGGATGCACATGTACATACATCCGTAGGTACATACAGTGTATGTATGTACATATGCTAATACGTGTCTTTGGTGGCACGTTTGCACCGCGAAAACTACTCAGGCCCATGTCCCTGCAGGAATGACGACGGGTTAGTACTGGTACGTATAATAATGCCATGTGTATGTCAATTGAATTGGCCATTGTGAGAGTGCGTTTCAGCGAGCGGGGACGTACTTACTGGCAGTGGACATCTTGCTTAACATATGTACTGTAATACACAGTCGTGGTATGTAGAGTCGAACATGTCGAGACGGCATGGGTCGCCCCACAATTGCGGCAATTGACGCACAAGGCGTTGTGGTGATGGACCAGGAACAAGACCGGGACCAGCAGCCAACCGCAGAAGAGGCGCAAAATCGGCTTGGAGAGAGCAGCCGCATAGCATTTGGCACTCCCGCACAAGCACGAGGCGCCTCCGCTGCCACCACGGCCCATGTTACTCCGTACCGTCAGCAGAGATGGATACGGCATGCGTGTCTTTAACCATGGACGCGCTGTCAGGCCCTCACCCCAAGCCATGTATAGTGCTCACCCCGAGTACTCGACACATGCCTCATTGCGACCGCACGCCCTCTCACGTTACGCTTACTCGTCGCCGCCGCTGTCTAGGCCAAAGGCGCGTGTCCACTGCACCCACACGAAGACGCCAGCCGCACAGGGCCTCCTATTCCCTTTGCTCCCACCGTCCTCCGCCAGACATCGTACACTCCACCTCTCCCTTCCCACCATGACGGCCTCAACGCACTCGCATTCACATGCTGGCCACTCGCACCTGCACCACCACCATCACCACGACAACACCTTTCTGCTGTCCAAGAACAAGAGTGATGCTGGTGTGCGCATTACCAGAGTCGGCCTCTATGTCAACCTGGGCATGGCCATCAGCAAGGGCTTTGGCGGATACGTCTTCAATAGCCAGGGTAAGGAGTACACATGCAGTCCACATCACCCGTACTAACATTGCCCAGCACTCGTGGCCGACGCCATTCACAGCCTTACCGACCTCGTTAGCGACATTATGACGCTCGCAACCGTCGGCTGGTCCCTCAAGCCGCCCACAAGTCGCTTTCCCAGTGGATACGGAAAGGTCGAGAGCTTGGGGTCGCTGGGAGTCAGCGGCATTCTACTCGGTGGAGGCTTCTTCATGGGCTGGACCGCCCTCATCGCCCTCTGTCAGCAATTCTTCCCCGGCGCTGCCGAAGTCGCGGAACACTGGGGTCTGCTACCACACCATCACCATCACCATCATGGCATTGAGAGTATGGGCCCAAATATCAACGCCATCTGGCTCGCTGCTGGCTCAATTGTGATCAAGGAATGGCTATACCGAGCGAGTAAGCAACGCACGCGACACTACCTAGGCCAATGCGCTGACATTTTTCACAGCACTCAAAATCGCTGAAGAGCGCAAGTCTACTGTCCTCGCTTCCAATGCTTACCATCACCGCGTCGACTCTCTCACAGCCTTTGTCGCCCTTCTTCTGATTGCCGGCTCAAATGTTTTCAACAACGCACAATGGCTTGACCCTGTTGGTGGACTGGTCATCTCTCTCATGGTCGTCCAAGCAGGTTGGGGCAACACTAAGCAAGCACTGTTGGAATTGGCCGATGTGGGAGTGGATCAGGAGATGAAGGACAATGTCCGAAAGGCAGCAACCAAAGCTCTCGAGAGCATCACAACCACAGCCGAGCCAGTAAATGTACGGGCAATCCAAGGTGTCAAAGCGGGTCAGAACTACCTCATGGATATTGAACTCGGCGTAGCTGGCGCATGGACGGTCGAGCAGACACGTAGAGTGGAGGACACTGTCCGAGAACAGGTGGGCGCTCAAGTACGGGGAGTGAAGAAGGTTCGCGTCCGGTTCGTGAGCAATACAGCAAAGGAACCAGACTTCTTGGATGAGTTTATACCAGGAGACACCACTATATCGCCAGGCTCAGAATCAGAAGCAAAGCACGACCACGCACATGAGCATGATCACAGCCATGATCATGAGTACAACACTACAACCGACGGTGCAAGGCGAAGGAAATGAGTTGGATACACTTCTAGACATGTATGACTGGGCGTTCTGGAGTTGGGCATACCAAGACTACCCGGCGGTATATATCAGGCCATTTGGCACTTGGACGTATATAGACTACTATGTATTGAATCCATCCAAATCCGGCATTCCCCGTGACTGGTCCCCATTGTTCTAGGCCACGACCTATCGCGCGAACAACTGTCCTCTTCTAAGTACCCATCGGCGTCTGAAAGAGAGCACGTAGCAGTAAGCAACGGGGGATGGCCGACTGCAATTTATCCGCCGCCAATAGCGCGTCAGTGGAGATATGCAAGTCCTGCAGGCACCGCCGGTAAATGTGTTTTAGCTCTCCCGTTTAATGTGGGTCTTTTGGGTATCCGCATGGTATGTACTGAACTGTAGATTCACCGCTGTCGCTGGTGCTACTGGTATACACGATTACAGTACTATAGATAGTCAATAAAAGCCACAGATATTACAGCGGAAGCTGGGATCCAAGGAGCAATTAGTAGATGCATACACGTACACGTTTGGTATTCACTCGCATACTACAAATCAATCTTCGCCAAAAGTCATATATACGTACCATATATTCATTTCCCAGAGCAACCTACACCGTACCTATTCCTCAGTAGTTGAATAACCCTTCTACTCTTGACTAACTACATTTCGTCTTATCCTCTTGCCCCTTACCCTTGCAGCATGTCACCCAACTAACGAGCACCGACCCAACATCGCCAGCAAGCGTGCAGGTACTTCCTGCAAATCGGCCGCGTTCTGAAGTGCAGCAGCTTGATGTTGCGGATGTGCCCGGGCCACCGCATTGGTAGACGGCTTCCTGCAGGGTGTTAGAGTTTTTTTTGGCGTGGTGGGAGGAAAGGAGGAAAGGACGTACGTAGGCGGCACCGGTGAAGGCGATGGCGCTGAGGAGGAGGAGGGATAATTTCATTTTGAGGGGCTGGTTGTTTGGTTGGTGGTAGTGAGATTTGTGTTTAGGGGAGATGATGATTCAGTGGTCATGATGAGAGTGGGAGATGTTGATATTGGTTACAAGACAGATATTTCATGTCTTTTATATACTACGACTAGCCATCCGTCGGTCCTTTCTCTCACTCTTTCTGTCCAGGTGCGCTGAGACTCTCGTGATGTATCGAATGGATGGGACAAGCATTGTTGATGCTGGTGGGTGAGGTAGTTAGCAAGGATCTACGATACCTTTTGCAACATGTATCAGCGTTTGCGCTCTATCTTGCCGTATCCTTGAGTTTGTTCTGGATATGCCAGCTGATGATTTGCTGGCTTCTGTATTCCGCACCTTGGCGGCATCTAGCCAGTTCTTTTATCTAGGGTTGTTCGGCAGGGGTTGGAATAAATACGAGGGCTTAGAATAGACATTCTGGGGCGGGGAGATGTGTATGGAAGATCCACAAGCGAGACTGATACTAAGACTAATGGGGATTTTTGAGTTATACGATAGTGTTTCAAATGGTTGACAGCGGTGATGAAGTTGGAGGACAGGGGTGACCGTATACAGATGGATGCGGATTCCTTGACGGGGTACGAACAGGTTGCCGAACTGGGACTGAGGTAGTAGGATGTTAAACTTATGTGTTTATACGTGTTTCAACAGTGCTGTATCACTGGACAATAAAACAACGACCAGTGTTGTCAGTGGACCAGTGGAGTAAAAAATACGAATTCTGCTGCATGCTGTAGAAATTGGAGTAGCCGTACATTAAGTTCTGGCAAATTAAAATAATCATGGGAAAGTAGGTCATGCTTACGAAAAGTAAACGGATAAGCGGGTTGTCTTCGTCTGAGGAAGGGCCCGGGCCTAGCAACCAAGTAACCGATTCGGCTGAGTCGACTCATAGGTCTTCGGTCAAAAGAACCGTCAAGGTAGGACAAAGCAGAAAAACATCTGATATTATATATACATGTCGGCTTTGATATTGTAGCCTAGATAAACTTAACACTTAAACTGATTTCAAGCAGGGGTTCTGAGCAATGAGAGCTTGTGACAGTCTTAGTAGCGACCATACCACTATCATATGATGAAAAAGAGTCGCCACTAAACCTACAATGAGAAAACTAGGTATTGGTTGCTTTCCGCAAAAAAACTATACCTGATTCTACCTACCAGTAGCTTACTATTGGGCGGCTACAATACAAACGCCGAAATGGAGTACTTAAGTTGCAAGCTACACCTAGCCGGCACTAGGCGCGCCCCACATCGGCAAAAAGGTATGTAAGTGTGATGTACCGCGGGATATGAAGAGGGTCTCTCAACACCAACGAGACTCGACGGCTAATTTAGCAATGCCCGGTGAAGTCATAACACCACAAGTTCCGCCATTGCAGCTTAACACACACCCCACACACTCCGACCATGGCTGACCAGTTTTTGGGCTTCGACCTGAGCACCCAGCAGCTCAAAGGTGGGTTACTTTTTACCCCGCGAGAGCTACCCCACCACCACATTTGCATTTAGGTTAACGCAATCGTCCGCTTTCTAGGAATCATCGTCGGTTCTGACCTCAAACTTATTCACGAGGCCAAGGTCGACTTTGATGCAGACCTTTCCAAATACGGCATTGAAAAGGGTGTCCTCACAAATCCAGATGAGGGCGAAGTATTCGCACCAGTTGCTCTTTGGCTTGAAGCCATCGAGCTGGTGCTGCAACGCTTGAAGGAGCAGGGCGCAGACTTTTCAAAGATTCAGGGTATCTCTGGTGCTGGTATGCAGCATGGTACTGTCTTCTGGAGCCATGATGCAGAGACCCTGCTGAGCAGTCTTGATTCTGGAAAGACACTGATTGAGCAGTTGGAGGGTGGTGCCAAAGGAGAGAGAAAGGGTGCTTTCAGCCATCCATTCAGCCCCAACTGGCAGGATGCGAGCACACAAAAGCAGTGCGAGGCCTTTGACAAGACTCTAGGAGACCCAAGGAACCTGGCTTTGGCCACTGGAAGCAGCGCTCACCACGTAAGCATCACGAGGTCTTATTCTATGACTTCCTATTAACCTCTCCAACAGCGCTTCAGCGGCCCTCAGATCTTCCGTTTCAGGGAAAAATACCCCCAGGCTTACAAAGAGACTGCTCGCATCTCTCTCGTATCCTCGTTCCTCGCGTCCATCTTCTTGGGCAAGGTGGCCCCGATGGACATCTCGGATGTGACTGGTGCGAACCTTTGGGACATTAAGAATGGACGTTGGCATGAGGACTTGGTCGCGCTCACAGCTGGAGGAAGCGGAGGTCTCGACGAACTCAAGCAGAAATTGGGCAAGGTTTATGAAGATGGTGGTTCCAGCTTCGGTACCGTCTCACCATACTTCAGCAAGCGCTTCGGGTTCCCATCATCAGCACAAGTCATTGCTTTCACAGGCGACAACCCGTCGACAATTCTCGCTCTTCCTCTCCGTGCTTCAGACGCCATTGTATCGCTCGGCACATCGACAACCTTCCTCATGTCTACGCCACAGTACAGACCCGATCCTGCGTACCATTTCATGAACCACCCCACAACTGCTGGACTCTACATGTTCATGTTGTGCTACAAGAACGGTGGTCTAGCCCGTGAGCATATCCGCGATGCAATCAACAAAGCCTCTGGCGTGTCAGACAAGTCCTGGGACAAGTTCAACGAGACGGCTCTCACCACGCCCGCTCTAGGCCAAGCACAGCCTTCCGACCCCATGCGCCTAGGTCTCTTCTTCCCTCGCCCTGAAATTGTACCAAACGTAAAGGCGGGCACATGGCGTTTCCTCGCCAAGGACAGCCAGCTGTCGCCAGTAGCCCCAGAAGCCGCCCAAGGCAAAACGGAAGATAAGACATGGCCGATCCCCCAGGCTGATGCCCGCGCAATCCTCGAGTCACAATTTCTCTCGCTTCGCCTCCGTTCGCAATCGCTCGTTTCCCCACAAGGTAACCTCCCTGCTCAACCCCGCCGCATCTACATGGTCGGCGGCGGCGCTGTGAACCCCGCCATCGCCGAACTCGCCGGTCAGGTTCTCGGCGGCTCCGACGGCGTCTACAAGCTCGAGATCGGAGGCAATGCCTGCGCCCTCGGTGCCGCCTACAAAGCCGCGTGGGGTGTGCAGCGATCATCACCAACAGAGAAGTTTGAAGACTTCCTCGAGGCGAGGTGGAATGAGGAAGGCTTCGTCAAGAAAATCTGCGAGGGCTACAGGAAGGGCGTGTTTGAGCAGTATGGCGAAGCACTCAAGTCGTTTGATGAGGTGGAGAAGGTGGCGCTGAGGGAGAAGGGCGAGGCAGAGAAGGTAGATGCTACAAAGGAGGCCATGGGCTTGCAGGGTATGGATGTGAGGTAGATTGTTGTTGTCTTTTGCAAATAAATTTTTTTTATTCAATGTGAATGGTGTCCCTGAAATTATTAGGATTTTCTTATTCATGGGCTGATTAGTATATCATTTCTAAGCGATGGTGTTGTTTTAGACCGTATCCGTTGTTCTGTACCGTCGAATAAAATAATGCATGTCAGAACCCACGCTTGTCAAGCAAACATCAGGGCTTCAAGTATTGCAATCAAAGGCGGATCTGAACCTAAATACTTTCAGTCACTTCTAATCCTCATTTCTCATTTTTCCTTACCTTCCTCCCCCTCTTCCTCACTTTATAGTCCTAGAAGAGAGATTATTCAGAACTGTCAAGTTCAACATTATTGAAGCATTCTTCCAAACATATCCATCGACACTTGTGCAATATGTAATTATTTCTCGTTAAATTCCCTAGATTTACTCCGTTTCTAATTATGACTATTTGCACTTTAGAAGGGTGGGGGGGAGCTGTGACTCTAATCATCATAACAGGGCACAAGGGCGCTCAGTCTTATACTGCTTTTAGGTAACCAGGACGAGTGGGGGGGTAGGAGCGATAGTATCTTTTGTAACACTTCCTTCCATGGGGGGGGGGTACATATGTGTAGTTTCTTGAGAATTGAAGGGACGGATTTGAGATATTGGCATGTTGGTGAAAGGGTTCAGCGGAATTGCTGGTTGTTTGAGGATAAAGAATGTTGGATTTGGTGGAGAAATCTTGGGCATGTCGAGTGCTGGTTTGATAGGAAGACGGAATACTGAAAGTTTTCATGGAGTAGCTTATCACATAGCGGAAGATTACTCAATGCTGGTGAGTCGATAAGGTTAGTGGGAGAAAACATTGGTTGTGGTTGCTTTTGGCTTCTCTAACTAGATTGTTTGGTTAGGAGATTGAAATTGACATTGTTTTATTTTCAGCTAGTCGGAAAAAGTGCACTTGCATATTCATGCATTGATTATACAACATGTAGAGTTGCATGTGTTAATCAAAGCTCATGAGTATGTCAAGTTCCCAAATGATGTGTATCACTATACTGGCTAGTGAGTGGTGCCATTTAGACAATTTAGATTGCCGTGGTAGAGATTCACCGGGGCAAGGGGAGAGACTCAATGGAACAGGCTAATGAGTGACGAGCAAGAAAAATTGTCATAAAGGGCTGTGCGCAAATGTAAGTACACACGTACAGGCAGAGGAGTAATATGAACCAAGAGCAGAATTGTAAGAAGTTGGAATGTTGTGGTTGTTTCGTTGAAGTTCCTTCTATCCTTTGTGCGTGGAAAGCACGCAGCGCCAGTTACTATACATACCACCCTTGCCGTGCTCTAGGGCCGCTGTTTACACATTTACTTGAGCGCAGCCTGTAGGCTCTCAAGAACCTTCAACATGTCAGTACCTTCTCTTTGGTAAAACTCACAAAAAACATACCTCGAGCTCAATCTTGGCCTCGGCAATGTCAGCCTCGCTGCCGTTTCCGCTGGCAATCTTCTGTGCTTCTGCAATCTGGTTCCTGACGGCCTGTTTTCACATCAGCCGGAAATCGCTGGTCTTCTTATGTGTTCATCCATACCTCGGCGCTGAAGTCCTCGAGGGGGTAGCCCTCAACGGCATTGATGCTAAGAACAGAGTTGGGCTGCACAACGGCGAAACCGCCAGACAGGAAGAACTGCTTGTTGCCGCCCTGCTCCTCGATGATCTCAACCAGACCGGGCTTCAGCTGCTCGATAGAGGCAACGTGGTTGGCCAAAACACCCATCTCACCTGTCTCTGCGGGGAGGTTGACCTGGACACTGCACGGAGACCCAAGTCAGTAATCGCGTAATCGTTTTGCGGTATCGGTCGGGATTGCAGAACGTACACATCCTGGGACTTGTAGATCGACTAGAAACCAATTGTTAGCCCTTGTTTCTCGAGTGCACATGGATTCGCCGGCACATTCGCAATGACGCATGGGCGGTGGTGGTGCGTACCTGATGCGGGAGAGCTAGAGAGAGCTTGATCTTGTCGTTGGCGACCTCGGCGTAGCCTCTTCGCTGGATGGGGCGGGCGATGGCAGCGGGCCTTGCACGGAGGGCGGCTCTGGCGATACGGAGGGCGCTCATGATGGACGGAGTTGTGGGGAAGATGCAATGGCTGGTCTACCGGAGCTGGTGGTGTTTCTGCGAAGCCGAGTTCTGCGCTTCTCGGAATTAGCCGATGATGCACCGTCAAAAAGGCTAGCGCATTATCGCTGGCTGTAAGTATGTATGCTCCCCACCATTTCAAGTTGTACAAGAGATCAGCAACAAAGGGTAGGATTAACAAGGCAGAATCACTGATGTGGTTTTTCTAAAGGTCTCGGACGACGGTATTTGGATTGTATGTCATATATATGCGCCAGGGGTATCTCAATTGCAAAACGCCCATCCAAACACAATGATGCTGTTCCCTTGCATCCGCATGCTACATGACCACCCACTCAACATAATATGAAAGAGCCCAGATGGGCTCAGTCATCATATAGTTGCTGTGGCGCTGCCATACTCATCCTCAGCTGCCTCTCTCGTTGCTTCGCCTGAAGCTCGAGCGTCTCCACCGCATAACTGAGTCTGTCTTTCTTTGCTTTTAATGCCTTAAATCGTAACTCCTGTTGCGCACTGATAGCCTTGCCTCCATTTCTCTGCGTACTCCTGCTCGCTGGCCTGGATCCCGAACCGCCATTGCTGTCACGTCCAAGTCGTCCGTCATTCAGGTCACATTTAGCTATGAGGGCTTGTTCGCGACGCTCGAGTTTGTCTACGTAGTTCTCTACACGCTTGAGAAGATTGTCGATTTCTGGGCGTATTTCCGAGAGGAGTCCTGCTTGCGCCGTTTGAAGGTCCGACTCGGAAATGAGTTCAAAGTGCTATGAAACATGTTAGTCTCGTCGAGGCACCAAAAAGGCTATGGAGTATAGTTTACGTACTCGTGTTGTTTGCAGTACTTTTTCCAGCCGAGGAAGGTCGCTGACGCCGTCGTCCAATATGTTAATGGACGAATCCAGTAGTTGCATACTACTGCGTAGCGAGGCTACACATCCTTCTAATGGAGAGGCCATGACTACGGCCGTTTCTCTGGTAGCGTAAAGGTACAGGGTTCCAGATCGCTGGCGGAGTCGTCTGTCGCGGGGTTGTTGCGCCCTTGGTGTACATGGTGTTTACGGGTCGGTCTTTACGCGCGCCGATGCCAAGCATATCGAAGTTCTGCAAGCCGAACGACCGGAGCTCAACATCACCACCGCCCATCCTCATCGCAACTGCCAATCAATCCATTGCCCCTCCACCACACGTCAAAATGCCTCTTCTCGGAAGGAAATTCCCGGCGCAAATTGGTACGTCTCCGTGGATGGCGCTGACAGTCAATGGTGGAGCTCGAACGACTGCTAACTAGGGAATTACAGCCAAGCCCATGTGGCCTTTCTACGTCTCTGGTACGTTGCGGAATTCGATGCACATATGCGATGAAATTTTATGAAAGCAAAAGAGATGAATTTGGGGGATGTTGGAGGGCACGGAAGAACGAATGAAGGGATGACTGTGGGGAGTGCTGGACTAACAGAAACCACCAGGTCTTGTCATCCTCTACGGTGTCAACTCTGCCGCGAACGCCATGTCCCAGGGTGCGTAGTCTACGTATTGGTGGCTAAATTGGCCCACCAGTTTCCAAGTTCGCAAACTGACACAACCCAGCCGACGAGTACAAGAACGACCCGCGAAACCCCGCCGTCAAGAACCAGTCAGCGAACCACTAAGCTACAAATTCCATGACGTGGAAAGCGGGGTTTGAGCATATGGATGTTATCAGATGCAGTGTACAATAACCGCAGAAATGGGAAAAGGATGGAAATGTCGCACTGAGACAGCCATGTAGATTTTGCCAAATCAATACTGGTCAAACCAACAGCTAGAGCCTTGTCTGTCTTGATTATAGATTTCAGTGTGCTCAGAATAGGTCAGATTCCGTCTGAGAAAAGCATGTTGTGCTCAAACCCTTGAAAACGTCATTCTCGTGTGCAGACCTTGACATGATTTACGACGATTGGCCAGACGATCCTATCAAAATGAAATAACGTATTACTGGATCTGGTGCGCATGGTCAGAGGCCCGGATCGATGCGAGGGCGATTGCTGGGGCAACACTGAGATGGCATTGCATGCGTTTGTGCTAGTAGAGGTCCAAGCACTTGGGCAGCATCGGTGACCATGCAAGGTACGCGTGATGCCTTGGATTGCTGTGTACTGTGTAGAACTTGTCTGGCAAACATGGGGGGACGTCAAAGATTTTGTTATGCTGTCGAATGTGACGAGCAGGCAGGCAGGCGATAATCTGTCAAGAGCATTTTTCTTGGTTGTAAGGCAAATGCACCTCGCCGATAGCTGTGTCGGGGTACGAAGAGGGCTGGTCAAAGCACAAAATGGCGCCGAAGAGTCAAGCGGTAGAGTACAGCACACGTATGTAGGTACATATGTACGTGCCCTGGCCCCCAGGGCTAAGGTACATGAGGGTGAAAGCAAGTATGGTGTGGCATAGGGCGTAGCTGTGGAGCGCTGACGTTTGTAAGAGGGTAGACATCCATGGGTAGCTTGGGTGGCCTGTAGCCGTGGGAAGCGAGCGAGCCTCAGTCGGGCCGTCGAACTTCTAGAATATGTACTACTCAATAGTAACATCGGACAGGGAGTGTTTTTCCCGACATCTGCGTAGTAAGGGGTGGCGGCTGCATGGGATGAGTAGGGAAAATCATGATAGCGCCATGGTTAGATCCGACATGACGCATAAGGGGGTGGGAGGAGGAGACGGGTTTGTCCATCGCACATGGCTCGCATCAGTTTGCGGCATTTGAAACGCAGCGTGCCAGCTGCATGGAGGCACCCTGGGGGAGGCAGTGGGCGAGCGAGGAGCAGAAGCAAGCAGCTGGTTTGGGTAGCGATGTAGCCACCATGGGGCGCGAGTCGGGTAGGGAATGGGTAGACGGCGCTTGATACACCGCCGCCGCACCCGCAGTGAAGACGTCGCCACATAGCGCCCCACGTGATTGTGCGCCCAGCCGCAAGCCGCAGCCGATGCCAGACCAGCAGGTGCGGCGGGTGCGCCTTCTGCATCCTCTCCATCCGCGTCTTCACAGCACCTCCTCCCGCTGCTGTGTGCTTGTTCTGCCAGGCTTCTCTGCTCTTCTCTGGCCTGCACCTGCCGCCTGTGCATCCCACCGCCTGCTCTCCCTCTCACACCCACCTGCAACCCCCCAGACTTGCACACATACACAGCCTCACCCTCTCCCACACAGCCGCCTCGCGGTCGTCTTCCGTTGGGCTCACTGCACGCCCTATCGTAAGTCCTGCCCTGCCCAGCTCTCCAGCCCGGCACCGCCCTCAACCCTGTGTGCTCTATCCCCTCACCACACAACCCACGCAACCCTCATCACCTGCTTCCCCCCCCCAAAACCCGCCAGCCTTTTAGTCCTCGCCCTCCCCTTATCGACGCGTTCGACTGCATCCTCTAGCGTTTCTCGGCTGCCCGCTCCCCGCTTACTCACCGCCTTTGTAGGCAAAAGCCTCATACTGACCGGTCCTTCCACAACAGGCTGATACTCAAAACACACCCACGTCCCATCGTCAACGCCCTCGGCCCACCCACCACTTCACCCTCACCACCGGGCCAACCTCCTCAAGGTTGAACCTCCTCCCACCATGACGACAATGGTATGCTACCCCCAACCCCCACTGCTTCTTGTCGTTGCCATCATGATCATCACCATAATCACCATGCCCGACAAGTGCATCTCTGCAACGCACCAGGCTGACCCCCAGTAGGACCTCCGCGTCGGCAACAAGTACAGAATCGGCCGCAAAATTGGTAGTGGCAGTTTCGGTGACATCTACCTTGGTGTGTACCAGCCGCACCCCCTCAGCTGAGCTGAGCTAACATGTACAGGTACCAACATCATCTCCGGCGAAGAGATCGCCATCAAGCTTGAGAGCGTCAAGGCCAAGCACCCCCAGCTTGAGTATGAGGCCCGTGTCTACAAGTCGCTTGCTGGCGGCGTAGGCATTCCTTTTGTCCGCTGGTTCGGAACTGAGTGTGACTACAACGCCATGGTCTTGGATCTGCTCGGCCCTTCGCTCGAGGATCTCTTCAACTTCTGCAACCGCAAGTTTTCTCTCAAGACGGTCCTGCTTCTTGCCGACCAGCTCATCTCCCGCATCGAGTACATCCACGCAAAGTCGTTCATCCACCGTGATATCAAGCCCGACAACTTCCTCATGGGCATTGGCAAGCGCGGCAACCAGGTCAATGTCATCGACTTTGGTCTCGCCAAGAAGTACCGCGACCCCAAGACCCACTTCCACATTCCTTACAGAGAGAACAAGAACTTGACTGGTACCGCCCGTTATGCCAGTATCAACACTCACTTGGGTGTCGGTACGTAGACCCCCTCACCCCTACCTGTCTTGCTTCTCATAGCTAACATTCGTAGAACAATCCCGCCGTGACGACATGGAGTCCCTTGGCTATGTTATGCTCTACTTCTGCCGTGGCTCCCTTCCCTGGCAGGGTCTTAAGGCGGCCACCAAGAAGCAGAAATATGACCGCATCATGGAGAAGAAGATGACAACCCCTACCGAAGTCCTGTGCCGTGGCTTCCCTAATGAGTTTGCCATCTACCTCAACTACACCCGCTCTCTGCGTTTTGATGACAAGCCGGACTACTCGTACCTCCGCAAGATCTTCCGCGATCTCTTTGTTCGTGAGGGCTTCCAGTACGACTACGTCTTTGACTGGACCGTCTACAAGTACCAGAAGAACGCCCAAGCCATCGCCCAAGCTGCCAACCAGGGCCAGGGCGATGAAGACGACAAGGGTCGCGGACGCCACGTCACAACTACGGCTGCTGCAAACGCCGGCACCGCTGCTGGCACCAAGCGCGGACCGGTCAACGCACGCCAGGAGGGCACCGGAATGTGAGTTCGATATATCTGATCCTCGTAAGGGACCCTCTCCTTTGCGTTTGGTGTGATAACGCTTAGCGCGGGGGATGTCAGATGCAGACCTTACTAACCTTGTTCTTTTTTTCAGGCAGCTTCGTTCAGCCAATAAGCGTGGCGGGGACCAGTATGCATCCGGTTACTGATTCTTGATGCGGCTTTCGATTCGTCATCTCAACTCTTGCGGGTCCGCCTATCTGAATTTGGCTTCGCATGCACAACGAATGGGAAATGCGGCACCGCCGTCCTGGCAACATTTTGGACGGCGTCGCTTATTGATCAGTCCATGGGATTTAGTCGGCAGGCATCTGATACAGACCTAGAGAGAGGCAGTTGATGTCTCACACCTATGGTCACGGTGTCCTGTTCGACTATCTCGTATCTCTGGAAGCTTGACCCACACGTTATCTCAAATTGGCACAGTACTTCAGCTCGCAGACGACATGTTTCAACGATCCTTGGCCAATTGGAGCCAATGGTTTATGCGAAACGTCTTGCGAAGCTTTGCGTCACTGGGCAGCTCTCCGACTGATTGCGCATGTTTTTGTTTGATTTCACCCCGCATTAATTATCCCCTGCCCCCTTGTCCTTTGTATGGTTTTTTTTTCAGTAAACTTTCCTTGAGTTTCCCCCCTTCGGATTTGGCTGCCAGCTTGTGGGGAGGTAAAGCTTGAACAAGGGGACGAAGTTAAATTGCATCACAAGAAGAATGTATGGGGGTGAAGCTTGGCTGGCAGACTCGAAGGGACGCAATGGATGGGCGGCTAGGAGTGTGGAGTGGCTGTACTTCATTGAGAAGACAGCTTCCGGCAGTGAAAGGGGAAGAAGGGAGAGAGACGACTAGCTTGCTACCATTGTGCTCGGAGACGGGAAAGGGGACGGATGGGTGTGTGCAAGGTGCTGCGTGTTTTTGTTATTAGTTTGCGTTGCTTTAGAAATGTATGTTTTCCTTATAAGCTTGTTCCGAACCATGTGCACAGTGAGAGTGAGTGAATAATGTGATGTTTGGTTGATTTGTTAATTGTGTGGTTGGTTGTTGTTTTGATTGATTGATTAATTGGTTGTATGTTGTCATGTTGCTATGGTGTTGTGTTAATTTAATGTCACGGCGTTATCATTGTTGTTGTTGTTATCATTGATTGGTGTATTTAGGTGCATGTCTAACTACTAAACAAATCTAGTTGTTAACTATAACTTTTCACTTCATGTAGATATTGTGCTATGTCGTTTTGCAATCCAATTCAATTATTTAAGTGTTTTTTTCTCTAAAAAAATAATCATAATCAAAAGACGAATAATACTAATATTCACCACAGTCAAATTCAGTTAGTTCAGAAGACAAAAATACGGAAAAGGCAATAGTGATAGGTAAATTATGTGTGCATTGATATCAAGGTTTGCGCGTACAACTACTCTCTTTAACTTTCGATGCTCAGCAAGGAAGAAGAAATAAACAAGGGTAGGTCCGCCATGTTCTTTCGTCTACGGGATAATCATGTCTTTTTGTAGTAGCGGATGAAAAATGAGGTGTGAGGCTGATTTGATACTAGCCCAATCTTCTCTCCATCTCTCAAATTTTTTCATCATCAAATAAAAAGGCAGTGGGTAAAAAATTATCATGTGTTTTGCTGCATCCATCAATAAATGGAGACATGTTGAAGCAAATATGCGCGTTGCTGGGTATATGTGTATTATCGTGTATCCTGGCATTGCTTGCCAAGATAGTTCCATTTCCAAATCCAGTTCTCTTGATTGGCTACTGCACGTGTAGTATAGCTTGTACCAGTATGTAACGGTGGCTCCGGTCCGAAAAAGTTTGACCTGTCAGACGGACCGGTATCGCGTACATGCTCACTTATCGCTAAAAAGCAGAGCTGAGTGGCGATCACATCCTGGCGGGACGAATTCCAAACCGGACTTGTGCCATGAGTGTTTCCAAATAGAGTAATTACCAGGTGTAAAAGTCGAGCCTAAAATCATCGCACATCTCATCATCGTTCGTTCTCAGTGTTCGGGCTTGATGAAGCTTCGGTCTTTGGTTGAGTTGTTGTCTCCGGTGCTGCGCCTTCGGATTGACATCTTTTGAGTGCAGCCAACTCTTTCTTCAACGCATCCATCTCACTGTCCTTTTTGCTAATCAGATCATCCCTCTCCGACACCTCCTGCTTCAGCTGCTTGATGTACTCGATTGCACTTTCAACCTTTGCTGCCTTTGAGTTGTTGGAGTTTTGTGCGTTTGTCTCCGGGCTCTTGGCGTCGGAAACGTTACCGAATCGTGGCGAGGGAAGAAGAGCTTGCATTTCTTGCAGAGCTGTGTTGATACGGTTTCTACGGCCTTGCTCCGCAATCTTGTGTGAGGTGCGTTTTGAAGTAAGGTTGGTTGATAGGGACGTAGGGTAGACTACACCGGGGACCGTTGTGCCATCGAGGATGTTCTGATAGTTTGACTTGGATGCAAGCAGGAGAGCATGAGTGTTGTCAGTGGTGCCTGGGCAATGTCAGATTAGAGTTTACTATCAATGCTAGCAATTCACTTACCACTGCCACCGTCTGGTAGCAAAGGTTTTATGCTGGGCGAAATTTTAGGCATCAATGCAGGGCTGACAAGATGGGAGCTGACGCTGTTTCTCTTCTTGGGGTTGCGTGCTAGCTTTGCATCTCTCCTGCTGCTTGTCATTGAGAAAGCTGGACTTGTGGGGGTGGACATGGCGTCAAGCATGGGGCTGGGCCGGCTTGACATGGTTGCGCCAGGCGTGCTCAAGGGGTTCAGTTTGGGTGTCTTTCGCGCAGACAGGCGAGGCGTACCGCTGTCATCGTCCCGAATCGCCGTGTCTGACCTTGACAAGCTCGGCCTATCGAGAGACGCCTCCGGTAGAGTGAGGTCCTCTAGCATTGGCAGTGCTTGCTCAGAACCGTTGAAATCAGGCGATGGCTGTATGCGCATGAGAGAGGCCGGGGTGGCTGGAGTACTGCTCTGGCTGCTGCGTTGGGCCATGACGGCAGGCGAAGCTGTTGAAGAGCCAGGCTTGGGCGGTGGTCGCATTTCTGAGAGCATGGGTTCAGGAGAGATGGAGTCAGTCTCTGAGCTTTCGCGCGTGCGAGGCGCATCCAGACCAGCGGAAAGTGGATGTTGGGAACGCGCATTTTGCACAAGGTCAGTGACGTCTTTTGGTAGAATAAGCGAGGAGCCGTTGGATTTCCGCCTGTTGGGTTTTACAATGGGAGACTGCCGTACACGAGCGTTGCCACTGGCACGCGGTGCACTTCTTCTATTTGCGGCTCTTGTGTTCCTTCTTCTCTGGTCTTGTGATACAATTGCAGGATCACCCAGCATGTCCATGTCAAGATCAATGGGCGAATGCCCTGTAGAGCTCTCGGAAGCCGTGTTTTGCTGTGGTTGATGGGCATGTTGCTGGCTCTGAGCAGTCAATGCGGGCGAGGTGAGAGGGCTGAAGTAGGAGCCAGCCATGGCAAATTCCGGAATCTGGAAGCGCGTGTCATGGGGCGTGACTGCAGGCGATACAAGGGGGGTAAATGTCTATATAGAGTCAGTGGCCGGGGCTCAAGGTAGGTTTTCCAATTCCAAACATACGGCATCATCTTTGCGCATGTGGTACCTCTGGTCGAAGAGGGCTTGCTGCGACTCGACTTGCTGGAGATAGCGGTTGGGGTCGCCATGTATTTCTGTGCTGTTGGGTGTGGGGGGCACACCCTGATGTGGGTGGTAGAGTTGGTCGTGAGGCTGAGGGTAGCCTTGGGCCGTGTGCTGGGGCACGCCATAGTCGAAGAAGTTGTTTGCAGGCTGCTGCGAGAGGCCATGAGGGGGGATATTGTGGGATTTCTGGGCGCCGTTTGGGCCATTGTGATAATCTGGGGCGAGTTGTGGGGGAAACTGGTTTTGCAGGTGGTGGACGTTGAGTGAATCGGTTAGATCGGCGAGTTGGCTCCCAGTCGAGGCGGGTCCCTGACTATTGTACCCGTCCATATTAAAGTCGAGGTCGAGATTGTCAAAGTCGATGAACTCTGCACCCGCAAAGTTGTCTTGGGACGTGTCCATGGCGAAGTGGTCTGCAGCAGTCCAGGACTGCGCAGCCGAATTGTTCATGTCGTCGCCGTGGGAGTAGAGACAAGGGAGAAATTTGGCGGTCGCGAAGACAGGTGGGTGGGGCTGTGGTGGGATTGGGACCGGGATGATTGCGTCTTGTTCACATGTGTCGGCACCCGCCAGTAGCTAGGACGGAGAGGCGACCTCTTTCTTTCGCAAGCGCAGGCGCAAGCGCAGATAGCACAAGTCCAGGTCAGGAACAGGAGCAAGTTCAGGAACAGCGACAGAAAATCGGCCTACCTGTCAAAGCTGGAAAGGCTGCACGAGAAGAGGCCGGGTGGATGAGGGCCCCCACGGGAATTTGATAAGAATGGGGGGCATATGCCGTCCGCGCATGTTGACTTGGGACTTGGGTGCGGGTCATGACCAGCTACTGCAGGCGGGCAGCCAGAATCTGGGTCGGCCCCTTCAGCCTATAGTCGTCACCATGTGCCGCCGGCGAGGGTGCGGCAGCAGTGAATGTACGCACACCGGTGGTGAGAGTGAGGGAGAGGGAGAGGGTGTGCAGATGGCTGCCACAAATGACTCGCTCTGGCCGCCGGCGGGAATGCAGCTGCCAGATCATGCACCGATAATTATAGATGCAAGACGGCCATGTCAATAACATTCCAGATTGCAGAGGGCAATACACACACACATGAACAAGACTGCTGCTGCTTGCACCGCTCGTGGGCCATTTACAGTGCGCTGCTGACTGCAACGTGCGGCATTACTCGACCAATAGGGCCGCCCCCCGCTGTCATTCTCCTCCACGCCCACTGTATGGGCGCTCTGTGCGCCTCTTTTCCTTCCTTCAATCGTCTGGCCGCTCCCCCAGAAAATCACGGGTGTCTACTGCAACTGTGTACGCACCGGGATCATCACGGCGCAGTTGGTGCTGGAACATGCACGTGCGCCTTTTTTTCTTTCCCGCATATCCAACCACGTACAATTGCTTGTCTTTTGCATGCTGGGACCGGGGCGCGCCGTACCCAGCGCTCACTGCAGCGCTGATGGTGTGCTTAAGCAAGCAGCTACTAGTCGAGCCAGGCGCGCCTTGTTAATCTCCTCGGCTATGACCGCCCCATTGGACCTGCCACTTTGGGCCTCTCTGGCGCGGCACACTGGCAACAATGCGGTTCTGTGGACAAACAATTGGGCAATTGCAATTGCATTTCGTTACAAACTAGACGAAACACCTGGCCAAGGGTAATTACGCGAGCGCTTTCATCTCGTGATTGAAGAAAAATAAAAAATAAAAAGATAGCCCCCTACGCACGCCGGCATGACCGACTGGAAAAAAAAAGAACACGGAAGAGACCGTCCGCTGCGCTGCACGCTCCAGCTGGCAGCCAGCGGCTCGCTCCGCATCAGAGTTTAATGTACACATTGGGGTGAAATGAACATGAGAGACCCGTCCGACTATCCCGCTTCCCACGACTAACTGCGCAAACAAGTTGCGTCTTTTAGGGGTATTATCGACCTTTGTCCGGAACATGGGAAAACAAAACACTGTGCCGTAGAAACCGACCCCGCAGAAACGCCGTTAATGGACATGACCATCTGCATCTCGATCGTTGTTTACATTACGGCACAGCAGCCGTTGCTCTGCTGTGGCGCGTAGGGATCATCGCGCTTGTCGATCTGTGTACACACATCAGCATGGCTGCGACAAAAAAGTCCAATACGAAGCGCAGGGTGCGCGTCCACTTACCGTTCCCCATCGTGATGGCACCATCCAGTCCTTGGGCTCCTTGTCCGTGAAGGCAATCAGACTGCGACGCCTTTGTTAGCTGCTGCCATGTGTGTATATGGAATGTCGCGACGGTTTGTCCGTCCATGGACCTACTCTAGTGCAGCCTCGGACACGGGTATCCTGCGTCGTTCCAGGTCTTCTCGCAGGCGCTGATTGAGCTCGGTGAGACGTCGCAGCTTGAGCTCGGCCATGCTCTGCTTCTTGGTCTTGCCGTCGCCGCCCGTCCGTATCTCGTAGGGTGCGGCGACCATCATGGTTGGCATGGCGGGCATGGCGCGCGTGCGTGAATATTAAGCTGTAAAGGGAAAGAGAGATGGATGTCGTTGGTGTTTTGATTGTTGTTGTTGTGGTGGTGGTGGTGATGATGGTGGCGGGTGGATATTATGGCGATGAGTGATGGTGCGGCGTCGTCGTATACGGCGTAGACAGGAGACAGCAACAAAGAGAGGGGGTAAGGAGCGAGGACGGCCAGCCGGGTGTGAGCCTGCCGCCAGATATCAGCGCAATGTGGATGCTGTGGATGCTGCGACGGCGACTGCAACGGCGACTGCGGTGTCGAGGGTTGACGAAGAGGGTGCAGAGATGGGCGACAGGTGAAGCACGGGATGCCAGGAGAGGTGGTTGGAAGATGGGCCGGCCATCCCCTTGATGGGCCTGTTCGTCGGGCGCTGTTCGGTTGCGGCATAGCGCCATATTAGGTTTGAGTACGGGGCTAGAGCCTGCCTGCCTGCCTGCCCGCCCTTGCTGCTTGGCTTGGTGCATTGTCCCGCCTCGCCGATTCGGACGCCTCGCACTCGCTTGCCCGCCTGTCTGCCTGCACCGCCACTAATTAGTAGTCGTCCTGCTACTACTAACAATTTGGACTAGCATGTATTATCTACTCCTCCCACCAAACAACAAACAACAACAACAACACCCGCTGCATCGCGCCCGTCCCATGCAGTGCACTACGCATGGCTCGTCCGCCGGCTGCGTTCAAGGGGCTCGCTCCCCGCGTCTGTGTTGTAGAGTCCCTAGACATGCCAGGGCCGCCTGGAGCCGTTCGCTGAGCGGCGTCGCCTTGCATGTGCGGGGACGACGGCCCTGCTGAGGTGCCGGCACATCACTGGCGGGTGCTCGCTTACCTCAGCCTACCACAACCATTTTGCAAGCGGTGACTTTGCATCACAGCCTGTGAGACCCGCACCGCCATCCCAACCTCCAACGCTCCCGGCTGCGTCGCCTGCTTGCTGAAAAGCCCATACAGCCCGTTGCCCTGGGATCTGTGACATCGACCTGCCCAGCATGGCGCCTCCACCCCACTCCAAGCCGGAGAACACTCTGTGCGCCCCGCCTCAGACTCGCTGCAGAGGCTGCCCCAGCTAATACCACGCAGTAAACGAGCCCAGGAACTCATCGGCGTCGACCAGCACCAGGCTGCCCTCCAGCTGCTCCACGAACATGTCACCTCGAAGCGCACCCGCAACAGCCCCATCACCTCGCTCGAGCCCGTCATGATCCTCTTCGTCGAGCTCTGCGTCGATCTGCGCAAGGGCAAACTCGCAAAGGACGGCCTGTACCAGTACAAGAATACGGCCCAGAACACAAACGTCGGCACAATCGAGACCGTCTTCAAGCGCTTCATTGAGCTTGCTGAGCAAAAAGTCACAGAGGCCCAGGCAAAGGCCGACGAGGTCCAGTCCTCGCTCGAGCCCTCTGATGACAAGAACGTCGACGATCTCGAGGCCACCGAGACGCCCGAGTCCATCCTCCTATCCACCGTCTCCGGCGAGCAGTCGCGCGACCGCACCGATCGTGCCATTGTCACACCATGGCTCAAGTTCCTGTGGGAGACATACCGCACTGTCCTCGACATCTTCAAGAACAATGCCCGTCTGGAGCTTATGTACCAGTCGACCGCCCACCAGGCCTTCCAGTTCTGCTCCAAGTATGCCCGCAAGACCGAGTTCCGCCGTCTCTGCGAACTGCTCCGCAACCATCTCCAGAATGCCGCAAAGTTCTCCTCGCAGATGCACGCCATCAACCTGTCCGACCCCGACACTCTACAGCGCCACCTCGACACCCGCTTCCAGCAACTCAATGTGGCTGTCGAGCTTGAGCTTTGGCAAGAGGCTTTCCGCAGCGTCGAGGACATCCACACGCTCCTCAGCTTGAGCAAGCGACCAGCCAAGAACATCATGATGGCCAACTACTTTGAGAAGCTGACCCGCATCTTCCTCGTCAGCGAGAACTACCTGTTCCACGCTGCTGCATACAGCCGCTACTACAACCTCCTCCGCCAGTCCGCAGCCGCCGTTGCCTCTGGACAGAGCCCCAAGAAGGACAACCCGGCCGTCACAGAAGCTGACATGACCAAGGCCGCCTCGTTTGTCTTGCTGTCAGCCCTTGCCATTCCTGTCATCAGTACCTCTCGCTCCCGCGGTGCTCTTGTTGACGTAGATGAGGCTAGGAAGAACAAGAACTCGCGTCTTACCAACTTGCTCGGCATGTCGCAGGCTCCTACTCGTGCCATCTTGTTCAAGGACGCTCTCAGCAAGGGTCTGCTCAAGCGCGCGCGTCCCGAGATCCGCGATCTCTACAACATCCTCGAGGTCGACTTCCACCCTCTCTCCATTTGCAAGAAGATCTCGCCGATTCTATCTCAGATCGGTGCTGACGAGGGCATGCAAAAGTATGTTGGTCCGCTCCAGCAGGTCATCCTCACCCGTCTCTTCCAGCAGTTGTCTCAAGTATACGACTCTGTCGAGATCAAGTTTGTGCTTGGCCTCGCCCAGTTCCCTGAGCCCTTCCATGTCAGTGCTGGTACCATTGAAAAGTTCATCATGAACGGCTGCAAGAAGGGCGATCTTGCCATCCGCACTGACCACGCTACCGGGGTCCTCACTTTTGATTCCGATGTCTTCTCGTCAGCAAAGGCCATGCACCCTGGTTCTGGTGCGGGATCAGCCGAGACGGAATCTCGCTCCGTGCAGCGTCTGCAGAGCACCCCTGCTGAGATTGTGCGCTCTCAGCTTACCCGTCTTGCCAAATCCCTGTTCGTGACCTGCCAATATGTTGACCCTTCATTCAACGGAGACCGTCTGCGCGCAAAGGAGGCTGCGCTTGCACGCGCAAAGGAGGGCGCTGAGAAGGAACACCAAGAGATCCTCAGCCGTCGTGACATCATCTCACAAAAGAAGGAAGCTGCACTCAAGGCCCAGCAAGCCAAGGAGAACGAAGAGCAAACCAAGAGGCTCATTCGCCAGCAACAGCTCAAGGATGAGGA